GGACCTGCGCAGCAGTACGGGTACCTTGCACAGCATTTCCCCGCATGCTTGGGCATCTTTCTATGATTGCCTCGATAATAACGCCAAACTGTCTTCCACGCCCATGGGATCCTGGCTGCCTTGCAATGCACAGCTACTGGAAGTCGGAGCTATCAAAATACACTCCAAATCCGACGTGCCTCGAGTACCACCATCGCACAAGCACCAGTGGGTCCGCCTAGCCGACCCCAACCGCACAGAGATCCACCTCAAACAAGACAGCAAATTCTGCCTCGCCTCGCTAGACCTTTGCTTCAAGCATGAGCAACCGCGCAGCTTACGCACTCCTTCAGTCGCGCCCTGCATGAGCGCTGCAGACGCCTTCGCCGATACAGACCGTATGGGCATCGGTGGCTTGCTCAGCACTTCCACGCACTTCGTGTGGTACAGCGAAATCTTCACAGCTGACGAAGTTCGCACCGAATGGCCTCAGCTGCACGGCTCCATGCAAAGCTACATCGCCTGCTCTGAAGCGTTGGCACAGCTTGCACTGGCTCATTGTTCTTGGGCCCTGCTTCGCCACGAGCACGCGCGCTTCATATTGCCTAGCGCTAGCGATAACACTTCTGCCGAGAGCGGCGTCAATCGCCTCTTCACCACAACAGAGCCGCTCAGCACCTTTTTACGCCTCGCAGCCACGTGGGCACACCTGCACCGCGTCCAGTTCCAGGTTGAACACTTGGCTGGCGAAAAGAACACGTGGGCCGACGCTCTCAGCCGCGGCCGCCTTGCCTTCATTAAGCACCGCTCCAACGAAAGAGTACGCATTAGCCTTGCACAGCTCGCCTCTGCTTCGCATACAGTTTCACTTAAAGGGGAGGAGAACACCTTCCCCCCTCGCCTCTGCGAGGCACAGCGCAGCCATCTGCGTTGACTCTGTCGCGCAGCCGATAAAAAAAACAAGAGAGAAACTCAGCTCCTGACGTTTGCTCCTGCACGCCTTGCAACAAAGCACGTTTCTGCTTTCAATTCTGTCCGTTACGACAGGTCGCCTTCTCCATCCTCGTGCGAGGGGGGTTTCTGAGCCCGCAAGGCAGAGGATGCTGAAGTCGAACTAAAGTGGGGGAGACAAGCTCGGCAACGCTTTGCCCTGCTTTCCCTGACTTCGGGCATCGCATTGCCTCGCATCGACTTCAAGCATCCTCCGCGTGTAAAAAGAGAGAGTGCGTTCTCGCTTTGCCATGCTACGCTCTGCAAACTCACAGTACTCTTACTGAGAACGCATGTCGTGAGTTTGTTGTTTTGGTCGACAGTGTTTTCTGTAAGTACTTGAGCTTGCATTGCTTCGCTCCGCGCTGCACTGTTAGCTCAAGCTGTCGACCTCGGATCGCGTCCGTACATCTAGCTTTTTTTCACCCACCCACCCAACCCGGGGGGGAGACAAGCTCGGCAACGCTTTGCCCTGCTTTCCCTGACTTCGGGCATCGCATTGCCTCGCATCGACTTCAAGCATCCTCCGCGTGTAAAAAGAGAGAGTGCGTTCTCGCTTTGCCATGCTACGCTCTGCAAACTCACAGTACTCTTACTGAGAACCCCATGGAAACCTATTGACAAGGAACTTATACGCTGAAGCGACCCTGTATATTGGAAGGCCCCTGGGCAGAACAAACTGACACAATATAGATTCTCTCATGTGTCACTCCACTCCCGCCTATCGAAACTCTTTTGGCGAGGAACTTATACATTCGAAAGCCCCCAGACAGAACAAACGAACACATTACAAGCCTTTGACCTGTCACGCCCACTCATCCTACTGAAGCCCTCTTGATATGAAGCTGATACATCGGAAAGCCCTTCTTACGGACAGAAGAAACTGGCACATTGTAGGGGCTATAATGTTTCTCTTCACTTCCTGGACAGGGCGAACCAATACATTACATGCACTCCTCATATTGAAACCCTATTGACAAGGAACTAGTTTGTTCAGACCTGGCTTGCCTCAGTAGATATATGTAGCAAATGTAACAACAGAATATAACAGGCAACGAGTTGTAGTAAGTGTTGCGACAGCATCATGTGATATGGATGTGTCATGCCGTATGTATTCCCATAATTTGTCATATGAACACATCCGATTCATGAGTACCGAACCTGTCAGGTTTTGCATTCTGGCCTGTGCGGAAATTACAAACAAATTTATGCCATATTACAGCGTGCATGCTTATTACGTGATTCTTGGGTGGATATGTCGTATGCAATTACTCAAACGCTGGCAAGTCAACAATAAGTCGAATTGTGAAATATTGGGACAGGACAATTTGTCCGTGTTGCCGATATACTGCTGACAGTGCTATGCATATCTCCACGACGATACATCATTCCTGGAAGATGTATGGACTCTATACACAGAAATGTGTCATCACAACGAATGTTTATTCATCGACAGTGTTGGGATCAACACTCGATGTTCTGTTTATATAATACTCGTCTCCCTGAATGCGAATAATTTGCTATAATTACTTGATAGAAAAATATAGCCTAGTCGATCCGAAACTTTTCAGGTCGTGGCTTTGTAATGTGGGCTGTGCTTATACCCTATATTTTGCTTTCCATTATGTGCTGAAGACAACAAACCGCGGTTATATAGACCCTAAAGGTATCGGGCACATATATATATATGTATGTATGTATGTATGTATGTATGTATGTATGTATATATATATGTATATATATAAATATATATAAATATAAATATATATAAATATAAATATAAATATATATATATATATATATATGGTACCCCCGAGGACCTACCTCCAAACCTGTCTGTCTACATATATGATACCACACTTCAGACACACATGCACACATACACACACACACAGAGACACAGACACAGACACAGACACAGACACAGACAGAGACACAGACACAGACGCAGACGCAGGCGCAGACGCAGACCCAGACACAGACACAGACACAGACACAGACACAGACACAGACACACCCACACCCACACCCACACCCACACCCACACCCACACCCACACGCACACCCACACCCACACGCACACGCACACCCACACGCACCCGCACCCGCACCCGCACCCGCACCCGCACCCGCACCCGCACCCGCACCCGCACCCGCACCCGCACCCGCACTCGCACCCGCACCCGCACCCGCACCCGCACCCGCACCCGCACCCGCACGCGCACGCGCACGCGCACGCGCACGCGCACGCGCACGCGCACGCGCACGCGCACGCGCACGCGCACGCGCGCATCCGCACGCGCACGCACACACACCCGCTGAGGTACTCGATTTTGCTATGGGGCCTTATTAGAAGATACAGGAAGTTATAGGAAGTTAGCCTACTCATTTTGAAGTAAAGCAACTTCTACTAGAAGTTAGTGGAAGGTATAAGTTTCTTAACAAGTTAGCTAAGATATATCTCGGGATATGAGCTAACATGTTTTATAAGTTTTGCTAGGGTTTGGAATCGTTTATGTGACAAATTCCAACAGGAGTTAACAGAAGTTAAGAGCACTTAGGCTTTTCAGCTAATTTGAGTTAATGGAAGTTAGTTTTTGTTCAAGTGGCTGTGCAGTTTCCTCGGTTTCAGTCAAATTTCATCGCATGCGAGCTCCTAAGTCTTCTAATGGTGCAGTTGTGACGCACACAGAGGCTCACGGAAATGGGGGACAAGTGGAAGAGCTTTGTGTGCGAAACAAACAATGACAATTCATATAGGTTGCTTCGCTGCATTTACACAGCGGCCTGCTTCAGTGAAGATGTGCTTTTTTGGAGGGCATGCCGGGCATGAATTTAACTGTTCATTTTTTTCGAGAGGGAGTGGGGGCGGGACGGGTGGTAAGTATGAGTTACCTCTTTCAAGTCTATCATGCACACAGCATTCAGCAGCAGGAAGTCAAAGCTAGCAGAAGCAGAGCCACCGAGAATTTTGATCAACATGGAATAAGTTATCAAAGCCAATCGCCATGTATGCAAGAGCGCTAAAAATCGCTTGAAGTTTGTTTTAGGCAAGAGCGGTGCGAATCGCTTCGGCCGACAAGGACACGTTGTAGGCAAGAGCGGTGCGAATCGCTCGGCAGTGTCTGCAGGAACTAGCGGCGAAAGCTGCTTCTGTCACGATTGTGATTGAATTTGCGTTTCCGTTTTGCAGCGACGCAGCTCAGGAAGGCTCCTGGGGAGAGAGGCCCCATAGGGTTTACTTTTAACTCGTTTAGAATTCACATGTATGTGAACCCTAAACTCTATAGACACATTTTTTTATGTAGAATGTTCAGTCAAATCCTACTGGGCTTTAGCATACAAGTTAAAAATACCCAGCTGCTGGGTCCAACGTGGCTTTCTTGTGCTTATAAGAGGAAACACTTAGTGTTGTACAGGCAAGACTTCTGCAAGTCGCTTTGCTGCGGGACTACCTGCGGCTACTGCATGGATGAAGGGTGGCCTAGCCGCACGGCACTCGCAAAACAAGAGGTGTTGCGCGAAGCTGTCATGTGCATGCAGTAAGTTATATAGGGTGAGGGCCTTGGATTTGCCTCCCGCGTGTATGTACTGAGAGAGACCGAAGAGACAGGGAGCACAGTCCATGCCTGCATCTCTGTCTGTCCCTGTAGCGTCTACCGGCGCTTTCTTCGCATGCCTCAGGGGCGACGCAGGTCGCCGCAGACGGGAGCCACAACAAGCTCTTAAACACGCATGGACCAGGATCGTTTCCAACAACTTATGTTGTCACCGAAAAGAGTGGCCGCCATTGGCCGCCATTTGGCCGCCAAGGGCCCCCAAACGTGGCCGCCACGTGGCCTCCAAAACCGTCGCTGATTTGCCGTCAGGTACGGATCAGACTTAAGAGCAAACATATAGTGGCCGCCAAGTGGCCGCCCGTTGGCCGCCACAATGATTTTGGTTTCGCATACCTTGCATGTCTTCTGTTGCACTGCTTCTTCCAGCTCAGAGTTTGCAGCCTCGTCGCTTTCTCTCGCCTTGCTGTGAGCATGGCGGAGCCTGCAACGCCGGCCGCGGGGCCTGCGCTGGTCCTGCTGCCGTGCAGCAAGTGCAAGCAGCAGCTGCCCGAGAACTCCCTGAAGCGCAAGTCGGCGTGAGCGCTTATTTTGCCTGCAGATGCTACGGTACAGTGGGAGCGACGACTGGGCGAACGACTTGACTCGCAAGCAGGAAGAGCACCATCGACAGTTCCTAGCTTGCTACTCCGCTGACAAATGCAAGCCCAAGCATCACTATGGCAGCCACTTGCCAGGCCATGGTTTTGTTGAAGATTCTTTGTGGAGAAACATGCCTTAAACCATCCTAAACCCTGAACCATAAACCCCAAATCTCGCCCTGCAGGTCAGCACCGCCGCGATGGCTATGTGCTGGACACACTTTGCAACGAGTCGAAGCACAAGGCGATTAAGAAGATCGTTGAGATGAGCGCCTCGCGCTTGCAAGATTTTGAGACTTTCGTGCTCGTTCGCCTTGCTCAACTCCATCTACATGAGGCACACCTCTTGCGCCCTGATTATTGGGAGTTCACTTTGAACAAGACACAGACCACCCTGACCTGCGCCTGGCTAACTTTGCGAATAGCCGAGCCGATCGTTCGTGCAGACTGCGCAGGTCTCATCGTTTCTATGGTGAGTGAAAAGGCAAGTGCAGCAGTCGAAGTGCAGGTCTTCCGGAAATCTGCAGAGCTTGCAGTGGGAATCGTGGAGTGGTCAAACACTAACACCGTGCATACGTGGTCGCTCACGGACAGAAGCTGGCACCGTCCCAAAGCCTGGCGGACGCACAACAATTCCTTGCTCACGCTCTGGTGAAAAAGGTAAGCACCGAAACATACACTAACCAATAGCGTCGAGAGACGCTGCCGCAGAACTATGAACCAATGTAGCGTCGCGAGGCGCTTCGAAGTTGAAGCAAAGCAGCAGCAGCAGTGTAACAAACAGAAGATCAAGCAACAAAAGAAGTTTCAAGATGTTGTACTCAAACAAACCCAAAAAACATACCAGAACTTAGGGGTACTTAGGGGAACTTAAGTTAACAGCTATTAGGAGTTACTAACTGCTTATAAGTCTCAAAAAACTATCTTCAGTTAACTTCTGTTAAGTTCTTCTAACTGTCTATAAGTCCCTCTAATATCTAATAACGCCCCATAGCAAAATCGAGTACCTCAGTGACCCACGCGCACACGTGCGCACGCGCACACGCACACGCGCACACGCGCACACGCGCGCACGCGCACACGCACACGCACGCACGCGCACATGCACATGCGCACACACGCACACGTGCACACGCGCGCACGCGCACACGCGCACACGCGCACACGCGCACACGCGCACACGCGCACACGCGCACACGCGCACACGCGCACACGCACACACGCACACACGCACACACGCACACACGCACACACGCACACACGCAGACACGCACACACGCACACACATGCAGCATGGATTATAAGTGTATATGAAGATTAGTGGATACGAACATGACTACACTAGAGGCCCGGCTGCATTAAAACCCGCATAAAAAAATTAAAGTTTAATGCAGCCCGGCCCGTGGAACCAATTAATGCAGACAGGCCGGTGCCCGTGGAACCAAGATCCAAGGTAGGTTCTTGGTTCCACGGGCCGGGCTCCATTAAATTTTAAATTTTCAGGCTGGTTTTAATGCAGACAGGCCGGTGGAAACCATATAACTATTACAAGTATCATCCGTCGACATCGAACGGTTTGTCATTTTCTGTGTCACATGGCCACTGCTGCAGTGAAGATTAGTGAACGGATTGCTGTGCTTGACGGTTTGGTCGCGTGACAGTAAGCATCTCATGCTCCAAGCTGCAGCTGATCAAAAGCAAATGATCCTGTACTCCCAACTCCCGTCGTGTCCTTGTGATCATGTCGGCATGCCCGTCCCTGTTAAACATCTAGCACACCATGTATGATACAGCCTGTCAATATGCACCTTATAGAAATATCTCACAGGATACTTTTCAGACTCCCCTATAGAAGAAAACCTATAGAGTACACTACAGATAGGATTTTAAATATGGAACATCTGTCGGAGCCGAAGATTTGCGAATGTCCAGCTGAGCTGTAGCTTATCGAATAACGGGTTTTTATGATGGAAATCAGGAACCTGCTTGCAAACTTGTAAAAGAATATCCGTGAAACTGCATTTTAGAATACCCCCTCTTTCTACCTTCCAGAATTTCAAAGAAAATACCCCAGGTCATACCATTTGGAGTTGATAAAGTATATACCTTGTATATACCTTTTGGACTACCTTTTAGCCTATAAAATTCCTTATAGAAATCTTTCCTATATATACACCTATGGAATACCTTTTATACGATGCCTTTTGGGATACCTTATGGATACCTTTAGAATGATCATAGAATACCTTGCCTTTCCCCTGTATACCCTATATGTGCCTTATAGAACACCATGTGGAATACTTTCTAAAATGTCTTTCACAAAACCCCATACATGATACTCCTGATATGCCCTGTATTTACCCTTGAGAATCAGCTCTGGGATACCCGACATGTCTTATAAAAGTACTTTTTGACCTCTCGCGGCTTTTCGGTTTTTCGACTTTTCGACTTTTCGGGTTTCGCGGATATTTTTGCAACTGGCTTTTCGACTTTTCGCGCGCAGTTCGGCATTCTCCACGTATCCGCACCCACAGCCGTTCGCAAACACAGGTGCCCGGAATGAGGGGGCGTGTTTGAGATACAGAATGAATCCGAATCGCGAAATGAGGGGGCGTGATTAAGTTTAAGGTATATGATGAACCGGAATCGACAAATGAGGGGGCGTGCTTAAGATATAGGAGGAACCGGAATCCCCAAATGAGGGCGTGTGTGTAAAACATAAGATGAATCCGAGGAGGTTTGAGTGAGGAGCCGGAATCGCCAGATGAAGGGGCATGTTGTAGAATCATATGAGGAAGATATATGATGAACCGGAATCGCCATGTAAGCGGACGTGTTTAAGATATACGCGGTATAGGATGAATCCGCAGAGGTTTGAAGCTGAAAACTTGAACCGTAAAGTTGAATCCGGTGGCCAAGTGAGCCCGAAATTTTGTTGCTAAATGATCCGAAACGGTGCGGACTCGGAGTGGCTAAGTGACACCGGTTTTTGGTGGCTACGTGACCCCGGCACCGAGAAGTAGAGGCTTTTGCTATAAACATACAAAGAAAATACAAGTCTTCCTATACAAAAACACATCGAAACTAGAGGTTTTCTTACCGAAATACAGAGAACCCATCCCCCATCACCACCGATGACCAACGAAATAACATTAAAGACATTGCCACCCGTCTGGGGCGCTAATTGTAATTCCCCAATAGCCTGACGCAAGACAGGCTCGTAATGATAATCACCCAGTAGCTTCGGGCATTTCAGGACCTTGCAAAATGTGACGACTACTACTGGTACGACGGCTACTACTGCTACTGCTACGACAACTACAGCTACTAGTGCTAGTACTACGGGACTACTACGAGCAGTCCAACTTTTTTGATCCTAATGTTTTTTTTGTTGTTCCATCCCTCTTAGGTTTTTCGGTAGCTCTATTGCAAAAGTGCTGGTTTATCATGTTTTAGTTTGTTTTCCAGATTTTTTGGTATTTGTTTTTGGATTGGTGACCTTTGACCAGAGGTTGAGCAACTAGCTGCATGCTGCGAAACAGTCCTTGTCCTATTTTCGTTTCAGGCAGAGCTGCAGCGCCAGCGCAGTGGTCGTCTCCGGTTTGCTGCGCGACGTCGCCAGGCGCCACTGGAGCGCAGCAGAAGCAGAGTGTGTAAGACTCTCTGCTGATCTGCTGCCCTGCCAAGTGTCCTGAAGGAGATGGACCTTGAGCTTCAACAGCACCGAGCTTGCCCTCTGTCTGCGCGTGAGCCACGTGGGAACCGTGATTGCCAGGCGGGACGGGCTGTTCCGATCAGTTCTTGTACAGTGTACAGCCTGTTGGCAATGTGCAATTGTGCAGTTGCACTGCTGCTTGATAGAAGATGGCCGAAACTCGATTTCGTGCCGAGGCAGTCAACGGCCGCACACTGGCTGCATATGCAACGCCTCGACCTGGATCACAGAGAAGGCGCTGGACGGCTGCAGACTTCTTTACGGCGTCTTGGGGACTCCACTGTTCCACTACCGCCTTCGCGACTCGCCACGCAGGGAGCGGCCTGGCAGCGCCCGTGCCGCGCTCAGGCCACGCCGGCCCTCCAAGAGCTGAACAAGGGACCGATCCCAGGGGCCCAGAGTCAGCGCTGTCAGCGTTGTCGTGTCACCCGGTGGTTGTCCAAAACATGGGACAGTCACCACCATATCGGGGAGCAAAAGGGACATTGCGTCCGACTGCCTAGTCGGGCCTCCAGCAGCCGTGACCGTCATCACGAGGGCATTGACCTGGCATCGGACTGCCACTGCACGGGTAGGTTTCATGGGCTGCAGCTGAGCCTCTGGTGCTTTTGGCAGCCGTCTCAGGCTCCAGGCAGGAATGTTTCAGGACAAATGTCCTTGACCTGAGCTCGCTGCACGGCAATCTTCAGGCCAGCACGAAGGGTTGTGGTCGCACAGATGGAAGCAATCGCTGGTATAAGCTTGTGAACAGTGCCGGGAGATAGTACGGCGTTTCTGCTACGGCACCGCCTTCATGAGTCAGTAGGCTATCGCCAGGAATGGGAAGCATCGGAACACGGAAAATGAGCTGGAAAGCACGGACAGATTACATTCTTACAGGTGAGACACGGGTCGCCAGTCGGATCATTCTGATCCCAGAAATGCAAAGTTTGGCCGTTCTTTTGGGGGCCTAAGCCCGGAAGACGGTCACGTTATTCGCGAGCAGAGGCCAGTTGGCTACGTCGAAGACCGACGCAGCGAGTTGGACCATGGAGGTGTTGGGGGCAGGGGCGGGGTCTGCCTGCCTGATTGTGCGGGGGTACAGGGATGTACAACGCTGTTCTGTTGAGGTGATCTTGCTGGGCAGCGAGGGCCTGCCCGAGGGCTCGGTCCTGTCATTGAAGCTGGGAGCTCGAACTCCACACCATTTTTGAAGGTCGCACCCAGTCAAGTCAAGCCTCCAGCCCTCTGTGCTAGGTGGGGCGACTTGAAGCGACAAGCGCCTGCCAGCGGCTGAAACGGGGAGCTGCTGTAAATGTTTGATCTTGGCGTGTTCACATGAGCCCGTGAACTACTGTTACATCAAGGCAGTGAAATTTGCCGAAGCCTAAAATCTTCAGATCCGAGGTGTCCCAAACAGGGCAGCACTTCCGCTTCAACGATTCACCAGCGCAGCCGCTGCAAATGAAGGCGAGATGTTGTGCCAAAAAGAAGAAGTTAGGGTGAAGGCACGTCGTGGCTAAATGATATGGTCTAAAGCCGAGGTGGAGGTGCTGACTCCGCTCGCACCTGCCCAGATGGTCAGCATCGACCCAATGCAGGAGATCATTTGGCTGCGCCTGGCGACAGTTCTCCGTTCTTCGGACTCGGTGCGCCAGGAGACCTTTGAGGTTGCTTTTGATCCGCAGATGAAGGTGCCAACTGCCAAGCGCCGGCTTCGTCTTTTCCGTGTGCCCTTTCGGGCTTGGGCGGGCAGGTGCGGCTCCAGCAGCGGCCAGCAACGGAGTTTCAGCGCCCAGTGGTGGGGGTCCCAGGTCCACAGGGAGCTAGAGAGGTTCCCAAGTATTCGGCGCCCAAATGCCAAGGTAGACATCACCAACGCAGCAGGCAAAGGACTTCCTGCCGGGCCCTCGAAGAGCAGGCGACGTTGCCCGAGCGAGACTTCCGTTTTCGAATCTGCGCTCGCAGCACGTTTTCTAGCCTGAAGCTGTTTCAGTGAGCTGCCGTGGCCCGTGTCAAATGGATGAAAGCAGCGACCCAGAGTTCAGTGGTGGGGTGGAAGTCAAGGAGAGAGTTGTGCCATGACACTGAGCAGTCGGTTTCATCGCTTCATGTTTTCAAGACATCGGGCAACATTTCCAGCTTCATGTCTCGGGGCTTCAATGTAGTGAGCAATCATGTGCCCATTTCGAGATCAAATCAGGTCAACAAAAAGTTTATCGCAGCGGCCCTGGGTAACTGGCTGGAGTGGTACGATTTCGGCGTGTATGCAGCGCTGGCCGATCTCCTGGGTAAGCACTTCTTTCCAGATCACGATGCATCCGTTCAAGTGATGCAGTCGTTTCTTGCATTTGCTGCGGGCTACATTTCCCGACCTGTGGGTGGCATCCTGATCGGCGTCATTGCAGACAGACTTGGGCGCAAGTGCGGTTTGTGGCTGGACGTAAACATGACTCTTATCTAATAGTTTTGGATTGATCTTGTCTGTCCACTGTTGTCATTTTGGTCAGGTGGACCTCCATTCTACTGATGATGTTTCCCACCTTCTTCATCGGTTGCTTGCCGACCTACCAGACCGCAGGCTGGCTATCAACGATCCTGCTGGTTACCCTGCGCTTGCTGCAAGGCATTGCGATCGGCGGTGAGTACGTCAGTGCTCTGGTGTTTAGCATGGAGCACGCACAGGGCCGGAACAAGACAATCTCGGGTGCTCTGATGTCTGTCTCTGTTGCAGTGGGCACCTTCTCTGGATTTGGAGTTGTCGTGCTGATGCGTCATGCGCTCTCCACTGAAGCCATGGCCAGCATTGGATGGAGAATTTGCTTCTGGCTCGGTTTGGTCGTCGGTATTGTGGGTATCTTCTTGCGGCGGCAGGTTGCTGATCCACGGGAGTTTATAGATGCCCAACAGGCAGGGCAACTGTCGCAACCGATTTGGGCTGCTCTTTGGACACACTGCCCGGACATTTTGCTGATGATCGGCGTCGAGGCCATCACTCCTGTCACATGGTATCAGAATTTCATCTGGATACAGCAGGTGTATGAGGGCACACTAACGTCTGAACCAGCCATGCCCGGTGGTGCAGAGTTGAACACTTTTATGCAGCTGGCACCTTCCCTGTTTATGGTTGGCATCGCAGCATGCCGAAGTGATTTCAACTTTCTGACTTCGGTTCGCAGGGGGATGGCTTTGCTGGCTGCCCTTGCAGTTCCGGCATACCTTCTCTTCGACCTGCGAACCTTTTGGGCTGCTTTCCTCTCGCAGTCCTTTTTGGCTCTTGGAGGTGGTCTCATTGCCTGGGGCAATCCATACTTGATGCACAGTTCCTTCCCAGTGGACATCCGTGTCATGGCCATGGGCATCAGCTACAACCTGTCGGCAGCACTGCTGGGAGGGCCCACGCCATACATATGCTCTCAGCTGGTTGTCCACTTCGGTATCTTGTCCTGGACCTCTTCCTGCCTAGTAAACTTGAATGTTGCTGGGGGCATTTTAATCATTTTATGGTTTTGGCAAACAGCTGCAGTGGGGAAGGGCCGGAGGGATAGGAAATGCAGCTGAACAAAGCCGAGCATAAATGTTGCCGAGGAGTCCTGAGCGCATCGATTTGGCTCTTGTTTATTGCGAGCTTGTCATACACCTGCGTCTGCTTGCTGCTTCGCCGACAAGGTCGACAGGTTGCAGCCAACGGCGATGGCTTACAAAGCGTTATTCCTCGACGAATTGGCAACGCAGCATAGGCATAGAACACTCACCCCGAGATCTTGTCGACCTGGAAGACACTCTGCTGCTGATGAGCAGGCGGCCGCTTTGAGGTGACTATGGCTTCCAACAGGACCTTCTGATGCCAGCGAGAAGTTTAAGCAGGTCGAGAGACCGAATGAGGCAGCAAGATCCTCTGTGAAAAATTGAGTGCCAACAGGCGCTGTAGCTTCAGGCCAGTCGAGGCCTTCTGCGAAGTTTCCACGCAAGCATCAACTCTCAGCATTCATCAGCATGCTGCAGCCAAAAAGGCTGCTGACGTCGCCACGTTTGTGCGCTCATGACGAACCAGGAAAAAGAGCGTGTCATAATGTGGGCATCGCTTTCCGAGGCCGGTCGGATCCAGATGGCTCAGCAGGCAGCTTCGTACCTCGAGGTGCGTCCCGCCTGATTCTGATGGGTTGAGGCGAGGGAGAGAAGCATTTTTGCAGCCCAGAGCCGGGGAGATCTCGGCCCAGGCAATTTAATGAATTGAGCGATGCTCTTTGGACTACCCAGGAGCTCTGGCATTGAGCCGCGGCTTTTAAACCCTGCCATGCCTGTGACTGTGGCCTCGTGGAGACGTGCTCATGCACATGTCGCACACGCACGATTTGCACAAGCGCATGCACGAGCACACCGCGTGAGCCGTGTTCGCTGTTTGGCTGGAACCCTGGCAGCTGCTTACATTTGTCGCATTCAGGCGAGACGGCTTTCGACGCCTGTTGCCACTGTTGCCATGAAGTCAACAACTGGTGTTCACCAGCAACACCTCACGAAGTCCGCCGAAGAGATTCGCTCAGGTGTGAAAGTAGTGCATGAGGAGTATGACCGAAGGATCTCAAGTTTGGTATCTGCTGCTAAGTCGGGCCAGAGTGTGTCCTTTGCATCAACCTTTGGAGCGTTGGCAGATGCGGATGGATTTGCATCGCTTGCGTCTGTGGAACTGACTTTACCCGCACTGGTCAGTGGTGATCCGGAAGCACGAGCAGCATCCGCCTCTGCTAAGAAAAGCCTCAGCGACATGTGGTCCAAAACTTACACGCGACCAGATCTCTATGAAATCTTGCATGCAGCCAAAGACTCCGCAGAGACAACGGAAGAGATCCGTCTGGTGACGGTGGTGTTGGAGAAGTTTCGCCAGTCCGGCTGCGGACTGACTTCCAAGGACAGGGAAGAGCTCGCATCCCTGGATCGGCGCTGCAAAGAGCTCGCCTTCCAGGCGCGGATCGAAAGAGGATGTTAGAGGATGCTAGAGGACCTTTAGCCATGGGGGCCATAGCCACGGGCTGCTTTCGCACCGTGTGGTGGTTTCGAGGTGGAGCAGAACATCAACGAAGATTGCAGCTCGGTGGATTTGACCGTCGATGAGTTGTTCGGCTGCGAGGAGTCTTTCATTCAGAGCCTTCCGAGCCCACCCGGCAGCTCGCTGAAGCGCTGCTCCCTGAAAGCACCCGTTCTCGGCCCTATCATGCAGCGGGCGCACAGCAGTTCCACCCGCCGGCGCATGCTGGAGGCTCGGATCCCTTCATGTCACTAGACTCTGCGCTGCCTCTCCTTGCCAGGCGAGCCAGCAGCGATGCGAGAAGAACGGCCCACTCCTTGAGGCCCGGCCAGTGGCCTTATAGTGGCCTAGTGGCCTTGTGCAAAGCGTCTCAGGAGATCCTCTCCTTGCGGCAGCGAGCGGCGGAGCGCCTCGGCTTTCGCTGCCACGCGGAGCGAGTGACCTCTCAGAAGATGGCCCGGCACGGGACGCACGGGGTGGGACGGCTGGGACGGGACCCCTGCTTTCAGTTTTCTGTTTGGCGTCAGGCTGGGACTGCAGATGCTGTGCGACAGTTTTGCGAGGCTGGGAACTGCACGAACACGCACTGCGAGACACCGATGTCGGAGTTGCAGCGCCCGTAGCCACGCTCAGGATATGCAGAGGCGCCTGCGGCCACTTCGTGATGCTGAGCTGCTGAAACTGAGCTCAAGGACTCTGCAAGACAGCGCACTGCACTCCGGAACACACGATGTTCTCGAAAACTATTTGTAAGGCATCGTAATTCCCTTAGCAGATCCGAGCTTCGAGAAGGACAAGCTTGAGGGTGCAACAGGTGCCAAGGGCGCAACGGTGCCCAGGGTTCACAAGAGTGCAAAATCCCACTGACGGTGATCGTTTCAAGGGCAGTTAGCAACCCGAAGGCCGAGGGCAAAGTTGCCGCATTGACTTTTGCGGGAGCTTGGGAACATGACGAAAGGATGCGCTAAAGCGGCAATGCATAGTCCGTGCTAGATGCACTTTTGCAAAAGCGCTTCGCACTAGAAAGGCCCAAGAAGGGCAAAGCTGCACGCTATCCAACAGAGCTTGTGATATTCTCGACACCAGGCTGCTTCAGCAATTCGAGCGTCTTTGAAACTCTGAAAGCACGACCACAGACGCTCCCGTCAGATCCTGTGCTTCATGTGTTTCGAGCTTGAGAACCACGATTCTTCATCAATTCTGTCGACATCCCAATTGCGAGGAAGCAGCGCCAAGAGACAGATCCCGAAGCTTCGAGCCGGAAGCGAAAGCTGGATGAAGCGGAGCCTTGTCAGTGGACCGAGGCAAAGTTATGGCATAAAACAGAACACACACACAACTCAAAACATCATCGAAACAGCATCAACTGCGCGGGTAAGTTGACGGATCGCCGAGGACAGCGTTGGGCATTGCTTGGATGCGTGGGACATGTCTTACTATACTGATCTCTTGCAAAGGGAGGAGTTACACCTGGATGATGCGAAAGTCAAGGAGTTTTTTCCGCTAGAAGGAACCATTCAACGTATTCTTGAAGTTTATTCCGAACTCCTCGGGCTGAGATTCGAGCGCAATGCCGAGTTGCCGGTGTGGCATGAAGAGGTAGTGGCTTTTGAGGTCAAGGAGAGCAAGTCCGACAGGCTTGTGGGACATCTTTATTTGGACCAGTTTCCGCGTGATGGGAAGTTTGCGCATCAGATGATCCTACCCCTCGCACCAGCCTTCACGAGCATTGGAGAGTGCCTGAAGTGCGTGCCGGCTTGCGTGAACATCTCGAACTTTGCTCGCCCGGAAGGAGACCGGCCGGCACTGCTGCGGCTCACCGAAATGAAGACTTTGTTTCATGAGCTTGGGCATGCCATGCACTGTCTCTGCACCCAGACTCGCTTTTCTATTCTCTCCTGGGCGTGGCCGATGGTGCCTTGGCCCGGCGGAGTCGAGCAGGATTTCCTGGAGGTGCCGTCCATGGCTTTGGAGAAGTTCGCCGGCGAGCCCTCCCTGCTGCACCGAGTGGCCCGGCATTTCTCAGGAGACGGAAGCAAGCTGGATGCAACAACTATCGAACAGATCCAGAAGCTGGAAAGGTTCATGGCAGGCCAACATGTCACAAAAGCATCTCACCGAACGAGTCATCTTAATTGTTAGCGCTCCGCACCGTCCGCCTCGGCCTGGCAAATGTTGTGGAGATTTGCTTAAGAATTGCAAGAAAGTTTAAGCCTTAAGTCACGAGCATTTGTCGAGAGCTATTGTCGGAATCCTAAACCGCGAACCCTTGAACCCTAAATCTTGCCATGCTGTTACCGTCGCAGGCACGCAGGAAAGCCGACTTATATCCATGTCCATGATCGATCTCTTACTGCACTCGCAAGCTCCTCCCTATTCTTTCGATGGGCAAGCTGGGCTCTCACCACCCGAATTGTATAGGTTGGTTGTCGAGAGATGCACATCCTTGAAGCAACTGCCGAACACGAACTTTTGTGCATCCTGGTATCATCTCTACATCGGTTATGATGCTGGAGTGTACGGCTATGCCTGGAGTGACGTCTTTGCGGCGGATATCTTTGAGTCCATGAGGAACTGCCAGACCGGACCACTTAGCGCAGAGACGGGAAAGCAGCTTCGCTCGCACATCCTCGAGCCGTGCGCGACGAAGCCGGGACACGACATGCTGCGGGGTTTCCTGGGACGGGAGCCTTCGGTGGATGCTTGGTGTCGCTTCAAAGGTATCCAGTGAGTGCAAAAAGCTCTTCACTTTGTTGCACAAGTCTGTAGACCCCCGAGAGTGTCTGAAGTCTGCTGCCATGTCGCCCATGTACTGTGCATGTAAGTCGAGTGGAAGGAATGGGGCATGCTCAGCGGAATGTGGCGTAGTTTCAAGTTCGGGGGCACAGCATCTGCTGAGACAGTCGTCTTGCGATTCGCTTGCCAGGAGCACGATCTGGTGAGAACCTTCCAGGACGTCATGACTAAGACTTGTCCCGACTTGACTGTGACTCCAGGAAATCATCCATACTTCCTCATGTCCGGAGCATGGCGGCTAGAAGTGAAACATGCAATGCAGGAGCTGCTCCACGGACTCCTTGTTGCCAAACCTGCAGATCCTCACAAATATGTGCAGGCCAGCAGAAAGCTTCCCTTAGCTCGTCTTTGCTACTTGCTCCAAGTTCTGCTTGACCAGGAGCACCTGTCCAAGGCACGAAAGCTTGCAGCCCGACGCTTTGGTCACAGCTGGCTCAGCATGATGGATCGCATCTCACACTTGCTCGTGGTTCGAAGTGTCTACACTTCGACCAGACCCCAGTGTGAAGAGTATTGTTCACCCCAATTCATCGCAACTTGCCGGACCTTGAAAAGCTTCATTGCCCGCTCTTACCCGTATGCTGATGCTCGAAGGCAGCGCTGATTTTTGATAGCGAGGCAACTCTTGTGATTGTTGTAGGTGTTGGCGATGGCATACAGTGGAGCTCAAGGCTATGCTCGCATCTCCTCCGATTCCTGCATTTACAAGCGCCGGCAGGTCCCAAGCGATGACATGGATCCCCACTTTGACATCGTAGGGCTCGACGAGCGGGATATTGACACCGATGAAGATCGTGAGCATGGCAAAATGTGTCCTCCCTTGTACCGAGTAGCTCGTGGAGGAGATGACAGCGACGCAACTGATGAAGGGCCATCTCCGGCCAGGATTTCCCACAAAGTTCCGAGCAAGAGGAGGGAGCATGTCTCGAAGCGATCCGAGCTGCAACGCTACAAGCTCACGAGGGAGCTTCCCACGACATGGTCTGTATCTCCCTCGATTGACATTTTTTCTTTTCTATACTCGTTCTTGTCTTCATGATCTGGAGGTTTCAGTCAGCACAGCTATGCACGGCTTGCTTTCCTGCCCCCAAGGCACCACCACGTGTGCTGTGTGTGACCCGTCGACACCTTCGAAAGGGAAAGTACGTAGACTTCCTCGGTGAGTACCACCTGGACCTGATTCAAGAAAACGGGGGTGCTGCCATCATGATCCCCCGTACTGCCTTGACAGTTCCTGCTCTGGCTGAGTACTTGCCGATGGATGGCTTGCTCGTCGTGGAGGGGAACGACATATCCGATGAGGTCCTGAACAAGTATGGCCGGGGCCCCGTAGCGCGCAGCAGCGAAGCGGAGTGTGGCCGAGCCTTGTGCACTAAGGATGCTCTGCTCCAGACCGTTTGGACGGAGAGGATGCCATGAAGTGGGCCAGCGACACGGAGTTCGTGGCCTGCCGGCACCCAAGGGAAAAGGCAGCAGCCATCGAGTGAAAGGTTATGTGCAGGTGAAGCCTGCGTTTGACTTAATTCCCTTTGCGTTTATTGTGCCCACAGTCCTGAAGAGTACTAGGTACGAAACGTCGGCATCGAGTAGTTACCAGGGGCGCTGTGCATCCTACTGTACCAAGTTAGTTGTGGCTGCTCAAAATCTCCCGTAGCCAAGGACGTCCCGAAGGATCAGCTGGAGTTTGCATTGATGCGTTTGGCCCTGGACTCCGGCTGTCCAATCCTTTCCCTTTGTCGTGGCTCGCAGATGCTCAATGTCCTGAGAGGTGGGACGCTGATCGGGGACATTGAGAAGGAGTGGCCCGATAGAACCTGCACCTGAAATTGCGAATGTCCGGGGCCAGGGGTGCAAAGGGATCTTGCCCTATACCGTATAGCACATCTCTTAAGACCTAGAGTAAGCAACTTCGAAGAAGAATCGGAAAGACCAGCTTCAATGTACAAAGCTTCTGAGATCACAACATCGTGAAGCGAATATCTTCGCCAAGCGCGGCTCTTCACTGTCTGCAGCGCAGCAGCACGGCAAAAGAAGCAAGCGACTCAAGCTGCACCACGACAACCTGTTTGAACTACGGAACTTCTAGCTAAACTAGGCCTACCTGTGCGCTTTTGAACAATGGCTGATGAAGCGAAGTTTTTCTGAAGCCAATTTCTTCCCCAGCAGCAACACTCAAATTTTAACGCTACGCCGCCCGCCTCGGCTGTGTAGCGGCAGGAGGGGGCAGTCGAAGTTGTTGATACGAAGTGCCAGGAAAACGGGCACAGGGGGAGGGAGGGGGGGGGAGGGGGGGAGGGGGGGGGGGGGGGGAGGGGGGGGGGGGAGGGAGAGGGGGGGGGATGAGAAGGAGGCGACAAATGAGGGAAGGGGGAGGCCGACAAATCAGGTAAAATGAGGGGAAGCCGGGCAAGGGGGTGGCAAACGAACGCAAAAACAGGGTGTCACCAATCATTTCGGCTCCAGGGAGGAGGATTAGGTGGAGGGTACCTGAGGTAACCACCAAAACGCCTGGGCCTCTGGCCTCGGCGGATTTCCACAACATGTCCAAGATTCAATACACCCGAGCCCATTCTCATTGTGATGGCAGTGGCTGCACCACCGGCCGCTGCTAGAACTCAGCGCTTCAGGGAACATTACAAGCACGATACGGTGTCCAAGTCTATCGTGACGTAAGTACGCTGCGAAGAGAGCACAAACTCCGCAAGCTGTCCTTTTGATTTCCCAAATCTGGCAGCGCTCGAGCTTGTGCCATGTACATAAAACGGGCAAAGTCATCGTTTCACATGCTCTCTCTTTAACCACCAAGATTTGAAGAACGAGTGCAACTTTCGAGCGAATGTTCTGGAAAGCTCGCTTGACAAGTTTGAACTGACAACTGGATTGAGAAACCAATGGCTTCTAGAAACTATCGTTGTCAAACACTTCACTGGCTGCAATTTTCGGCGGAATCAAACAACACTGCGACGACCTATTTGAGGATATTCAAAGCCAGTTTTATGGCTTGAGGCTTTCGTTTCTAAAGCCCAGCTTTTGTTGAGGCCATTTCCAAAGCAAGAGCAAATGTAAGGGAAGACTTCTATTGCACCATTGGGACAGTAGGGAAGCCGTGAGTGTTTGCACCCTGTCCACAGGAGGTTCCAAATGCAGTTGTGCATCTCAAGGATGCCAGTGATCCAACCTACGACAGCCACCGTCATCCCATCAGAGTGTTGCCAGACACTCCTCTTGCATCATGGTTCGACAAGTCCCTTGTTGACACCGACGAGCTCAGTGTGAACTCGTATCATCACCAGGGAGTGCGCACGTTGGGAAAGGGTTTGAAGCCAATGGCGTACGCTCCTGACGGGGTTCTTGAAGGATTCTACGACGAGCGCTACAATCCGTCGCAGGGGCGCTTCATGGTCGGATTGCAGTTCCATCCTGAGCGCATGATGGATGACTACCCTGGATGCAAGATCGTCTACGAAGACTTCTTGACAGCTTGCAAGAACTTCAGGAAGTCCAGAAACTTTTAGATTTGAAGGCCCGGCATGTGTGTGGCCGTGAATATGTACAGCTTTCCTGATCAGTGATCGTGGCCTGATGAATGGTCAAACAACTTCCGTGGGCCAGGTTATGAGAACTGATTACTCGGGCTGGCATGGCATAGAGGCATAGAGCTTGCAGCCGTGGAATGCATGGTTGCACGTTTGAAGCGGAAGCCACCAAGCTTGTTTCGAGCGCAAGCCTGTTTCACAAAGGCACAGCATCACCATCGGAAGAGGCCCAATGTACAGCCTGCATAGGAGGCCACCGGAAAGACCGATGGGACGGATGCAGCCATGGTGGCACTCCCTCCTTGCTGTGGGCAGTGCCGCCGTCATGTGCTTAATGAGTGGTTCGCATCGATACACGAGCGGCCGATGCGAGTTTTGCCCTTCTGCTTCGACTTCATAGCAGTGATCTTTGTGTGCTGACCTGCTGTTATCTTATTGCACTTGTGCAGGAGTCATTGGTGACATTGATGTAGATGCATTAGACTCGAAGAGTGGTTGGGCAGCCGAGTGTGATGAAGCGTAAGCTGCGGAAGTTTACCGAAGCTCCACTCGTCGTGCTTCTGAGTGGGACACCTGCATGCCTAATTAGCTGTGGCGGTGATGCCTAAATTTCAAGAGACCCATGGATATTCTTTAGACCCGCTGCTGGCACCAATTCTGCTCAGCGGAGACTGGCCAAAAGCAGCGAAAGCCTGGAGTCATCGAGTCATCTCAGGACTGTGCCTTACTGCAAGTGCTTTGGGTCCTTGCTCATCTTGTTTCCTCGTGACTAAGGTCAAAGCGAAGGGAGAGGCCGCACTGCTTTGATTTTTGCCCTCATGATCTCATCAAGTTGCGAAAGCTGCCCAAGGGCTTGCAAAGTTTTATCAATTAGCAGTTGGGTCTGTCCTTCGGGTCCTTTGACGCAGCAGACGGGGCGTGTATAGGGGATCGGGAGGGTGTGGGCACGGAGGGTGAAGGGGAGAGGGTGCACTAATATGCCTTTGTTTCATGTCGCCCGCTTTCGTCGCCACCTTTCAACTTCCGAAAAAGGCATTCTGCATTCTGCAAGCTAGGCATATGACATGCTCATGTCTTGCGACGCCTTCTGAGAAGCTGCCCCTTGAGGCTGATGGCGCAGCAAGTCCATACTGCCTCATTCTCAGGAGTCCCGGACATCCGGCATGCGATGCCACTGTGGCAACATCTAGCAGGTACAAGCCTGTTTAGAGCAGTGCCTTACACCGAGATGCCATCTTCATCTGTATTGCTTCGCAGCTTCAGGTGGTACTGCTTCGCCTGATCCCGACTCGGAGATGTCAAAGGAGCTGTACAAGGCCGAAGTGCCAGATAGATCCCAATAGGTGCTGATTGCTAGCCCTGCGCACAGTGCTTTACCTGTGCCTCGAAACGAATTAAAGCCCAAGTTGCGTGATGCTGACATGCAGGCCAAGCGACGTCGGTCCAGCGACCTCCCCTCAGTTGGCACAGCAAGTTTTGGAAGCTTTGCTGACAATGGAATTTCAGGTCCGCGAGCACATGAGGATGCAGCAGAAGGCTGCTGGAGCGTCTGGTTGTTCAAAGGCTTGGAATCGGGGCCTGTTTTCAGACTCGCCTGAGCCGTGTCTGAGAGCGAAGAAGGTGGAGACGCTCTTGATGACATTGGAAGCTGCCAGCAATAACTTGGAGATAGTCGGCGGCTCACACCGGTATCGGAGCGGCGTGCAGGCGACTGTGTGTTGCGCCGAAAGGTGCTGCCATTTATTCCGGAGCAGCTGCGCGTGAACCTAGCAAGCACGGAGTTCTCTACCCTGTGCTTGGCCGAGAATACCGCCGAGCATCATTGCGGTCTCTTGTCGCAGCAATTCCAGTTGGCACCTCTCAGGTGCGATGAGAAATTCAGGGCTCTGGATGTGGAAGACCGCGGCAGGGGACCAGAAGCAGACTGAAGTCACGGTTAAGTTCCGACTCAAGTCTTGCAGGTGAGCTGACCTCTGACGACCTCATCCCGGTCATTGCACCATCCTCGTGAACGAGCAGTATTTAGTTGACCCTGTAAAGTTTCATCTGACGAGGTTGAGCTAAGTCGGGCTCAAAAAGATTCTATATCAACTGAGCAATGCAGGACTTCGTCACATGCATGTCAGTTTTGCGCCTGTGTCTACGCTCCGTCTTCTCCGTGGAGCCAGGAAGTTTGCAGACATGTTCGACTCCAACCAGGAGACTGCTCTTGGCTAACAGCAGACATTGCGTTGCAACCAGCTGGAAGCTGCAGCTCGGGTTTTTTCGTTGAAGGACGGCCTGATCAACATTGCAGAATTCACCCAGATGGTGCAGTTTGTCACAGTTGCCGGATGGTTAGAGAGTCAGGCACCTGACTCCAGACGCTGTGCGGATTCCACCCCACCTGATTCAACGACCAGCCACTCTCGGACGGTGACAGGAAGGAAAAGACATGATCCAAAAGGTGGGTCAGCGTTTCACCTGCTCGCGTTGGCGTGCTTTTGCTTGCCTGCCAGCAGGCAGAGCTTGCAGATCGATCTTTCCAGGCAGGACAGGGCTGCTATGTCAGCAGATGTTGGATTCTGCCTGAGAGGACTTGATAAAGATGATCGAGGCAGACAAGGCAAAGGGCCCCTGAAGGCCTTGTCTGCCTCAAACGCTCGAAACGGCAGGAGCGGCTCTGGAGCATCATCCCCTTTCTTCCAGAATGGCTGGTGAATCACCTTACCAGCAAAGAGTTTGAGGAGGCGCGCTGCGGCTCGGCGGGTGAGTTTCTTGCACAGCAAAGACCACGGCATGCCGTGGTGGAGGCTTGCCATGAGCAATTCGATGGTCTTGACGCGGACGGTAGTGGCAGCCTGGAGCCGGTTGAGCTGATCCCCATTATCCAGGCCATCTGTCAGACGGAGGCCTGATAGCGCCCCCAATCAGCAAGCGCCAGCATGCGGCAGCATGCGGCAGCCCTGCCCTGCTTGTCTAGGAGCACGGCGTGGCGATCACCGAAGAGCGCTGTCAAAGGCTCGGAGCTCAATCGGTCAAGCAAGTCTGCGTCGTTCACTGCAAGCTCCTCAGCATGGGCAAGGTTCACGTCGCTTTTTGACACAGATGGAAACGGGGTCATCAAGTCTCCAGCTCGGTTCTTCTGAGCTAGCTTGTGTAGGACCGGATAATTGCATAAATGGATGAGGGTTTTTGCATGCAGCCGAGGCGGGATGAGTTCATAGAGTTTGCACAGTTTCTGACGGGCAGCATTCTCAGAGTGCAGTTGCTTTATTTGGCCTCGTCCGGTCTTCCATCCATCCATCCATCCATCCATTCATGCATATATATATATATATATACATATAAATATTGCACATACATGAGCATGTATACATACATACAGTACCCAGTACACACATAACGCGAAGATACATGCAAACGGGATGCATGACTACATGCGCGAATACTAACAATCAAGCACACAACAAATTCAGAGGCAGGTTTGTTGTGTATGTCTGTGTGTTCAGCAAGATTTATGCGCGTAGACCTCGAGAAAGCGCTCAAGATAAATCCTACTAACAGAAGGATCGGACGATGGATGGACAGATGTGTGTATGCAACGACTGCATGCATGCATGTATTATAATTGCTTGCTGGTTCGTTTCAATGTGTGGGTATCTTTGTGCCTTTGTCTCTATGTGTTCCGTCTCTATGTAGCTATGCACTGTGGACCTACCTTTCATCTACTATGTATCGACCTGTCAACCCATCTACCCATCCACCTATCTCCCTATCCGCCGATTTGTCTAAGCATCTATCTGTCTATGTATCTATCTACCTCCCCATTTTCGTATCTACTTATTTTCTTATGCATCTACCTAACCACATCTATCTACCTATCCGTCCAGCAGTGTCTTGGTGTATGTCTGCATATTTGGATGTTTGTCTGCATGGATGCGTGGCTGCATGTCTGTCTTCATGTATGTGCGTACATGCTCATGCAGTGGTGTCGCCATTGGTTTGACATGCTGGTTGCAGATGTAAATGCGAAATCGTGATGTTGTATGTTCGGCCCATCCGCGGCGCCACCTGGCAACAGTTGTGCTGCGTTGCATCCTGCTTCTGGACTATTGTTTGCAGACGCTGCAAGATGAGAATGCTCTCGGAGAGCTCAGTAGCTGTCTAGTGCCTGCTGCCTGCCAGTCATGAACTTCCTCACGAACACGGAGGAGGGACAAGATGTGGGGAAACCCAGGAAAAGCTTGTCAAAAGTTTTCAAGCACAGCGCCGCTCGAAGGTCTCAAAGAAGGCCACCGACGTTGCTCAGGGTGCTGACAGGAATCAGGTGCTCCTGCAGATGCTCGATGAGGCTCCCTTGTGCTTGAAAGAATCTTCATCCCAGGGTCTGGTCCACAGGGAGGGTGCAGAAACAATGCCTCGCTGTCTGGAGGATCCGGACTTCTTGCAAGAAGTGTTGCAACAGTTGCCCAAGCCGCTCTACTGGGCTGCCAACTCAGCTCTGGCTGTCGGAGTCCTTCTTGAGCTTGCCAGACGTTGCAACCAAGCTAAGGAAATCACCAGCCTTGACTTTCAAAAGGCTGAGCCGGGTGTTTGGCGTTTGGCATTGTGGATGCGGTGTTCGTGTGCTCGAAGCTATCAGGCTTGCATGGATGGCTTCAAGGCCTGAGAGCTGGTTGTTTTTCTGGAAGGAGACGAATGGGGCGCATCGTAACATTCAGGCCGCAGCTGGCGAGGACTGCGATGCCGGTAGCACGGTGCCTCCAGGCATGTTAGTGCCGGTGGCGGCCTCAAAAATCTCCGGAACCTCCGACTCGGATCATGTAACTTGCTCGAGCTCAAGGTGATAAACCAGCTGATCCAGGCACCGCGACGATCTGTGAGAGTCTCCAATAAACGTCCGTTTTCGGAAAAGGTACACCCCTTCAAAATCAGCGAGGAGCAGTGCAACCATTTTATGAGCCGATGGGCGTCTCGGCTGACGCGCTCTGACAGGTTGTGGGGAGACGGTGCTAGCGGCATGCCTTGCAAGATGATCGAATATCGTTCGGCTGCGTGCAAGGATCGAGAGCTGAAGAATTCGGTGACGTCTTCTACTTGGATCAGTCATTGCAGAATATTTCGGTCAGCCAGTTGTTGTGAAGCAGGCCTGCCGAGTTTTTGCTGCTGGCGCGCTACTGCATCGTCATGGGATATCTCACCTACCTCGTGGAGAATCAGGATCGGGCTCGGAGTGACGGGGAGCTTTTGCGGCGCTGGCTGAGTCGGCAGGATGCCTTGATGGCCGACGTTATGCTCGGTCAAGAAAAGATGGAGTCTGTCTTGCAGGGGCTCAGACAGGGCCAGGTACTCAGTTTCTGATTTGTCTTGTAGCTCGTTGCAATTCTAGACCAGGCTCTGAGATGGTTTGGGATGTGCTGCCCTTCCTCCCACAGGCCAGGGCCTTTTCATTTACGTATTGTGGGAATTGAAGCCGTGGCAGCTAGCGAAGGGAAAGAACACCTGGTGCAAACCAATGATAGCGGTGTTATTCCGAGTCCCTCATCGACGAGCTTTCGAGTCCGGAGTTCGAGCTGTCGTGCGATGAATTCTTCACACAGCTGGACAAGGACAGGGACACCAAGCCAAGGCCCTGTGGCCCTGTGAGGCCTGCACGAAGGGCACCTGCCTGCGAGGACGGCAACGGCACTCTGGAGCCTGCGGAGCTGCTCCCCATCGTTCAGGACTTGACCCAGGCCTGCGGCATCCTGCGGCTTGCGGACGAGAAGACCTCAACCGAACCCACTGTCTGCCGCAGGCACACGCGTTCGTTCTCACCGAAGAGCACTGCAAGAAGTTCGTCGACCTTTTCGATATCGACAGAAATGGTGTGCGAGCCTCAGATGAAATGAGACTGCAACGCCGCAGCAGTTGCTAGTTCGAGAAGCATTCTTGGTGAGGGCGTCATGCATCCAGGGCAGAATCAGCCTTGCAATGAGCAGACCTGCCTTTGCTTGCACAGATCATTGCGAAGCACGAGTTTGTGAATTTCGCGAGGGCCCCAACGCCGAATTCGGTAGGACAAAAGGCATCTGGGAGTCATCTGAGCAATATCTGCTTTTCGGGACAAAGGTGCGTTATATGATGATCATGCCGGGAGCCTGGGCCAGTCTGGGCTCCGCTGGGCTCGAAGAAGTCTCGGGCAGATTGCAGCGTTGCAGCTCAGGGCCTTCATGGAAACTCCAGAGGGCCAGCAGGCGAAGCAGGAGGTGGAGGCCTGGAGCGAGTTTCTTTCATCCTCGTGACGGTGATCCCTTGCACCGACTCTCAGGTCGACAAGAGCAGTCGCGCGGTGGACCGTCTCTTGCACCAGCTGCAAAGAGACCGCGATGCCATTATTAAGGCTTGAGCCCGCCGGTTGTACGCTTCTGACCTGTGCATCTCAGTTTGCAGGTCATGCCTCTACTGCCAGAAGCTTCGGCCATAAATTCTCGTTTGATGCCTGCGGTGAGAGCCTCGGCGCATACGACCAGCTGAGGCCGTCTACAGCGAATTGGTGAGCCAGCGTTTCGAGTGCCTGGCATGCTTGAACAGCTGCAGGGAGAGATTTCGCACACTTGAAAGAATGTTCACGGAGAAGTCAGACTCAGCCGAAGCACTTGGAGCTTCGGAGGTGACACAGTTCTCCGACCAGTTCAAGGCTCTTGACAAGGCTACTGCATCGCCTCCTCGTTGTTGGAGCAACCATGCGCAGCCATGCGCAGTTCAGTCTCGTCAGGATGGAAGTGGAGTGTTGGAACCCGCAGAGCCAGCTGCTAAGCTTGCTCGAAAGTGCACGTGAAAAAGCCACCGAGGAGGTGGACAGGGTCCTAAACACAGCTACTGGTCGTGTGACCCGAAGTGTTTAGGATGCTGCAAGTTGCTGAGTGCAAACTTGCTGGGCGATCAAAGTTCGGCCCAGGCTCTTCGACATCATCGTCTCGCTCTCCTCTTCTCAGCCGTTCGCTGTCACACAGCAGCAGCGACACGGCTATCCTTGATCACCTTTGCTTGGGATGTTTCTCCACATTGTTGAAGGTCTTGTCATCTTAAGAATTTGCTAATGTAGCTCAGGTGCGAAGCCTTCACCTCCATTTTCGATCTGCATGGGGACGGCGTTCTTCGGCATGACGAATTCCTGGATTTCGCCAGGCGGGCTATGCTAGTCCTTGCAGGTCTCCTCAAACCGGTTGTTGCGGGGACAGGTTCCTTTGCATCATGAGCTATCTACACAGCTCTGATGGAGAGGCTCGGAGTGGGACATACTCCTCTCCCCTCACTTGCTTGTTGTATTCTGGCGTCAGATGGCATCTGCCGCAAGCTGACACAGCAACCGTCGCATCTGCAGGCTGCGGCTGCTGAAGCCGTCAAGGTCTTGGAGGACAGCAAGCGCATCGAGGACCTGCGCAGGGATTCGCGATGATCGGGAATGCCCGTTGCAAATTGCAGTCGGAGCTGGAGGACCTTCTCGCAGCCCTGGAACGCGACCACGAAGCCGTTCAGCAGGCCTTTCGGCAACGCAACTAACCTGAAACTGTGAGCCTGTTCTTCGCAACAAGCTCAGTGCTGTAGTGCTGGCGGCCTGGTGACATGCCATGCATGCCAGGCATGCATGCTTATGATGCTTCACGTGCCTTCGATCTGGTACCTGGGGCTCACAGCCGGGTTAGAAGTGGTGCCCCACTGTGCCCAGAGCCTGTTGGGAGCTTTAGGAGCCTTGGATTCAGTTTGGTGTGGGAGCACCGTGCGAGACGGCTTGCAGAGAAGACCTGTGAATTTTGTGACTTAGAACAATGGCCTCGCCTGGAAGACCGCAGAGCCGCGGGATGGGCCCAGTGCCCGAGCCTTCACCGTCCGAAGAGGCGCAGCTTCCAAGCTTCTGTATTGCTTCTGCTTTCGAGGGCTGCACCGGGGATGAGCACCGGTGGCCTTGGCCCGGTGCAGGCGACAGACTTTCACAAGTGATGCAAACGGGCCGCCCGTGCATTGTGCGATGCCCTGCTGAGGCCACCATGCGCCCAGGCACACAAATGGGAGGGCCCGGAGCTCTGGCATCATTCATGCAGGCTTTGTGGATGAAGACTTGTCCTCAGGACCCAGAACCCCATGGGCCAAACCGGTCGAGCAGCCCTCTCAGTCTCAGTTCGGCAGGTTCTGGAAATCGCAGCAAACGGCTAGACTGAAGGTACCAACAGCTCAGGGTGGGCGCCCGGGCCCCAGCCTGTGCCCATTGACATTGCCGTGCCACACTCGAGTTGTGGGATCCATTCCCGCGGTGAGGAATGAGCGCTTCCCGCACACGCCAGGGCACGGCCGCACAACCTGTCTTGGGCCGAGGGCTCAGAGCTCCAGCCGTGTCCAGCCCTTGGTAGTGCAAGTTTCCAACCGGAAGAGCCATGTGCCCCGGATGGCCTCCGAATCTCAAGCCACACTCTGTGCTTCTCGGCTCTCACAACTCCGGCTTCGTGCCTCTACGATGTCATCGGCTCCCTGCAAGTCGTGCAGTCTGTTCAACAGTGCCTTTTCGAGAGGGGGCAAGAAGAGCTGGCGGTGGTCGGTAGTGACTGCAATGTGTATATCAACAGTGTTTTTTTCAGTTCATCAGAGAAATTATATGACTAGGAGTTGAAGATGACGAGCCGAGTGCAAATACCACGTCCAGAGTCTAGAGACTCTGCAAAAGCCTTGCTTCTCCTGCGTTCGTTAGTCAAGCTTTTTTCCCGAGGTGTTGGCGCGATGACGGAAGTGAAGGTGTCCGACCGGCCGATGACGATGCAGGGCGCGCGAGCTCGGAAACCGCACCTGCTTGTCCGAGTTGTCACAATGTGTCAGAGTCGCATACGGTTTCCAGCTGCTTGGCTCAAGCCTCCTTGCAAAGCTCAAGCGGCCTTTCCGCGAGAATGCCGTGTTCAAGGCAAGAGCGAGCCACCTTTCTACATCAAGTAAGCTCATTCGCGGAGCAGCTGCGAGCAAAGGCAGGACTGCGCGGTCACGTGCGACTTGAATGTCGGCAGCCCGGTGATGGAGAGCAGCGCTGACAAAGGCGTCCTTGTCGACTGCATGTCTAAGTGTGCCAGGCCGATGATCCAACATTGGCCTCGGGTGTGTGCAAGGCTTGATGCAGATGCGGATGCCATAAATCCACGGATGTCCGGACCAGTGTCTCCTAACGAGGTCTGTGACCACTCGATCTGCTTTCACTGCGAGGCCTGTCGCAACGCAGTCGACCCGTGGTCGCTTGTAATCAGCCTAGGCAGACCAGGCAAGGAGAAGCCCCGATCCGAACCGGCACCTCTAGAAAGAAAGTTGCGTCACGTATACAAGACAGCAACGGCTCACCGACCGTGCAGAAGAAGCACAGTTGCCAAGCTCTCCCAGCTGCAAAGCAGGAGTGTCGCGACGTTGTCCACTCCACAGAGAAATGCGACCGCCCGTGCTGCCGCTTCGAGGTGACTGTACTCGGAGTGGCTTGCCTGCATTTGGCACTTTCACGACTAGGTCGAAAGCAGAGGGTGCAGTGTGATCAGGTGGACAACCTATGCTGAAATTCGGATACTGGGCAGAAGAAGTCTGGCACACTTTGCTTGTTCGATAACAAGGCTTCGACTTCCTTGTAGCATCGGTTGCTCGCAGCCCGTGCATGTCCGTCACGCAAGGAAGTCAAGCTGATTGAGAAAGCGATAGCCAGCCTTGGAATCAGCAAGGCAGCTGTCAAAGCAAATGCTGGAACAAAGACTGCCGTGGTGACCCACTTGTCAACGGTGAAGGCTGACCGATGCTTGGCTTTAAGAATAAGGTGGGAATTGAACATGAAGCAGAACAATAATTCTACCAGCACGACTAGGCGGTGAGCACAACAGCAGTGATATTCGTAGCATCAAGATAGCAAGAACTGATGGCTCTGACGTTTTCCAATCGCAGCCCCTCAGCAAAAAGCAACGCACTAACAAACCCCTACATGCAAGCCGGTTCAAGCCAAGGCATCGAAACGTTGGCATCGCAAACCCTGCGTACACGCCCCGCTCGAATAATGGCCCCGTCGAAGCTATTTTCGGTCAAGTTTGGGAGCGCTTTCCTACCCGACATGTCCTCGGCGTGTTCGCAATCGGTCACAGTCGCACAAGACCAGCAGAACCTGCATCCGCTTTTCTTGCAGCAGGATCACGCGAAGAGAACCTATGAGTCTCAGGTCTGGTGGCGGCCCTGAACCGCTTGATGTTGGGCGCCCGCAACTTTACGGCAAAACTGCAAATTCAGATTCTGACCTTTTCGAAGTCTGTGGCGACATTGCTTTGCAGGCACTGGTTAGAGGGTCTTTCTTGACCTGCAGGTTGCAATTTTCGACGGGGCACTCGTTCTCTTGACACGTAGCTGCTATTCGCAAGTGTATACAAAACCCATAGTTACAATTTTAAACGAGTGCTTTCACACGCATGACGAGAAAAAGTGGCAAGTACTGTAGCGGTGCGCCAAGTAGTTTCTGCTGCCCCACCCGCACGGTTTGGCTTGGATGTCGCATCACTGAGTTCCGATGTTCATGGACCCTGTCTGGAGAGAGCGGGCCGTGGGAAGCTGAAATCTGATGTTCTGTTCTCCAAGGATTAGAGGCACTTGCACTGATTCCTGGATATAACCTTCCTGATTGATAAGAGCGCGAAGGTTGTCGCTACAGTTTTGCAGAATGGGGCTGGCGGAGCTGAATTCAATTATTGCACGCTTTAGAGGTATGCATGTCTCCGATTGATGTAGGTTCCCTGGATCCCCCCAAATGAAAACCCTCGGAAACACCTTCTGGCCGGACGGGCTCCCCCAGATCCGAAACCCGACAGAAATGGTGGATCATGCTGCATGATTCCAGTTCCCGCTGTTCTCGGGAAAAGACGGCGCTGGGACTGAAGTGACGTTCTCTGAGTCTTGCAAGTTGTATTCGAGAAGCTTTGCCTCGCGACTCGTGCTTGAGGAATCCTTCAGTCCGGCGGTGTTCAGCACGAGGAGGAGTTGAGCTCTGGCTTGCTGGGTTTCCTCCACTCTCTGAAAGACGCAGACAGTGCTTGGTTCGCACCGATGCCTCTTTGTCTCAGATATCAACACCCTTGCCTGCGAGCCGAGGTAAGGCATCCCGGGCGCTGCTGCTGGTGCAAGGCAGGCAATTGACGGGGCAATGCGTCTGCAGCGATTTCTGTGCGACCAGGTGCTGCCTTCTCAACCTCCTTCATCCCTGGTCCTCAGAGTCCCGTGCTAGCACTTGCAGCGTGGCTGAACAGTACCTTACCCTTGGCAATGCTGGATGACACCTTCACGATGGGTCATGCCAGTGTCAAGTAAAAGGTTCGGTGAGGAGCTGTCTTGGAGTGGGTGGCCAAAACAGAATTTTCTGTGTTCTAGGTCGCGGTGCTTCTTGCCCACGGCCTTCTGCGAAGAGCATGTGGGATGCCCAGTTACGATTGAGATGAGTCGTCGTCAGCCATTGTCGTCTCTAGTCTAGTCTTCTTTATGACAGGTGGTAGCCCTGCGTCAAGTAAGTCAGGCCAAGCCATTGTCGCACAACGCATCTCCATGCATGTCCTGATGCTCATCGTCCTGCTCGGGGCTCTCTACCTCGAGCAGTTCACCGAAGCTGCTACAGTGGCTTTCCTCGTGAATGTTTCAGAGTGGATCGTTGGACGATCGCAACAGGCAGTCGAGAGTGAACTGGAGAAGAGCATGGTTGGCGCTGCCAGCCATGCCACCCTCCTCCTCAAGAAGGGCGGGTCTCGTTCGGGAGGCGTCTCTGTGAAGATCGAGGAGTTGAGCCCGGGAGACGTCGTCCTGCTGAAAAGTGGCAGCGTGGTACCAACAGACGGCCGTCTTCTCCGGGCGGAAGCCTTCATGGTGAACGAGTCTGCGGTGACCGGTGAGGCGCTTCCAGCAGAGAAGTCTGTCGGATCTCAGCTCCTGTCTGGGACAGTTGTCGCCACTGGCGTGGCAGAGATGGAGTGCACGACCACTGCAGCAGACTCTTTTCAGGGTCGCATGAAGGCGGCTGTCCAGGACGCACGGAGCTCTCGATCCGACATGGAAGAACTCGTGAACCGCTTCGCCGAGATCTACACCCCGGTAGTGCTCGGGCTGTCACTGGTCATTGCCATCTTGTCACAGAGCCTCACCCGGGGTCTCACGGTCTTGGTGTCTGCTTGCCCATGTGCCGTGGTGGCGGCCGCTCCGGTGGTGCAATCTTGTTGCTTCGTGCGGCTCTTGTCGGATCTCCAGGTTTTGGTGAAAGATGCCCGTGCCTTGGAAGGCTTCGCAAGAGTCACAACCCTTGGGACTGACAAGACCGGCACTTTGACCAAGGGTACCTTTGAACTTGCCGAAGTCGTGGTGCTTGATGGAGAGAAGACGGATCTGCTGCGTCTGCTTGCGGCACTGGAGTCCCAAGACTCCCATCCCCTAGCAAGCGCTCTCGTAAGAAGCTTTGTTGGATGTGCGGCTGACTTTGATACCAATGGCCCGGACCTGCCCAAGGTTTCCAACTTCACCCGCGTGGAGTCGATGGGAGTCTGGGGAATTGTGCAAGGTCAAGTGGTTGGTGCAGGCAGCAGGCGCTTTTTGGATTCCATGGCCATCAGCCTCCCGGACACAGCAGAAGCGAAGCTCGCATCGTGGGAAGCAGCAGGGGGTGTGTACAGCACAGTCTTCATGACATTGGAGGAGGAGGTGGTCATGATCCTACGTCTCGAGGATGAAGTCAGGGAGGATGCTGCTGCGGCGATCGGAGCCCTGCAGCAACTTGGAGTGGAGATAACCATGTTGACCGGCGATGAGCACAAGGCGGCGAACGTGGTGGGCGAGCAGTTGGGCATTCAGAAGAGGTATCTCAGCTTGCAGCCATCAGCTGTTCATGCGCGCTCATGTTGCTGAGCCACAGCTTCTGCCAGGTTGGCGAAGCTTACGCCAACAGCCAAGGAGGCGATCTCTCGTTCTAGAGAGAGCGAGAGAGCGAGAGAGAGAGAGAGAGAGAGGCTGATGGCGTCGGGGGTTGGGGGTTTGCTGCTTTTTGAAGCCGAGGATTGGGTAAAGTCGGGGGAGGAGCCCGGGCCTCGGCCCGATCTGGAAGGGGGCACCGCGGGCCTGAGCGATGCCCTGGTGGTGAAAAGGAGCGGCCAGGCCAGGCCATGTGTGACTGCGGCTCTGTGGCCCTCTTCCGAGTCGAGTGACCGCGCTCTTGAACAGGTGGTTGCGATGATTGGAGACGGGCTGAACGATGGACCTGCGCTTGCTGCCGCGGACGTGGGGGTCGCCATCGCGGCAGGGCTGCAGCTTACCACAGATGCCGCGGAAACTTGGCAAACAAGCAACGTGCCACTACAGACTTTAGCGATTTTCCGAGTAGATTCCAGATATAGTACCAGCCTGGGCCGGACGCTGAGGATGTGGTGATCGGGAGTGGAGGTCGGATGCTTCTGCGCTTCGTCCAGGCCCTGTACTTTGCGAGGAGCTGCAAGGAGCTCATCCGAGCCAACCTCGCTCTCGACGCGAGGCTGCATACGCTTAGCCCCACCGTCTCCATTGCATAGATGTCCGTTCTGGCGGCATCATGCGTCTTCTTGCAGCCTTTTTGGGCCTCCTCCGGCCTTGCCCTCCCTAGGCACTCGTGGTGAAGCTCAGCGCGCTCATCTTGGCGGCCACCGGCACCTCGGGCTTCTGTTTGCGCCGCAGACTTTGATCTGACAGCTTTGCTCAAGTCCGAGGTCACTTGGGTCTGACCCTTGGTGTTCTCAGTGACAGCGGTAGCTTGCTTTTGGCGGCTTGGATGCAGTGCAGCTTCACGGAGCCGAGCTTCAGGAGTGGCCCGAGTGGCCTTAGGTCGAGTCCGTACAGCCGACCCTCTAATTCCAGCATTCAGGATGCAGCTTGCTGCGCAGGTGCTTTTGAACAGCCTCCGACCTCTGATGTGGGGCTTCATAGCCTTCGACAAGTAAGGAAAGAGCTACTTTTCTGCCAACAAAAATAGTCTATTTTCAATTTCTTTTAAGGAAACGCATCCTTCGGCACGCCCGGTTGCATGCACTGGCATGCCAGCTTGTGCTGTGCCACCCTTCGGGTTAGATGACGAGACTGTTGTCTCGGAGTTTCCCACCCTGCTGACATGGGGTGGGCAGATCTGTGATGCATGGATCTGCTCACAGAGCATCCATGCGGAGATTCTGCCTGCGACCTTAGGTTGTCTGCTGCTCGGGGAGACATCTTTTGATGACACGCTGCTGCTGTCCTGTTTGCTGTTAAACAGCACAGACATCTGCACGGCTGGTCACCTGAGTGAGACGAGCGGCACCTCGGTAGAGGTGATCTGCATTGTTGAGAGGTGGCCAGCCGGTTGTCAGGCACAGCACAGCCGTCTGTATTGGCAGACATGTGTCTTCTGAAAGCCACTTGAAGCGCAGCTGTTTGGGTGCGCAGTCCGGCAGAGATTCCACACGGACAACCGCTGCAAAAACAGACGTATGTGTCCTTCGACTTCGACGCATATGCGTTGCTGGGTACTTGCTTTTCCTGGGCGCTGGGTTCAGGTGTCATGGGGATGAAGACTGGCTCTATGGGCCCAAAGAGACAGATTTATGCCGGGAGCCCAGCGCGAAGCCCTAGCAAACAAGGCCTCTCACGCCCCTCTCCACGACATCTTATGCCTAGAGCTGCAAGGACTCACGGCCATCTGCAGTTTAGAGACAAGTCACGCAGTGGAAGTATAGGTAGATTGTAGATTTGATGGCACCGGTGCACGTAAAAGCAACTACTCGTACTACCGACGAGCAAGGCAGACGGAGTTCAGGAACTGAGGCGATGCACGATGAACGTGCTCAGTTCTCTGCATGTCGTCGAGTCCTTCAGCAGAATGTCGCAACGAGGACAAGACCTACTACCTTGTCGAGCTGCGCAAGCGGTGTCAGGAGACTTGCAAAACGGTTTAATAGAAGTGTCGGAGTTTAGCAGTTTCTACGTTCAGCCTTTCAGCTGCTTTGGCTCAAGTTCTATCTCTAGGCTTATCGGTATGGAGCCCAGACGGGATGCTTGGAGGAGCCTTGCTTGAAGTCGGAACATACCTGGATTACGGCTTGGTCGCATTACTGAAAACTACCAGTAGCGATACCATCACACTTCGGGCACCGCCAGAATCTCGCCGAGGATCTCTTCAGTCTCAGTGTAGGCAAAAGGAACGTTCCCGCTGACCCGGGTTTCGGCTTTTGGCTGGAGATAGCTTAGCCCACTCGTGGCAAAGCCGCGAGGCACGTGGAATTACTTTGTCAACCGATCGTTCATGCTTCTTCGGCTGCTTGCTACCGCTAGTTCTTTCACTGAGATGTCGAGATCTGAGGTCCGACCTTCTTGTCATGATTGGCTTGACTTCCGTTCCGCGGCTGATCGTTATAAACATGGTGCAGCAGCAGTTTGTGAGAGGGCAAGAGATCAAGCATTTTCCGGCGCCCCCCTGCGGAGTCTCTTGCTGGCGGCTGGCGTTTGTGCGATCATCACAGAATTTTACAAAGTCAGAAAGCAGCCTTGAAGCAAGAGTGCAAGCAACAGCTGTTGTTTTAATGGGAAACGTGTGTGAGACTCAGCAAACGACTTACCGCAAGTCTGGTCTCGTCGTGTTCATAGCGTCGAGGGTCGGCTTTGGAATCCATCAAGACTCAAGAGACAAACGGTGAGCTTTGGCTCAACAAGCCTCCATAATGATTCAATCGTGGCTGTGATCAGTTGCTGTCCAAGCCCCGCCAAGTGATTCAGTGATGCCCTTCTATGAAAGACACAGGCAGGCCTCCACATGCAAGTGCGCAACTACCGAAACTCTATACTGAGCGAAGGTTGCGAGCATCTACGGCGCCTGGCACTTGATCGCCAAGGCAGCAATGGCGGAGGGCACCTCACCGTACTTGTTGCACGGCGACAATGACGAAGTATGCGAACGTCTTGTGAAGGTATTTGCTTTCGATACAAGCATAGAGCGTCACATCGTTTTGCTGACGGTGCACGACGAGGTTCTTATTCTACAGATGCTTCCTGGGTTCGGCACTGATGATGCTGACCTTGTGCTGCATTCCAGCAGCCCGGTCCAGGGCCGACAAGCCCTTTTATCCAGTGTCGGAGATCGTGCGATGTCTGCGATCCGATGGCGACAAGTTTTTTCTTCTAGCAACTCGGAATTGCTTGCTAAAGCGAGATGATTCGCTTTTGTGTGTGCAGTCACATCTTGGCATGCTTCGCCTGCTGACGACCTAGGCATGCCTGCTCGGCCTGAACACAATCGGCGGACTAATGGCCGTGGCTAGACACTTCGTCCGAGTCAAGTAAGTCTAGAACCTCTCGTTGCTTCTAGTTCCGCCTGTGCAAATGAGTATGGACTGAACTGTACTCTGTCCAGGACTGCCGGCAATTGTGTGTGCGATCTTCCAACCCATCTTGCCGGTGATTGCTGCAGTGATGTCCACTTTACTGGGCATTGAGCCCTGGTCAACTGGCCGCTCAGAGCAGCAGAACGTAGCAGAGTTGGCTGCAACCTGAAGGGTGCCTGAGCATGTTTGACCGAGGCAAAGCAATCTGCATCTGTGTCTGCACTATGGGTGCGACAATCGTCATAGTTTCTGGACATGAGCTGCACGTTCTGGGGCTGTCGCCTTCGAGCAGCACACAAGTGGGCTGGCTATTTCTTGCCGTGAACGTCACAGCTGGTGCTGCCTACAGTGTGGTCCAGAAGCAATGTGGGGTTTTGCGCAACTACTCACCCATCTTTGTTGCTGGGGTCTCCTTCTTAATCGCAGCTTGCGGCATCCTCCCTTCTGCTTGCTACTCAGCCCCTACAGCCAAAGACTGGCTGTGCACAGACCGCCTCATCACGCAGATGGCTTTGGCCTACGCTGCTGTGTTCGTTACGGCATACAACTACAGTGTGAGTGCATGGGCCAACAAGATATCATCACCTACCACGGTGGTTGCCTTCCAGACTCTGCAGCCTGTCGCTACATGCTGTCTCAATTACGCTGTCTATGGACTCCATCTCACGTTTGCCCAAGCTCTGGGTGGTTCGGCCATTGTCGCAGGTCTTTTGGCAGATGTCCTGTGGAAGACTCTTGATAAAGACAGGGAAAAGGCAGCAAGTTTTGCTTTGGTGGGTTTTTGTGCCGAATGCAGTGGACGCCAAGGAATGGCGAAGCAAGCCATCACGAGCTGAGACCACTTAAGGGAATGCCAATTCTGGTGAAATAGAGCTGACTGCAGACTCCACATGCAAGAGGCGAGTGGTAGCAAGGCCATTGGCTTTACTGCTCTGTGAAGCAGCGAGCAAGAGCGCATTCTCGGCAGTCAGTTTAGCGTGTCCATCTGAAGCATCTCCTCTGCGAGGGGATGCGATGGGGACGTGTTGACCCTGTAGACATAAGCTGCCCATGCAGCAAGGGCCGGATTACAAGGCTTAGCCTAAAAGTTGTATGCCGCGTCGGCCTTGCAAAAAGCCGCCACAGAGATCATCGTGCTTTGCTTGGCAATTGTTCCAGTTGGGTGTGTCCTTTTGTTGCCAGGAGCTTGTAGACGAGGTGGCCAGGCTAAACAAGGAGATCAACGATATCCAGCAGGACCACACACTCGTGCTCGAGATTGCGCATACCAACACAAAGGGTGATGCGCTGGAAGGACAACAACGTTTATGCATCACTGGAGAAGCGTTGCATGCCGAGAGCAGCGCTTTCTTCCTTGGAATGCGAGTCCAGCCGTGGTCTGACCGATGTCTGAAGATGAGGCTATGACAACCTTGTCAAAACGGTGCGATCTCTTGAGGGTGACCTCGCAGATCACAACCTGGCCACGGACAAGCAGCGTCCCTTGCCTTGCATCAAATGCTAGGTTCTGAAGTTCCGATGCACGGACATGAACTATTGAGCTCCCTGCAGGCACAGACACACGGCCTGAAGAAGTTCACCACATGTACACCATCATGAAGCCCGAGCCCCACTTGCAAAGCTTCACATCTTGCGGTTCTCACACGGGGGAAGCTGCGGAGGTCTCAGAATGAACAGCAGCGGGCTGATGTGGATCAGATTTTCCTTGAGAAAAGAAGCCATGAAGAGGAGATCGGACGTGCAGCGCCTGGCTTCCTCAGATTAGATCAGGTGTTTGTTTGCTTGCAAGGCAGAGTTGCAGAGTTCCGCTCTGTATTGCTGTGGGCTGCTAACATGTCCTGGCTCTTGAGGCATGGAACAGGAGATCGCCAGCATTGCCCGCGCCGCCGAGGACTAGTGGCATGAGTCGGTACCGAGAAGCATCTGCTACATTCGGGGTCATCTCCTGCCCTGCTACGCACCAGGACCGCTTGAACGAGCTCCATCCAGATCAGCGCCCTTCTCCCCAGTGCTATGATGCCAGCGGTGATGGCCCCAGCGGCTGAGCTGACGAGGCCGAGAGTACGAAGAGCTGCGGGAAGAGTCCAAGCGACTTAGTGCCGGGCCTAGCTGACACGGTGAAGCTTCACATTCTGCGGTGCGCGGAGCATTTGCATTTGTTCGCTCAGGTTCTGATCTCGGAGAGGCGCGGGACGAGCTCGACCAGGTCTGGGAAAGAAGTCGCGCCACTTACGTGATGCTGCCGCTTTCGATATCGCTGGAGGTGAGTGGAAGACTGAATGCCGTGGAAAGCAGGCCAGGATCCGGAAGAGCTCTGCACTGCTGCAGTGAATGACATATCGTGGTCGGAGTGTGCACCCGTTGACAACTCATGCAGATAGTGTATCCGTGCCAGTGGCAAGATGACTTCGCTACAATCCGGCGAGCTCACCTTTGCACGGATGCGAACGGAGGGGCACCCGAAGAAACGCCAGAATGCAAACTGCGGCTGAGAGCAATGCCATCTTGTGCTGGCAAGTTCAAGCTGCTAGGTCCAGATATGACCGCCACGACACCCAACTCAAACTCAACACACACCTTGCTCCGTTTCCACAAATCGAGCTAGCCAGCTCACCTTCAGCAAGACTTGGCAGAAAGACTAGCAGAGCATCTGCACTGGCGCGGAAGGCTCCGAAGCGATCCTCTTCGCACACGACATCAGCAGTTGAGCACCGGCCTGATGCCATGCGCAGAAAGCCTCTGCGATTTTCGATGTCTGCCAAGATCAAACACGACGTGAGTTTGAAAATCAGCTGATCCAACTTCGTGCCCGCCTGAGCAACACTTTGTCGAGTCTTTGTGGGTCTTCGGGTCCCGATTGTCTGCCCAGGCCAGGAGGTCCAACAAGGGTCAATGAGCATTCCGGAGCAGCGCGAAATCCTTCTGTCGAAGGCTGCCCGTGACTTCACATTGCGAGATGATCAGTGCTTAGTTACCGGCTGGCCAATGCAGGTCAAGAACGACAATGGGGAGATCGTTGCAGCAGAAAAGAACAACAGCCAGGAGCTCGGGCATGCGATGTGCTGTGTGCGGCATCGCTTTGACAGTGTAGTGAGCTGTTTTCAAGGTGAGTTGAAGCTTGACAACGAGCGCCTTCGAGCGCAGATAAAGGAGGCCCTGCGACAACGAGCGCCTTCAGCGAGATTCTTCGTCGCCTCGTCGGCATTCGGCGAAGCCAGGTTCAGGCGGATGCGCAAGAAAAGAAGGCTCTGCTCTGCGAAGCTTGCTGTGCGCCGATGTCTCCGAACGCAGAGTCTTCATGCAACACCGATTCGACACTGGAAGGATGAGAGCAGCGACCAACAGAAGTACGAGATCCTATTTACGAAGGCGAGCAAAGCCCTCGGCCCTTCACAGAGCCTCGGGCTTCTCAGCTGAGTCGCACTCGTAGCGGCCGGAGGACCAAGAGATGACGGCCTTCATTGAGGGCTTTGCCGACAGCAAGGTGCCGTCTCTCCAAGCTCTGCCGGGCCTGAACTGCGTCGGGGGAGCCCGCGCGAAAGGAAGGAAGCGTAGCAGGCAACATCCAAATTGCACTGCCCCACTACAGTAACCTGGTTACGCTTCGACTTGATCTTCTTGTCCGAAACTTCTCTGTTATTTTCCGGAATCAAGGGCGCAAACCCCGAGCTCTCTGCGACGGTTAGTTCAAGCGACGCTTAACTGAAGCCCAATCGTCCAGGATGCAAGCCCAGTGTGAGCAATACACGTGCGGGCATTGAGCTTTAACCCATCGCCTTAAAGCTTGAGCATGTGACCCGCCGAGCACGAAATAGTGGAGGCACTAGACTACTACTAGCACGGCTATACATGCCATAGAGACACAGAGACGGCGCATGATTGGCGGCGAAGAAAACCCATGTGGCTTTTCAGATCGGTGGTGTCGACGTGCGACCTAGTTGTGTTGCTGGAAGAAGCCATTGTTCTGCTGTAGTGCCAGGCAGAGGAGGAGAGAAAGATCAAAGAAAAGCAGGAGGCGCCAAGACAATGTGGAGCTTGGACCGACTCGTGCAGATTTTGTGCCTTCATACTGGTTGCGAACTTGGTGATCACCCGTGACTAGAAAACTCTATGATGTGTGTGCATATGTTCGCAGACAGACACATCTATCTCAGAGGGTCGCAACCCATGGCAGAATGCTCCGACATTCGATCACAGACTCAGACACGTTCCCTGGGGTAGCGCGCGAGTGCGAGTTCCGGAATGATTTTCATCAGACGGAAGCTATCGCCGTATACTTTATGTTAACTTTATGGGTCATGCACATGGTCCGCGCACAGCTGTAAGGTTTAAGCGTGAGGTTTTGCTGTGCTGTTGGGGGCTGCTTTTGTTTACCGTTGCTTTGGCAAAGCCAGGGATCATGTCTAAGTGGGTTCAATGGCAAGGATAACCCACTCACCATACGGGGTGGCGTTTTTGTTACAGTTGCAGGTAGAATGGAAGTCCCACAACAAAAAGCGGGGCGTGACCTCTCAGGTGGTAAGTTTTCACACTTAGGGTTTAGGTTTTGTTTCGGGTTTAGGGTTCTTTGAGGGTTATCACCTGAGAGGTCACGCCCGGCGCATTTTTTTAGGGTTTAATTTTAACGCTACGCCGCCCGCCTCGGCTCTCCAGTGGCAGGGCGAGGGTCTTGTAAACGGTCTGGTCAGAGAACGAAAAGAAGACAATGCACCCGTGAAATGCTCGATTCAGAGCTTGGTGGGAAAGCCAAAGCGGGGACGAGGAAAAGGAGACGGGGGTGGGCAGAAGAAGTCGGAGGGCGGTGAGCGGGGGGGGGAGGGTGTGGGTGGGGTGGAAAAAAGAGAGGAAGGGGGGGCCTCTGGCCTCGGCGGATGTTTGTGGGGTTTGTGTTAGCAGTTTAGGTTGGGGCTTGGGAAATCAAGGAAGACGCGAGCAAGAATTTTAGCAGGCCAAAGTTCCTTGTTTCCTCGCAAGCCAGGGTTGCCTTGTGTGTTTCCTTTATGGCGATGAGACTCAGGTCCACATGTGTCGCGATTGATCTTTGGCGGGCAGAAAGCGACATGTGTAGAACGATGACACGCGGACCAACTTACTGGGCAGATGCGCCAAGCAAGTAGCTTAGACCCACTCCTGACATGTGCACAGATTGCTGTGGGCACGAGCGCAGATCTATATGTACGCGCGAAACCTAGCCGGACCCAGCTAGCTACCACGTTGTATACATTTATAGAAGGAAGCTAGCAAGCAAGCAAGTTAGCAATAAATGATGCCTGCCTATATGCGTACGATTGCATATTCGTATGTTCGTTCATGCGCCCATACACACATGGATTTGTGTACGTGCATGTGTGCATGCATGTGTCCACGCCTCTGTCCGTCCATCCATTCATCGATCGGCCTGTGTTTCTTAATGTCTGCATAGGTTGCGTATCTTGTCCGCCCGCATATCATTACGTAGCAACTTCAGTCCGTATGCCTCTGTCAATCTCTCTCAATCTCTACCTTTACATGTAGGTATGTAGGTACATACTTAGGTACGTAGGTACGCATATATGTAAGTATCAGTGAGAGAGTGTGTCTGTCATGTCTCTGTATGTTTGTTTGTGTCATTGTATGCATGTAATGCATGCATGTACGTATGCATGGTTGCACTGTTTATGATTTTATGTATGTCTGTCTGTCTGTATGTCTGTATGTCTGTATGTGTCTATGTATGTACGAAGGTGCATACATGTGTGCATACGTGCGCATAAATGTATGTAGGTAGGTGGGGTATGTATGTTTTTATGTGAGCATTTTGGTTCTATGTATGTACGTATGAATGTATGTAACTATCTATGTTTATTTGTCTGCATTGTACTGATGCATGAAATGCGTGTATTGTATGTACTGTAAAAATATATACGCAATGTATGTAGTGTATGTAGTGAACGTAGTGCATCAATGTATGTAAGGAGTGTAGCGTATGGAACGTATGTTTGGTATGCAATGTGTGTAATGTATATGTACGTCGGGTTTGCAATGTATGTGATGCACGTTCTAGATGCAATGTTTGAAACATATCTAGTATTGTATACACTACATGCAATGCATGTAATGCACGAGATGTCTGTACGTTATGCATGCCATGCAGGAACTGTGTGAAATATCTGATGTTGTAATGTCTGTAATGAAATTAGAAAAAGGATGTATGTAGTGTATGGAATATGTGTAATCGTAGATGCTACCGGTCGTCCGACTCGGCCGGGTCGGGTGAAGAGTAGTCATCACATCAGGGGCCAGTTGGCAGGGTCAGAATGCACAAGACGACGAATGTCGGGCGGAGGGGGTGGTGGGGGCTCTGGGCCGCTAGTTTTCCGAGCGAATCAGGACACATCCACCAAGCGTACTTCTTTCCACGGTCAGAATCTCCGGTCGCGGGGGCTTGGAAGCCAAAGTCCAGTTTTTTTCGGAGGATTGTGAAGTGCAATGTATGTAACGTCAGTAATATACGTAGTGTATGTCACGTCTGTAATGAAAGCATGCATGTATGCACATATGTATGTATGCATGCATGTTTAGAGGGTTGGCTGGCAAGCAGGTAGGTACTCTTGTGCGGGAAAGCTCGCATGGTGCCCATCCTTGCCAGAGCATTGAGCGGCTCCTGCAAAACATCTCCAAGAGCTTGGACTTGCCGACCGATGCCATGCCCCCAGGTAGTTCATGTATCCTTTTGTGCTTCCACATTTGTTGGACCGACATTGCTTGTCGAACCTGGCGGCTAACTGAGATATCAGATGTAGTCAGATTTGACAGGTCACTCCGGAGTCTCACCTGAGAGACATGGAGGATGAGCCGAGGCCCTATATTCCTCGAGCATCACCGAACACAGGCTACCTTCATAATTGTGTCAGTTTTGCCGGTTGCGAGTTCACAGATCATTCTGCTTGCAGATTCTTGCCTCCGTAAGTTTGCGAGGATCAGTGGGAAAAAGCCAATCGTTCCGTTCAGAGCTTCAGGATGGTTTCGATTCGGGCGGGCCAGGAGTCGGGCGTCCGACCATGTTGGAGCAAGAGTGTGGAAGGCGATCATTTCGTGCGTGCCAGCATGCCCTGAAGCATGGTGAGTTCTTTCTCTCGGATCCGACAGCACGAGACACGCATTTGTCTGCCAAGGTTGGACTTCAAGAGCCGACAGCTGCAGAACTCGGAAACCACGCAGCCAGGGCCTTGTGGGGTTGACAATCTACGTTTTGGAAGAGCTTTGTTCTGGTTGTGAGGGGATGGGGACTTGGTGACGTGAGTGACAGATCCACATAGGTGCGTCACATGCTGCGTCACATGCTACGGTTCCGCATCTGCCTCGCAAGGAGCCGCCTGGAGGGGGAGCTTGCCAAACGCCAGGGCTCCGAGAAGAGGTTGACAAGCGAAAGACGGGGAGAGACAGAGAGAGAGAGAGAGAGAGAGAGAGAGAGAGGGATAGAATGACCACACGTGTGCGGTGGGGAGGCAACTCCCATCCCAGCCCTGGTGAAAGAAAGAGACAGTGAGGGTGCGGCATCTGGGACCGGCAGTGCCCAGGTGAAGGAGAACTCGAGAAGATCGAGAGCCTCGACGTCAAGATCTCCCTAGAGCTGTCTCAGGCACCGCGCTCGTGGGAATCAGGTGCAGCCTGAACATCCCCGGTGCTGATCACCGAGTTGATGGAGAAAGATGGGCAGACAACTTGCGCAGGTTGAGGAAAAGATGAAGCAGTACGAGAAGGTTTGCTGTGCCAGTCAACACTGGGACTTATGAATGTCGACTTTGCTAATGTTCTTAGCGCCGCTGCCACTTTGGCCTGTGCTCTTTCTCGATCAGGAGATGGCCGAGAGGTACGACAAGATCGAGGATATGAAAGCACAAGGCCTTTGGCGGCACTCTCCAGCCGTCCTTGAGCAGTTCAGACGGGACAAGTGAAAAGGCGCTCTGGAATTGCAGAAGCTAGAAGAGTCGAAGAGGAACCTCGAGGACCGTGTTATCTGTTGTTGGTGCGTGGGTGTGTTGCATTTGTGAGCCGCGTTCGTCGGTTGATGTGGTTACTTCCAGATCGCAATATCACGCAGCTCTCCTCGATGGAGTCTATAAGTGCATGCTGCAGCCTGCCTTTCCAAGAAGCTCCCTGCATTTGTTTTTGGCATGCCAACAGCGCAGACCGCAAAACCACATCCTGGCTGGTCGCCATTTCCAAGAATCATGCTGGTCTACTTAAGAAGCAGGCGGCTGGCGTACGAAGCCAAGCAGAAGCCATCTCTGTTGCCGTTCCTTCTGCTTCTCACGGCAGTGCTTAGCGAACTCGGAGTACAGCACCAGCAAAGACGATGGCCTGAGCTCAAGGAGCGATCTGTTGCACTGCGACAGCAGGCCATGGGCTCCTGCAGAAATCTCGACTTCGCAAAGCAATATGGCAGCGTCAGGTGAATTTCATTCGCCTTAGATACGACAGCAAACGTGCTGTGCTTGGCAGAGTTGTCGCCTGCCCTTGAATGCCTTGGCAGCTCGCGGGTCAGCAAGGCCAGCAGTTGCAAGATGACGAGACTGCCGCGAACCTTGAGGCTCGCGACCCAGAGATTTGGCATGGAATCAGTTCCCACGGCGGAATGCAGGGATACGAGACCAAGATTCGACAGTTCGGTCAGTCTGTGCCCAAGAGAGCAGTTAAGCGGCCCGGCCTTGTTCATCACCCTTGAATCCTTCAGGACCTTGCATACTCTTCGCACTTTCATTCTGCAAAAGACGTCAGAGCCAGCTGCTTGGAGTCTGGCTTCTCTGCGTGTGCCGAAATGTTTGCGTTTGACACATGGACAAGGTCAGACTTCCGTGCTGAGATGGCAAGCTGCCTAGATGTTGCGGGGCAGCTGAACAAAATGCTCCAGGCAGATGTTCGAGTTTAGTTCAGAAGTCCGCACTCACTTCTTTCTACAGATTTATCAAATGTGGCATGTTTCGAAGAAAGCAGGACAGTGCTCTGCGACCGCCGCCTCCTGTTTGATGGACCGCAAGGACCCATTGAGGGTGGGCTGCTTTGCAGTGCTTCACAGCATGGCTCAGCATGGCACTTTGGTGTGCTCAGGCTCGCCTGATGCGGCGGTTCTCGACGGGTGGGGAGCTCCTTCCTGTGCAGAGAAGGGTCTCGTGCACAAGGCTAGAAGCTAGGATTTCGAATCGACCACCACCTGGCTGCAATTTAAGCGCAGGCCCGGGGATGCTCCCACCGTCACAGGTAGGACATGTTAGGTTGTAGCTAGCTTGAGTCTTGAGTGATTGATCTACACCAGAAAGCACACCCTCTACCATATTGAAGCAATGGTTCAGCCATGAAGCATACATGCTGGTTGAAGTGGAGCGAGGCTCGGAAATTTGGGCTTCGTTTTCCATTTCGCGAATCAGCATGTCCGAATGCTTTGCACCCAATGATGCATGACCGAGACTGCCCGCTGAACTGGTACAGCTGCATGGAAAATGGACACACGTTGCTGCGCAGCTGCTGTGTCATAGACCTCAATTCTCTGCGCGGCATGTCTCACTGTTTGCGCAGGTGGTCCCGTTCCTGCCACAGTGGCTCCGAAACGACTTGTTGAGCCCAAAACCGAGTTCCAAACGTCGCTGATTTGGAACTGGCCGTTGCAGTCCGCAGAGTTGGCGTCAGACAGAATTCGGAGCCGGAATCGAGCAAGAGACGTGCCGACAACCGTATAGCCAGATCCAGTTAGGTGAGCGCTTCGTGACCGAGTGTGTCACCTTCTTCCAGGACTTGGACAAGGCACGCGCCAGAACATGCATGCAGAGACACTGCAACCTTCATGCAACACAAGACCCACGTACTTGAGCTGATGGGAGGACAAGAACGGCACCCTGGAGCCCGAGGAGCTTTTTCCAATGGTTCGCACCCGAGAGCTGGGAGATGGCTTGCTCTGCCCGGTCTTTGCTAAGTGACGTCTCCATGTCATGTCGGAGATGAGAGAGAGAGAGAGAGAGAGAGAGAGAGAGAGAGAGAGCCGACACGCCTCACCTGAGCCACGCCGGCGCTTCACTAACCCTAGCTCGCTAGACCAAGACGACTGAGTTAGGCCCGTGGTTTCGACGGTGAGTTAGGGTGGGGGTACTTACAGCTGAGTAACGGGTCAGAGCGAGCAAAGGGCAGCTGCGGTTTCAGCAGTGCAGCAGGAACGGGGGAGAGTGAGTCAGGAGGGAGTGTGTTGTCTAGTCTGCACTTGCACTGTTGCTCTCTCCTAACCCGCTGCCTTTTCAAACACTCGCACAGCGGGGGGAACCGGAGAGCGAGGTGAACTAGCATCGCATGATCGTACCTTGTTGCTCCTTCGACCTGTAACCAACGCTCACCGGGGACCCAAGCAGAGGCGAGCAGAACCAGGGGACACCACTTGAGTAGCCGAGGCTTGGGGCTCCTGTACTGGCAGCTAGTCGAGTCTTTAGCCGACGTTTCGCTGTGCATGAGGCCTCAAGAGTGGAACCCCAACACGTGTCACGACGATCCCGCGAGTAGTCACATGCCACGGGGGAGAACACACAGGTCCTTGGTTTAGCAGCCCATGTTGCGCATATATAGGGTCCCGGTATGCTACGGCAGTTCTTCGCTCCCACCAGCCCCGTGGCAGGCAGCTCAAACCTCAACTGCAGGGGAGAGCGACGCAAGAGTGGGGACGTACAGCAGCCTTTTTTGTAAGCCCAAAGGGGGACCACAGGGAGCAGGGGAACACCACGCTACGATATGGGTTACATTAACCTGCTGTTTTCGTCGCTCCCAGTGTTGCCCTGAACAGCCGAACGTGCAGCACGGTGGTCATGTAATGCAGCAAGCCCCACGGTATTATGGTTTCTGGCTAGCCACAGGGGCGCGGTGAAGAGGCCGGGATGCGGGGGGTCCTAGTGTAAAGGGTGGGGCTTGCTACATGAAAACCGGGAGCACACCAGGTAGTTCGATACCACTTTCAGGAAAAACCCCAAGGCCGGCCACTCACTAACACAGTGGGGAGGCTGGGCGGGCCGAAGGCCTGAGGGTCGCTTGACGACCCCTACGCCCTGCAGAAAGAAAAAAGAGCGAGCCGAGCCGACCCGGGGCGAACCCCTGGGGGGAAGCAAAGGACACTCCGCGAATAGCGGGAGTGCGTTCGTGCACGGGGGAAGCGGCCTGAACGCTGCCGCGACCCTCACACCCGGAAGAGAGAGAGAGAGAGACCCATTGATCCCACAGACCGATTTCTCCAGGTGCGCAGCATGGCCGATGCTCACAGCCTCTTGCCTGCTTTCGAAGATGATGCTTGTAGTCTGGTCCCGTCTGGCTGAGAACATCTGTGCACGGATGATTTCAGGCATGGCGCTCGATCTGGATCAGCTCGGCTCCCAGAACTCAGTCGTGTGGTGCATGTAGGACGGCAAGGTGCACCTTCTGCTTGCCGTAATACATCCCAGGGGCGAAAGTTTCAAGCCACGGCTAGCATACAGATGTTACAGACTCTTGCGGAGTAGCCGAGTGCCTCACAGTCTCGTTTCTGCTACCTCTACTCCGGTTAGCCGGCTAGGGGATGATTACAATGCCGCTTGAACAACAGAATACTTAGACTTATTCTTAGTAATTCCGTCTTCGGTTGTGTTAGGAGTCTACAGGGAAAGGGTGCGGATTCTGGGTAGGGCACCTTCTCACGGAAATAAGCAGCCGGCGCAGAGAGCCTCCTGTTCGCGGGATGCAGCTAGGTGCTCAGGTAAAGTTCAGAGTATTTGCCTTGTGGTTCGTGTTTGCCCTGGCTGCATTGCAATTCCGAAAGCGTTAGTTTTTGGCAGGTGCAAGCGTTTCTCACAGATCTTCGATGTCAACGGCGATGGCTTGATTGAGCTGGATGAGTGCCTTCGCTGCGTTTCAAGCTCATGTGATATTTCATGATGCTTCCTTACCTCTTGCATATTACCTCTTGCATAGCGTAGTGCTTAAAGACGGATGCAAGACGGGCTGGGCGGCGGACCACCGCGGTATTCAATGTCAAGTTTCTGTCTGTGTGCTCAGGTTCGTCAATTTTTCACGCTTCATGATTGTGATGTCGTTCCTGCACAGCCAGGCCGGCTCTCCTGAGTCATACAAAGGCTGTTCAACATGCGTCGAGTTGTCTGTGCAAATATGACATGCGGTATGTACGGGTCCACATGTAGCAAGCATCTCGAGAAGCACCACTGCATGGTCGGATGCCGTAAGACATGGCTGCCAGGAGGGACAGTTAACATTGTCGATCGCAATGGAGCCAGAGGCATGGTGGCACTTTCGCCCAGTGAGTCTGAAGTTGACGGAGCTGTTCAGGTTGTCAGAGCAGAATTATGCTGAAGATACTCAAATAAGTCGTATTGATAGTCATATGGACAACAGGAACAAGATCCCAACACACGTAGTACACACAACAGGCACGGTATGGATACTTATGTTAATGCAAGTGACACTTGTCCATGATGTTAGCCAGACACATTCTTGCACTTCTGTAAAACCATGGATTACTTCTCATGTCGATCTGTGTATTTGTCTACCTGCACATCATCTTGTTGACAATTATCTATTTATCTGTTTACAGACGGATGTATAAATTGCCTACGCCCTGCCCCGCCGGGCCTAATCAATACCCGAAAATCCTCATCCGAAGCTTCAAACTCGAACCACATCGGCACCCACTTCCAAAGCATCGGCTGTCAAAGACTCGCAGCCAAGAGACGGCAACGGTCCGGTCCGCAGCCCTTTCTGCAGCCAAGGCTGTCTTCGGCTGGTCTTACTCGAATTTGGAGTCGCTTGATTGAGCATGCTTGCAGTCGTGGCCTTGTCTTCAGAGTCCAAAGCCACGGCATGCACACCTCGGGCGATCCAGTTACTCATCTTGCGCATCATCGCAGTACTGGTCGCCTTGTATTTCTTTCTGGTGGGACTTGACCTGATGGGAAGAGCGTTGGTGGTATTGGGTGGCAAAGGAGCTGCTGCACTCTTTACATCTACAGGAAATCCTGTAAATGGCTTGGTAATTGGCATCATGGCCACTGCTCTTGTGCAGTCGTCGTCCACAAGCACCTCTGTCATTGTAGGCCTGGTTGCGGCCGACCAGATATCTGTACGTGCGGCCATTCCAGTGGTCATGGGTGCGAATGTCGGAACATCAATAACTAACACAATCGTGTCCATTGTGCACGCTGCTAGTCCGACTGAGCTGGAGCATGCCTTTGCAGGAGCGACGGTGCATGAAATGTTCAACTTGCTTACAGTTCTTATTCTGCTACCCACGGAGATAGTCGTGGCATCCATCAATGGTGATGGTGGACCATTGTACCTTGTCTCGAAGGCCGTCACGGAAGCTGCAATGGGTGCAGGGGCTCGTGATGTCACCTTTAGCTCCCCTACGAAGTCGATCGTGGCTCCTCTGACAGATTATTTACTGGATCCAAACAAAGATGTTATGAAAGCGGTGTCTTTGGGAGCGCCGGTGCCCAGAGAAGTGCCTGCCGGAGCGAACACCAGCCTGTGCTCAGCGTGGCTGAACTGCGCCGAGTACTTCTGTGTGTCGACTTCTACGCAGAAAGCTTGGAGGAAATTAGATGTGGACGGTTTCGCCTCCTTGACAAAGTGCATTCATGTATTGAGCTTCCCAGATGGCTGCACGCAATCGTCGGACTGTTACCTAGAAGCTGGCAAGTTTTATTCGATCTCGATCGAGGGTGCTCGTACCCTTGATTCTGGAATGTTTGCCCGTGTCGGTGATGTCGTTGGAGGAACCTTCGGACTCGTTCTTTCCTTCGTGCTCATTGCAGGGTCGCTGCTCTGCCTCGTTACAGTGCTGAATGCACTCGTGACTGGCTGGGCCAAGAAGATGATGAGACGTGCTACCCAGACGAACGACTGTCTAGCGGTGGTCCTCGGTTTTACTGTCACTGCAGTCGTACAATCGAGCAGTGTGACAACCTCTACTTTAATTCCTCTCTGTGCCCTGCAGGTCTTGCCGATGCAGAAAATGCTGCCCATAACCATCGGTGCAAATCTCGGAACAACATGCACGTCCCTCATCGCGGCGCTGGCTGTACTTAAGCCAGACACCATGCAGATTGCCTTGTGCCATCTGTTCTTCAACATCTTCGGATTGCTTCTTTGGTTCCCAGTGCCACTTGCGCGTACACTACCTGTGAAAGCAGCCTGTATGCTTGGCTTTTATGCATCCTGCTGGCGAATGTTTCCCGTTATCTATGTGCCCACCACTTTCATTGCTCTTCCAAGCCTTTGCCTCGCACTTTCTCTGCTCTATGAAAGGAGCGTCGTGGGAGGCGTCATGGCAACAGCTTCGTTTGTGATGATACTTGCTGTGTTTGTGGTTTGGTGGTGGATGGGTGGCTGTTACGTGGTGGTTAGCAAAGAGATCCGTCGCGAGAGGGCTGAGCAGAAGGCAAGGGAGCTTGAACTTGCTAGAGAGTCTCCAAAGGAGTCTCCAAAGGAGAAGACGACGTGGATCAGGTCAAACCTGTCCAAGTCGACTCAGGACGCTCAGCTTCTCGTGGTGGTTGAAAGCGGCAAAGAGCCGAGCGAGACTCAAACAGTAGGAGCCCTGCATGCAGCCACCACAGAATTTTGCAAGGAGATTATCGAAGCTCCAGTGCCCACAGAAAGCGGCTCGCTTGAATCGTGGGCGTTCTAGATGCTCGAATAGTTCCTGTCAGAGTACAACTAGTGTGGCGATGCAGCAGCTGGTCACACTGTGCAAGAAGTGACGAAGACTTGTCAAGCGTCGCAGCTTGTGATGCTGTTTGTCTTGCCATCCTGTTTGCAGTTGTCTCGTGGTATGTCCAGCAGATGGCCCGTCTTCGCCAGCAGACTTTGTAGGAGCTTCGGCTCCTGCCAGATCAACTTTTGCCCTGATGCACCTGAAAGACAGAGACGCATCCGCAAGTTTTGTAAGTGTGCTTATGAATCTCTTTGCGCTGAGCCCCGGAGCCCTCAGACACATGCATCCTTCTGGGTGCCACAGCATGATGCTCAGCGTTCGAAGCAGGACTCGTGAACAAGGCCGCCAGCTCAAGCGCCAGGAAGATCAGATGTAAAATGATACTCTTGCTCCAATGCATGGTGTTTCACCCATGCCGAGTAAAGTTGCCGGCGTCCAGTCACGGCAGTCAACTTTATCTCTCTCGGGATGCCATCCTGTTTTAACGCGGCCCACCAGCTAGGTCGCTGACATCAGGCAGAATGGCAGAAAAGAGCGACAGTGTGCCAAGGATGCGGTCGTAACAAGGCGTTTCGAAGGAGAGCTGGGCAGAGCCCTGGCAGAGTGCAGGCCATGGCGCAGATGAACGGAGAGCTCCCAGGAGGCCAGGCGCTTGGCCCGGCCCAAGGTTCCACTCGGACCGTGCAGAGTGCCTGATAGTGCCTGTGTCGTTGTAGGCCCACCTCCCGTCACGCCACAGCCGCATGCGGGAAGCTGAGAGTGAAATCCTGGTCCGATGGCATGTCCGAGTGGGGACAGTTGGGGGTCAAGTGCTCTTTCCGAACGATGCCGTTCCGGAGTCAGGACAGCAATGTGGTCAGTCCCGACAACAGAAGCCCACTTCCCATTCTGAACCCCACAGAGGACGGAATGTCGAGTAAACGAACTTGCAGTTTTGGCTAAGCTTGGCGCGTCTCGTTGCATGTCCAGAAACTTCCAACGATACATGTTTGGTAAAAGGAGGAAGAGGCAGCAGTGTCTCCAGCGCACTTGGCTGTCGACTGTGAGTTCTACAAGAACAAGCGAGAGTCTCGGATGCCTGCAGCCGTGTCTTCGGGCGAGACGTTCAGCTCCGCACGCAGACTGTCATGCACCCTGCTTTTGGTGGGGCCTTTTCTGCAGGTCCCGCAAGCTGATGGAGGAAAATGACAGCATGCGGGAGTGACGAGCCTGAACGGTCAAGCTGACAATCATGTAGTACAGGTGTTACATTGAAGTAGAAAACACCTGCGTCCAAGCTGGTGTTATCACCGAGGCGCATGAACGGATTGGAGGACATGGTCCGGAGGCTTAATGCGAAGCTGGAACAGCAGGACACGTCCAGAGTCCTAGTGCCGGATCAGAAGAGGTTTTGCATGAGTCGCATCAGGAAGCTAGAGAGGACCAGCCAAGACTTGAGGGAGTCACAAAGCCAAAGAAGGTCAATTGAGCGGCGTGTTGGCTGACGACTCACTGAAGCTAAACTATCAGATGCCATGCAAAATAGCGCATAGGCTCACAGACACAACTGAGTAGGAGCCTTCTGCGAGTTTGCTGCCTGAGAGGAGCAGAAGCTTCGGCATGCGGAGGTTGTCGCTGTCCCAGACTGTCTCGTAGAAACCCCGGCCCTTGGCCTCGGTGCCCAGTCAGGATCTCCGCGAGGGTGGTCTTCGGTGAGCTCTGAGCTCCACTCCCGACAAATCCTAAGCGTTGGATGCAGCAAATCAGAGTCGGCGGGTCGAAGCTCGACCCTGCGGGACACTGAAATCTCCTTTCGTCGCTCCAATCATGGACTGGGCCATGCCATGTTTTGAAAATAGGCACTTCATTACATTCCTCAGAGATTGTGTTAGTTCTTGGCAGCGATTTGCTGCTCAGCCTTGACGTGCTCTGTGAGGCCCTTGATGGCAAAAGCCACACGCACATACACGCGGTTTCACGAGCGCTTGCGAAGACGACAGCTCCTGTCTCTTGATTTCATGTTTGGAGGGTCTGTTGCTGCTGTGATCTCCGGTTGCCCGATCAGATGTTTCGTGTTGTTGCCTCTTATCCGATTTCGCAACAAGTTGGGGAAGCCTGATAGTGTCGCGGGAGGCAAGCAGCACTGCCACCCTCGCTGGGACATGTCTTCGATCACACTATCGTCAACCCAAAGTTGCGCTGAGAGTGTTGCACAAAGTGGCAAAAGATGTGCGATCCATCGCTGCATGTACTTCTTTGATTCCAAGCTTTAGCAACATGCAGCCAGTGAGAGTTCTGTTCGCTTTCGCAGTGCCATCGTTTCGGCTTCGTGGAAGGATGTCTCTCCAGCCCAACGGAGCCTGCCTTACCTAATGTGTGTGGATGGAGCCAAGCTTGTAAACTAAGGCAACTAAGGGGCATAACTAAACAAGGAGTTTGATAGGATCCCATGGTAGAGTCACAGGAGCAAAATGCTTCGAGACTCTCCCTGCTGCAGCGTCACCGTGAGGCGCGGGAACGGCTTGCCGAAGTCGGCAAGCTCCAGGGCCAAGGTCAAGGCGGCCAAGCGGGCGCTGGCGAAGTCTCTGAGGGCTCACATGGAGCCCCTTTGGCCGCTTCACCGACAACCGATTGCCCGAAGTCGTCGCAGTCACAGGAGGTTCTGGCGGCGTCGATTGCCGCTGCAAAGTCTCATTTCCATTCATCGCCCTTGCAAACACCCCTCGCGCCCTCGAATTCTGGAGCAAGCAGGGCGAGCAACCTCCCAAGGAAAAGGCCACTTTCAGCCTTTCCCAGCCGTGCAACGGCATCTCCAGTCTGGGATGATTACAATGCCGCTTGAACAACAGAATACTTAGACTTATTCTTAGTAATTCCGTCTTCGGTTGTGTTAGGAGTCTACAGGGAAAGGGTGCGGATTCTGGGTAGGGCACCTTCTCACGGAAATAAGCAGCCGGCGCAGAGAGCCTCCTGTTCGCGGGATGCAGCTAGGTGCTCAGGTAAAGTTCAGAGTATTTGCCTTGTGGTTCGTGTTTGCCCTGGCTGCATTGCAATTCCGAAAGCGTTAGTTTTTGGCAGGTGCAAGCGTTTCTCACAGATCTTCGATGTCAACGGCGATGGCTTGATTGAGCTGGATGAGTGCCTTCGCTGCGTTTCAAGCTCATGTGATATTTCATGATGCTTCCTTACCTCTTGCATATTACCTCTTGCATAGCGTAGTGCTTAAAGACGGATGCAAGACGGGCTGGGCGGCGGACCACCGCGGTATTCAATGTCAAGTTTCTGTCTGTGTGCTCAGGTTCGTCAATTTTTCACGCTTCATGATTGTGATGTCGTTCCTGCACAGCCAGGCCGGCTCTCCTGAGTCATACAAAGGCTGTTCAACATGCGTCGAGTTGTCTGTGCAAATATGACATGCGGTATGTACGGGTCCACATGTAGCAAGCATCTCGAGAAGCACCACTGCATGGTCGGATGCCGTAAGACATGGCTGCCAGGAGGGACAGTTAACATTGTCGATCGCAATGGAGCCAGAGGCATGGTGGCACTTTCGCCCAGTGAGTCTGAAGTTGACGGAGCTGTTCAGGTTGTCAGAGCAGAATTATGCTGAAGATACTCAAATAAGTCGTATTGATAGTCATATGGACAACAGGAACAAGATCCCAACACACGTAGTACACACAACAGGCACGGTATGGATACTTATGTTAATGCAAGTGACACTTGTCCATGATGTTAGCCAGACACATTCTTGCACTTCTGTAAAACCATGGATTACTTCTCATGTCGATCTGTGTATTTGTCTACCTGCACATCATCTTGTTGACAATTATCTATTTATCTGTTTACAGACGGATGTATAAATTGCCTACGCCCTGCCCCGCCGGGCCTAATCAATACCCGAAAATCCTCATCCGAAGCTTCAAACTCGAACCACATCGGCACCCACTTCCAAAGCATCGGCTGTCAAAGACTCGCAGCCAAGAGACGGCAACGGTCCGGTCCGCAGCCCTTTCTGCAGCCAAGGCTGTCTTCGGCTGGTCTTACTCGAATTTGGAGTCGCTTGATTGAGCATGCTTGCAGTCGTGGCCTTGTCTTCAGAGTCCAAAGCCACGGCATGCACACCTCGGGCGATCCAGTTACTCATCTTGCGCATCATCGCAGTACTGGTCGCCTTGTATTTCTTTCTGGTGGGACTTGACCTGATGGGAAGAGCGTTGGTGGTATTGGGTGGCAAAGGAGCTGCTGCACTCTTTACATCTACAGGAAATCCTGTAAATGGCTTGGTAATTGGCATCATGGCCACTGCTCTTGTGCAGTCGTCGTCCACAAGCACCTCTGTCATTGTAGGCCTGGTTGCGGCCGACCAGATATCTGTACGTGCGGCCATTCCAGTGGTCATGGGTGCGAATGTCGGAACATCAATAACTAACACAATCGTGTCCATTGTGCACGCTGCTAGTCCGACTGAGCTGGAGCATGCCTTTGCAGGAGCGACGGTGCATGAAATGTTCAACTTGCTTACAGTTCTTATTCTGCTACCCACGGAGATAGTCGTGGCATCCATCAATGGTGATGGTGGACCATTGTACCTTGTCTCGAAGGCCGTCACGGAAGCTGCAATGGGTGCAGGGGCTCGTGATGTCACCTTTAGCTCCCCTACGAAGTCGATCGTGGCTCCTCTGACAGATTATTTACTGGATCCAAACAAAGATGTTATGAAAGCGGTGTCTTTGGGAGCGCCGGTGCCCAGAGAAGTGCCTGCCGGAGCGAACACCAGCCTGTGCTCAGCGTGGCTGAACTGCGCCGAGTACTTCTGTGTGTCGACTTCTACGCAGAAAGCTTGGAGGAAATTAGATGTGGACGGTTTCGCCTCCTTGACAAAGTGCATTCATGTATTGAGCTTCCCAGATGGCTGCACGCAATCGTCGGACTGTTACCTAGAAGCTGGCAAGTTTTATTCGATCTCGATCGAGGGTGCTCGTACCCTTGATTCTGGAATGTTTGCCCGTGTCGGTGATGTCGTTGGAGGAACCTTCGGACTCGTTCTTTCCTTCGTGCTCATTGCAGGGTCGCTGCTCTGCCTCGTTACAGTGCTGAATGCACTCGTGACTGGCTGGGCCAAGAAGATGATGAGACGTGCTACCCAGACGAACGACTGTCTAGCGGTGGTCCTCGGTTTTACTGTCACTGCAGTCGTACAATCGAGCAGTGTGACAACCTCTACTTTAATTCCTCTCTGTGCCCTGCAGGTCTTGCCGATGCAGAAAATGCTGCCCATAACCATCGGTGCAAATCTCGGAACAACATGCACGTCCCTCATCGCGGCGCTGGCTGTACTTAAGCCAGACACCATGCAGATTGCCTTGTGCCATCTGTTCTTCAACATCTTCGGATTGCTTCTTTGGTTCCCAGTGCCACTTGCGCGTACACTACCTGTGAAAGCAGCCTGTATGCTTGGCTTTTATGCATCCTGCTGGCGAATGTTTCCCGTTATCTATGTGCCCACCACTTTCATTGCTCTTCCAAGCCTTTGCCTCGCACTTTCTCTGCTCTATGAAAGGAGCGTCGTGGGAGGCGTCATGGCAACAGCTTCGTTTGTGATGATACTTGCTGTGTTTGTGGTTTGGTGGTGGATGGGTGGCTGTTACGTGGTGGTTAGCAAAGAGATCCGTCGCGAGAGGGCTGAGCAGAAGGCAAGGGAGCTTGAACTTGCTAGAGAGTCTCCAAAGGAGTCTCCAAAGGAGAAGACGACGTGGATCAGGTCAAACCTGTCCAAGTCGACTCAGGACGCTCAGCTTCTCGTGGTGGTTGAAAGCGGCAAAGAGCCGAGCGAGACTCAAACAGTAGGAGCCCTGCATGCAGCCACCACAGAATTTTGCAAGGAGATTATCGAAGCTCCAGTGCCCACAGAAAGCGGCTCGCTTGAATCGTGGGCGTTCTAGATGCTCGAATAGTTCCTGTCAGAGTACAACTAGTGTGGCGATGCAGCAGCTGGTCACACTGTGCAAGAAGTGACGAAGACTTGTCAAGCGTCGCAGCTTGTGATGCTGTTTGTCTTGCCATCCTGTTTGCAGTTGTCTCGTGGTATGTCCAGCAGATGGCCCGTCTTCGCCAGCAGACTTTGTAGGAGCTTCGGCTCCTGCCAGATCAACTTTTGCCCTGATGCACCTGAAAGACAGAGACGCATCCGCAAGTTTTGTAAGTGTGCTTATGAATCTCTTTGCGCTGAGCCCCGGAGCCCTCAGACACATGCATCCTTCTGGGTGCCACAGCATGATGCTCAGCGTTCGAAGCAGGACTCGTGAACAAGGCCGCCAGCTCAAGCGCCAGGAAGATCAGATGTAAAATGATACTCTTGCTCCAATGCATGGTGTTTCACCCATGCCGAGTAAAGTTGCCGGCGTCCAGTCACGGCAGTCAACTTTATCTCTCTCGGGATGCCATCCTGTTTTAACGCGGCCCACCAGCTAGGTCGCTGACATCAGGCAGAATGGCAGAAAAGAGCGACAGTGTGCCAAGGATGCGGTCGTAACAAGGCGTTTCGAAGGAGAGCTGGGCAGAGCCCTGGCAGAGTGCAGGCCATGGCGCAGATGAACGGAGAGCTCCCAGGAGGCCAGGCGCTTGGCCCGGCCCAAGGTTCCACTCGGACCGTGCAGAGTGCCTGATAGTGCCTGTGTCGTTGTAGGCCCACCTCCCGTCACGCCACAGCCGCATGCGGGAAGCTGAGAGTGAAATCCTGGTCCGATGGCATGTCCGAGTGGGGACAGTTGGGGGTCAAGTGCTCTTTCCGAACGATGCCGTTCCGGAGTCAGGACAGCAATGTGGTCAGTCCCGACAACAGAAGCCCACTTCCCATTCTGAACCCCACAGAGGACGGAATGTCGAGTAAACGAACTTGCAGTTTTGGCTAAGCTTGGCGCGTCTCGTTGCATGTCCAGAAACTTCCAACGATACATGTTTGGTAAAAGGAGGAAGAGGCAGCAGTGTCTCCAGCGCACTTGGCTGTCGACTGTGAGTTCTACAAGAACAAGCGAGAGTCTCGGATGCCTGCAGCCGTGTCTTCGGGCGAGACGTTCAGCTCCGCACGCAGACTGTCATGCACCCTGCTTTTGGTGGGGCCTTTTCTGCAGGTCCCGCAAGCTGATGGAGGAAAATGACAGCATGCGGGAGTGACGAGCCTGAACGGTCAAGCTGACAATCATGTAGTACAGGTGTTACATTGAAGTAGAAAACACCTGCGTCCAAGCTGGTGTTATCACCGAGGCGCATGAACGGATTGGAGGACATGGTCCGGAGGCTTAATGCGAAGCTGGAACAGCAGGACACGTCCAGAGTCCTAGTGCCGGATCAGAAGAGGTTTTGCATGAGTCGCATCAGGAAGCTAGAGAGGACCAGCCAAGACTTGAGGGAGTCACAAAGCCAAAGAAGGTCAATTGAGCGGCGTGTTGGCTGACGACTCACTGAAGCTAAACTATCAGATGCCATGCAAAATAGCGCATAGGCTCACAGACACAACTGAGTAGGAGCCTTCTGCGAGTTTGCTGCCTGAGAGGAGCAGAAGCTTCGGCATGCGGAGGTTGTCGCTGTCCCAGACTGTCTCGTAGAAACCCCGGCCCTTGGCCTCGGTGCCCAGTCAGGATCTCCGCGAGGGTGGTCTTCGGTGAGCTCTGAGCTCCACTCCCGACAAATCCTAAGCGTTGGATGCAGCAAATCAGAGTCGGCGGGTCGAAGCTCGACCCTGCGGGACACTGAAATCTCCTTTCGTCGCTCCAATCATGGACTGGGCCATGCCATGTTTTGAAAATAGGCACTTCATTACATTCCTCAGAGATTGTGTTAGTTCTTGGCAGCGATTTGCTGCTCAGCCTTGACGTGCTCTGTGAGGCCCTTGATGGCAAAAGCCACACGCACATACACGCGGTTTCACGAGCGCTTGCGAAGACGACAGCTCCTGTCTCTTGATTTCATGTTTGGAGGGTCTGTTGCTGCTGTGATCTCCGGTTGCCCGATCAGATGTTTCGTGTTGTTGCCTCTTATCCGATTTCGCAACAAGTTGGGGAAGCCTGATAGTGTCGCGGGAGGCAAGCAGCACTGCCACCCTCGCTGGGACATGTCTTCGATCACACTATCGTCAACCCAAAGTTGCGCTGAGAGTGTTGCACAAAGTGGCAAAAGATGTGCGATCCATCGCTGCATGTACTTCTTTGATTCCAAGCTTTAGCAACATGCAGCCAGTGAGAGTTCTGTTCGCTTTCGCAGTGCCATCGTTTCGGCTTCGTGGAAGGATGTCTCTCCAGCCCAACGGAGCCTGCCTTACCTAATGTGTGTGGATGGAGCCAAGCTTGTAAACTAAGGCAACTAAGGGGCATAACTAAACAAGGAGTTTGATAGGATCCCATGGTAGAGTCACAGGAGCAAAATGCTTCGAGACTCTCCCTGCTGCAGCGTCACCGTGAGGCGCGGGAACGGCTTGCCGAAGTCGGCAAGCTCCAGGGCCAAGGTCAAGGCGGCCAAGCGGGCGCTGGCGAAGTCTCTGAGGGCTCACATGGAGCCCCTTTGGCCGCTTCACCGACAACCGATTGCCCGAAGTCGTCGCAGTCACAGGAGGTTCTGGCGGCGTCGATTGCCGCTGCAAAGTCTCATTTCCATTCATCGCCCTTGCAAACACCCCTCGCGCCCTCGAATTCTGGAGCAAGCAGGGCGAGCAACCTCCCAAGGAAAAGGCCACTTTCAGCCTTTCCCAGCCGTGCAACGGCATCTCCAGTCTGCCAGCGTCCCGCATCTGCCATCGGCGTGCGGGAGCGCTTCACCCAGGCTGGCCCGAAACAAGTTCTTGTCTTTGCCGCGCTCCTGAGCCTGGCCAGGATGGCGATGCCTCGCGACTGAGCGGCAGTATACGTGCAGAAGCGGTAGCAGCCGCTTAGCCAACCTAGTTTTGGCCGCTCGTGCCAGGTTGTGGCGGCCCGAAGGCCAGAGACTTTAAGCACCGTGTTTCACATCGTGACGCATTCTGGATTGAACATGGCCAGTGCTGGGAGGCAAAGGACAAACAGAGAAGGCGGGCCAAAGCAGTCCTAGGCCCAGCTTACGTGCCGAGCCGTTGCAGTGGCGCAGAAACACGGCTGCAAGGTGACGCGGCAAAGCTGATGGAACATCTGCCCAGCCAGGGGCCGTACTGCTGGCAGGAATTTGCTGCGAGCATTTGCGAGTCATGGGTCTGGCAGTATCATCTTCTGCATTAAAAGGGCACAGAACTTCAGCCGAATTGTGAGAGGCTGGTAATATGGCAGGGGGACGGTAGCGAAGTTCTTGCTTTTTGCAAACTGCAGCTCTCAGAATGCAATTGGGCCTGGCGGCACTTCTATGCCACTGACAGGCTCAACGGAACGGAGGACGGAAGATTTTTTGAACCATTGTGCCAGGGATCTGGTGCTTTCGGCAATTCAAGGTCGCTTCGGTGCGACTCTCAGCGATGCAAGGCGCTGTGTAGCAATGTTGCTCGCCAGTGTGTCTGTCATGTCACCTCAGGTCCACCACCACCGCTGCCTCCGTTGCCTCCCGAGCTTGCTGAGAAGGACCCGCTGACAGAGAATGGGATTTCACGGTGGTGCTACGAGTTACTCCGGATCATTCTCATGTGCCAATCTGCCAGGAGCCGTCTCCAGAGGCACAGACAGCGGCATCCGGCCAGGCTTCGACTGGTCAGAGTTGCAGTTGCAGCGCTTTCTGGTGCAAGTGCCACACGCAGGACGAGGATGATTTCACTGCCGAGGAGATTGACTCCTTTGCCTTCGCTCTTGCCGCCGCGTCCTGCTGTCCCGCTGCGAGGAGCGACGGCTCGAGCAGGAATCTGAAGAGGCGCACGTCTTTGGTGCAAGCGAAGTGGCAAAGGGAGGCCGAGAGGCCTCTCGAGCCCCAAAGAAGACGTCATCATCCCCGAATCGACTCAAATCTCTGCAATCTTGCTGGGGCTTTGATGGCTCGCGTTGGATCTGCCGGTGAGCTTCCCAAAATTCTCGGAACAACACCAACATTTAGAAGAAACAACAGGGTTCCAAGACAAAACGTGGAGAATCATTGCACTGCGAATGGCCTGAGACTGCTTTTGGGATTCAACGATCTTGTGAACACATGCCAGTGCTTATACACTTATTGACGAGTGCAGCCTCAGAAAAATCACGAAAGCAAGGCGTTGAACCAGCTGGAGGCTCTCGATGCTGCAGCACAGAGCTCAGCCACCGCTGCTGTGACCTCGTGTGTCTTCTTGTACGGGTGAGTCACGAGCAGACCGCAGCCGTTGGAGGGAGCACCATTGAGGAGGCGTATTTATTTTAGGATTTTTTTTTTTGTTTTGCATTTTTTTTTTGGCTTGTGTGCGCGCTTGGCTTGGCTTCTCGGCTTCCCTGGCTTCTTGGCCTCTGGCTTCTTGGCTTTTCGGCTTCTTGGCTTTTTTCTTCGGCATAGAGAGCCTCATAAATCAGTCCTTAAGTCACGCCCTCAACCCTAAGCCGAGCCGAGGCGAATTTAGGTCAGTAAAGCGGGATAGGGGCCATGTTTTTTTTTTTTCCAAGGTGCGGCCTACCCTTGTTTGCGAGGTGCGGCCAAGGGTCCCTTGTGCATGCGGTCACCTAGTCCTCTGGTCCTTGGTCTTGTGGTCCCCTGGTCCTCTGCTCGCGGTCCCCTAGTCCTCTGGTCCTTGGTCCTGTGGTCCCCTGGTCCTCTGGTCTGCTGGTCCTCTGGTCCCGTGGTCTCCTGGTCCCCTGGTGCATGCGGTCCCCTAGTCCTCTGCCACAGCCACAACCACAACCACGGGATAGGGGTTAAAAACAAATTAAATAAGGATCAAAAAAATAAAATAAGAATCAAAAAGAAATTAAATAAGGATCACAAAAAAATTACACAGGTATCCACGAAAGGAGGGGGGGTAACGGAGGAAAGAAGACACAGAAAGAGAGAGAGAGAGAGAGAGAGAGAGAGAAAAAAAAGAAAGAACGAAGGAAAGAAAGAAAGACAGAGAGAGAGAGAGAAAGAAACATAAAGAAAGAAAGAACGAAACAAAGAAAGAGCGGAAGAAAGCAAGAAAGCAAGAAAGAACGAAATACATAAAGCATAGTTATAAGGAAAGAAAGAAATCAAAAATACACAAATAGATAAATAAAGAAAGCTATAAGGAAAGAAAAAAGAAAACACAAGGAAAGGACGAACGAGAGTTAGAAACAAAGAAAAGCAAATAATACAGACATAACGAATGAACAAAAATGGAGAAATAAAGAAAGACGAAATGACATAAATTAACTAAGATGTTGTTTTGTTTTATGTTATCTTCTGTTATGTTGTATCGTCGTCTTTTATTATGTTATTATATGCTATAGGAAGCAAGGTTCTGTTATGTCAGAAAATGTCACACTATTTTTGTGATGTCGAACCATCTTATGTCGTTCTTATGGTTTACTATGTTATATTATGTTATAGAGTGCTAACGGAAGACGAGACACGAACAGGCACGGAAGAACGAAAGACCCACCGCCGCGCTTTTCGAGCCGTGCAAGCTTGATTCAAACAGTGTTTTCGAAACCCATCATGTGAGCGTTGTGTCTGCAAATGGGGGGCTGCGCCCCCCCCAACCCCCCCGCTAACCAGAATCGCCAAATGAGGGGTGTGTTTAAGATAGGTGATGAAGCGGAATACCAGCAACAGCTACAACACGAATTCCGTCCTAAATGCGAAATTGTAACGAAAATTTGATTTTCCCGAGGAACAACCAAAGATAACGTATGTTTTCCTTCTGAAAACCTGAAGAAATGACACGAATGCCATAAGTAATAGAAAAATGGTGTTTTTCCTAGGAAAAACTAAGGAAAACTTGGAAAACACAACGGAATCCGTAGGAAAATCATGTCTTCCAGAGGAGAAACCAAGCAAATCCTTAGGAAATGAACGAGAATCCATAGGAAAACAGTGTTCTCCCTTGGAAAAATTCAAGAATTGCTGTATCTGAAAAGAAAGAAAGAAACGAAGACAGGACGAAAGAAAGAAAGGACGAGAAAAAGAACGAAATAAATGAAAAAGAAAGCAAGAAAGAAAGGAAGGAAGGGAGTATGAAATGAATAAAGAAAGAACACCAGAAAGAAATAGAAGAAATGAACGAGCGAAAGAAAGAAATAAATCCAGAATAAACAGGCAAAGTTGGAAAATACGAAAGAGAAAGAACATGAAAGAATCACAGAAACAAAGATACAAGCAATAGGATACTACATAGTCCAATCGAATATGCAATAATATCGTAATGGACCCTAAAATATTTAGCATAATGTAACCTGATGTTATATAATATACCAAATATTATGTTCTATATATAAAAACTATATTGTACTATGTTACAATGTACTACACTATAAACTAAGATCTTGTTTTGTTCTATGTTATCTTCTGTTATATTGTATTGTCGTCTTTTGTTATGTTTATTAGATGCTATAAGAAGCAAGGTTCTGTTATGTCAGAAAATGTCACACGGTTTTTGTGATGTCGAACCATCTTATGTCGTTCTTATGGTTTACTATGTTATATTATGTTATAGAATGCTGACGGAAGAAGAGACACGAACAGGCACGGAAGAACGAAAGACCCACCGCCGCGCTTTTCGAGCCGTGCAAGCTTGATTCAAACAGTGTTTTCGAAACCCATCATGTGAGCGTTGTGTCTGCAAATGGGGGGGGCTGCGCCCCCCCAACCCCCCCGCTAACCAGAATCGCCAAATGAGGGGGTGTGTTTAAGATAGGTGATGAAGCGGAATACCAGCAACAGCTACAACACGAATTCCGTCCTAAATGCGAAATTGCAACGAAAATTTGATTTTCCCGAGGAACAACCAAAGATAACGTATGTTTTCCTTCTGAAAACCTGAAGAAATGACACGAATGCCATAGGTAATAGAAAAATGGTGTTTGTCCTAGGAAAAACCAGGGAAAATTTCAGGAAATACCACGGAATCCGTAGGAAAATCGTGTTTCCCCGAGGAAAAACCAATCAGATCCTAAGGAAATGAAAGAGAATCCATAGGAAAATAATGTTTTCCCTCGGGAAATTTAGGAATTGCTGTATTTTGAGTGATTCAATTTTTTCATCCTTATTTTGTTTTTTTTTATGCCTCTGCCCCAGGAATTGCTGTATTTTACGTGACTTAATTTTTTCATCATTGTTTTAGTTTTTTGACCCTGGTGCTTTAATCTTTTGATCCTTATTTAATTTTTTTTGATCCCTCACCCTGTCAACCACAAGCACAACCACAACCACAACAACAGCAACCAACGACAACAACAACAGCAACAACAGCAACAACAACAACACAGCAGCAACAACAACAACCACGACCAACAACAACATCATCAACAACAACAGCAACAGCAACAGCAACAGCAACAACAACAACAACCAGGACGACGACCACGACGACATCAAGGAAACTCCGATGAACCCTCCACAGGGATCCTGCGCGTCGAAGCGCTGGCGCTTTGGTGCGGTGCAAATTTTCTACGTCCCCGATGAACCCTCCACAGGGATCGGCCAAGCAAACCACAAAAAAAAAAAAAAATCCAAAACTAATTCCAGACCCCACCATTGAAGGTCGACGCCTTGCGCTTCAAGTTGGAGGTCTCTAGAGATGACCTGGAGTCCGGGCCCCCTCTGTCTATGATACAAGGGACACGTTTAATGTCAGCTTCTTCTTTACAGAGTGGAGCTGCTCTGTGCCAACAGAGGTCGTCTGGGGCCGAGTTGCAGCAGCTCCGCTGTGCGGCCGAAAGCTGGGCCAAGGAGCAAGCCAACCCCTTCAGACGGCACCATTCCGTGCTCCTGAACCCTTCCAGAGGCAGCTGAAGAGAGCCGCCGAGAGCTGCATGATCGGGAGCAGCGACTGGAGGAGAATTTAAAGCCCTGCTGCAGAGGGACGGAGGGAAGGCGGGAGATCTGCGGATGTTTGCAGGAGCTCTTGGCAGTGCTGCCAGGAGCATGGGGCTTAGAGAAGTTCAGTGATTGGGGTGACACAATCTGACGACTTTCCATGGACGCTGACAGGTGGAAGAGGCCCTTTGTCCCAGCGAGGCAGAGAAGGACGGGGGGCAACGGTCGCCTTCTCGTCAGCTTCCCTCGAGCTTGGCGATGCTTGGCGAGTGCCGTCCAGAGGAGCCGCACAAGTCACTGGCAGACGAGAGGCCGCCTGCTGTCACGACGGGTGGAGGAGTTCTCCTTTCGCCGGTCCTTTCAGAGGTAAGTTAACCTGCCCTACAGCAAGGTTTATTCGTTCCGCTGGTCTCTTTGAAAGTGTCCTGTGCAGAGGGAGCCCTCGTCCGCAGGGTCTGTGTGCTTGGAAAGCAGACGGACCGGTTGCAGGAGCAGGCTCCAGCAGTTTTCTGCGATCTGTGCAAACAGAAGGCTATGCTGGCGTGGTGCGCACCGCTGCGTGACGCGCCCGATAAAGGTTCTTTGCCAGCAGCGCTTGCTCGCCGAGCGCCTCGAGGAGCGGCGGGCTCTCGAGGCACAGCTGGAGGCCGCAGGGCCGCCCAACACGAAGTCTTTCTCATGGCACTGCACTGCGGCGCTGTAGAATAGGGCCTCGTGCGGGACCGCGACGAGCAGAAGTCGGTGCAGCAGAAGGACGCCTACGTGCGCAACACACCCGAGCATTCTTCATTTTGCAGGTCACAATTTCGGTGCTCTTGTAACTGCTTCTTGCGTTGCAGGCGAGAGGAGCCCTCCGCTCTACCGAGGCGCAGCTCAAAGTCAAAGAAGAGGACTCCGGACTGCGGCCGGGGCGGGCCTCCGGGTGCAGTCACAGTCGTGCCTGCCGGGCACATGGCCATCACCACGGGCGGACAGGAGCTTGCTACTGCTTCTCGACGGTGTCAAGACCTGCAGCGTCATAGTGTGCGCATGCGTGGGGAGGCAGCATCGTCTCTTCGTGATTTGTGCTTTCGAGCGGGGTTTGGACAAAGGCCCTGCTGAGCAAATTGCCAGGTTCGAGGTTTGAAAGCTCGCTTGGCCGTCTGCTCCTGAATCTTTCCGGCAGGGCGTGAGAGCAGACTCTTGGCCTCTTCTGGCTTTGTCGTACTTGCGGATTGAATCTTTACAAGTGTCGGGGCTGCTCAAGGCTCAAAGCTCTTGAGCAGAATTCGACTTACAGTTCTACTGCATGCTCACGCCCTTTTCCCTTTGCAACCCATGCCCGACACTCTTCAGACCGTGGAGAGAATTCTGGCAGGAGGCAAGCCAAGGACTGAAGAAAAGAAGCATAGGTGTCCATGCGCTTGCTTGAAACTGCATGTTGCTGTTCCAGGCCCTGTGCCACGGCATTGGCGGGCCCAGCCACGGGCTGCCACACAGGCTCTTTCTGCCCTGGCACGTATTGCAAAGGCAGAGGAGCCCTGAAGTCTCGCCATCGAATCCTGGAGCCCGATCCGAATTCCCAGAGTGCAGTAGACCGAATAGTCCAGTGAGGAGTCGCGCAAACTCTTGCGACGGATGCGCACTGACGAGGCTGCTAGCAGATTGCTACTAAATTGAACCCTTGTCCAGCAATTCGCTGCAGCTGCACTAAGTATCCTCAAGTGCGGGCGGAGCTGCTGAGCTTCGTGAATCACAGGTTGAGACCAACATTTTCCACTTCAGCAGTGCTATCAGCGCCTGCGAGAAAGCCGCAAACTGGCTGCTGGCCCTTGATACGCTGCACACCATGGTTGGGTGTGAGGCGCATCGTCGCACATGCACGATGCTGCACTGTCCGCGTGCTGTAATGCTACACCGGCAGTCATCTCAAGTCTCAAGTCATGGAGCTGGTTGCGGCATGTCGTGTTGATCAGGTGCTTCCCAACTTGGTGAGCTACTGCTCGAGCGTGAGCTCCTCTGCTGCGATAACTCGGCAGGTTCCGTTTTGCGGCGATCGCGGCGATCGCAGTCAGGTGGGTTCAAGCGGCTCTAGGTGCTGCTCCACGCACTGCTGCTTTTCGCCTGCGAGGTGCCTGTGAGAAGGCCTCTGAGTGGCTCATTGCCCTTGGCCTCTTTGCAGAGATGCGGCCAAGGTGGACTGCTTCAAGCAAAGTACACAAAGTCAACAGCGAATGGTAAATGGTACCGATGCTGTGTGTCTGGAGTGTGCTGTTGGAGGCAGGTCATTCCGAACGTGATCGCTTTCAGCTCAGCCATCAGCGCCTGCGGGAAAGGCGGTGAGTGGCAGCTGGCTCTGCAGCTCTTCGCCACAATGGCCGCAAACGAGGCACGGCTGCCAGGCTTTTAACAAAGCTTTACCTAATGGTTCGAAGTCTGTGCACTTCTAGGTCATCCAGGACGTGGTTAGCTACGCCTCGATGATAAGCGCGGCTGCCCAAGGAGGGCAATGGCGCTTGGCAGTCGACGTGCTCAGACTCATGATAAATGATCAGATGCTCAGCGACAAAAGAGCCAAACAGATCGAACAGAGCAAATGACCTCCTGCGAGTCTCCTCGCGGCAGCAAGGATTACTCCAAACGTTGTCAGCTACAACAGTGCCATCAGTGCTTGCGAGAGGGGTCGCCAGTGGAAGCCTGCGCTGCAGTTGCTAAAGTCCATGAGTGAGGCAGGAGCTTAGCTGAGTCCAGCTTAGTGTGGGCGAGAGTCACTTTCCGGCATGTTGATTAGGCAGCCAAGTCCCCAGATGTGGTGAGCTACAGCGCTGCGATTTCAGCCTGCGCAAATCTGGGAGAATGGCAGCGTGCTCTGTCCTTGCTGATGCTTGGTTACAAATGTGACCAATGGGAGCGATTGGAAGAAGCCGGGTTAGCTCAGGACGAGGATGGGGCAGAAGAAGGTGCCTCCAAACACCGTCAGTCTCTCGACAATGGTAGCCGTCCAATCATCGTTTTTCAATGAAGCTCTCAGGCAGTCTGGCCAGTCTGACCGTCTGATGTGCCTTGCGTATGATGCCAGAGGCTTTAATGCCACGATCAGTGCCGCCGAGAAGGCACAGGACCGACCAGAGCACAAGTCGTCTTCATTGGCTTCATGAAGTTTGGGTGGCTCCAGACGGGAGAAATAGCTTCTGATATGTCTCAGACTGCATAAGTCTAAGTGCCCAGCGACAGCAATTCCAAGAAGTCTTTCTGCTCGGTTCGACCTGAGCCACATTCTACTGCTAGGGCCATGCCATGAGAATCAATATGGGCGAACGGGCGGCAATACATGAAACACATCCTGCAACAGCAGTAGTTGGCTTCATGGCTGAGTTCGCCGAGCTGTGAAGTCCACGCAGCACCTCCCAGGACTGGCTACTGGCACTGGATCTGTTGAGTATGATGCGACGAGCAAAGGCTGCGTGCATCTGCACCGGGTGGGTTGGACTCCAACAGGGAGCTCATTCGGGACGTTTGATGGAGGGACATCTGTAGAGGAGAGCGGCATCTCTCGCATGGGGGATGATGTTGACATGTTCGGTTTCGGTTTGAACAAGGCTCCTTCGCCCCCGGTCAGCACCAGGTTCCTCTGTCCGTGGTCACTTTCAGCTCAGCAATCAGTGCCTGCGAAAAAGCACTGGCGTGGCAAGCATCCCTCGAGCTGCTTTCAGCGATGCCCGCGTTGAAGGCAGCTTATCGTTTGATTCTCCCGGTGTGACAGCGTGGTTCTATATTGCATGCAGTGAAGGTGGCACCCAACCAGGTGACATACAACAGTGCTCCTCAGCTGGATGTTAGCCGTTCTGCGACGGGCCGCAGCTGACAGCGCTTCCCCCCAGGCCATCAGTGCCTGCGATGTGGGCAGCCAGTGGCGCCAGGCCGCGGCACTCCTCGACTGCATGCTGGATGTCGCCATAGCTCAGGCTTGCAGTGCTTGTGGTTTGGGAGAGGGCTCTGTTACTAGTATGGCTTAGTCCCTGTGACTGGGGATGGTGACCCTGTCGAGGATGAGCTCAGCTACAGCGCTGCAATCAGTGGCTATGGAAGCAATTCTCGCTGTTCATCGCTGTTCCACGTGTGAATATGGCTGTTGCAGATAGATGTGTGAAGAGCCGGGCCCGGCAGGGTAGCCGTTGTCCAGGTGCCGCTTCCCGCTGCGGTCAGTGGATGCACGGCCTCGCACTGCTTGCGGAGATGCCACGACGAAGCGTGTGCTGCGACGCTGTGGCGCGGGATGCGTCCCTGAGGGCGTGTGTGAAGGAGCCCCCACCGCAGGGTAGAGCGAGAGCGAGAGAGGACCCAAGGCCCCAAGCGAGGCCAAGAAGCGCTGACGAGCGCTACGGAGGCACCTGCCATGGGCCATGGCAGAGCCTGGAATGTGTGGGAGTGTCTGCTTGGCCGGAGACAGTGTTGTAGCGAGCCGCTTTGCATGCACAGCGGTGGATAGAAATGTGCAGTTCAAAATAGCTGGCTGTCGCTGTTCGTCGAGCTCCAATGGTTCAACAGGTGGCTGTGCTGGAGCACAAGGTTTCCACCGGTCTGACCCAGCTAACCCAGAGTGGGCGATACACTTCGCGCCGGCTTCAGCAAGACATCCCTGCTAGCCGTCAACAAGCTGAAGTCACACTTGGCATTGTCTCGTGTACCCCAAATGCGTAAAGCCTTAAGTTCAGCAGGTGCGGAGGACAAGGAAGAAGAAACACAAAAAGGAGAGAAGCTGCACGCAGGGCGATGCAAGCTAAAACACTCGTGTGAAGCAGCAGGCGCACAAATGGCAAGCGGCACTTCTTCTTCTGCATGTTGTTCCAGACACAGCGCTGGGCTGCAGCTTGGTTCTCGATGAGCCCAGGCCGCAAGGAACAGAAGGGATCGGCCTGCAAACCTAGAGCTGCTTGAGCCAACCGGGCCGTAGCCACGGCAGATAAGACTACAGCCGTGTAGCTGGAACGTCGCACCCTGCTGTGGGGCTTGTCCAATCGCCCTGCCTGCATGGGCGGAGCAGGGCGGAGCTAAGGGCTGTGAGGCCGGGAACTGCGCCGAGTTGATGCCCGAACTGATGAGTCGCCTGCACGGGGTCCTGTGCCGGGCGAGGTCGTTGTCCATGCCTACTTAGCGATGGCTGCATGTTTCTGCACTTCCACACCCCGATCTGGGGAGCTTTCGTTTTCTACTTCGGTTGCGCTGCAGTGCCCGCACTGCGACAGTGCTTCGCTGTCACGAGATTGGACAGTCGGACAAAAAGATCTGGCGATGTAAGTCTGGCAGAGGGTGTGCAGGCAGCCTGTTCCATCTGAGGCTTGTGAGGCTGCCGCGGGCACACAGAAGGCATCACTGGGGCCTGGGGGCCTGGGCTTTCTCAGAGCATGAGACCATCCCTTGCAGGCACCCACGCCCGAGCCAGGCGACGAGCCAGGGGCCCGGTCTTCATATGCCGACTTGTAGCTCTTCCCAGATTAGCCGATCGGTCTCGCCAGAGTGCAACCGCCGCTGTCCAGGACTGTACGGGTAGCTCCTCGAAACATCGTCTTGAGATCATTCGATGCTTGAACTCGCATGTGGAAGCTAGACCTGTCGCAGCGCAACTGGACATTTCCTGCTAAATCCCGACCAATGCCATGGAGGATGGCGCCCCCCTTATGTGTGGCAAGAGATTAAGCTCGGGCTCCTTATGCCCAGATGATTCAAAGGCGAGCCCAGATCTGGAGAGGCCTCGGCGTGTGCAGACGGGCTCCCTGGGATGGCCAGGCCCTGACTACGGGCCTTTGACATGAACCCAGGACGCCCACGGAGCTACTCGGGACAAGCTCAGATTGCGCCATGGTCAAGCTGATATGCAACCTGCGCAACCTCCAGCTACAACCGCGGTTCCGGAGGCGATGCCCTTGATGCATCTGGGTAATATTCTGGGACAGAGGTGGATGGAGCAGACCAGAGTACTCATGCGAAAGTTTGAAAGGGAGCATGCGTCATGCATCAGCAGATCAGCACTACTTCCAAAAGCAGTGGGCCACTCGCTATCATCCGTTCGTGTCAACGCTCCTGAACGGAGCTGTGTCTTTGTAGTACAAGCTGCAGCGAACGAGAGCAGCATTGCCAAAGGGAAGTGCGAAGTCTGAGAAGAAGATGTGACGCGTCCGGCGCGAAAAGACCGAGGGTGATCCTGCTACTGGTCCTAGCCCTAACACCCTCTCCACCCACAGCTCACTTCCCTTCCACTCCTCTCATTCTTACTCGTTCCCCACTTGTCACTTCTACTCCCTCTCTGCCAGGAGCAGGGGCAGCGAGGAGCAGCGACGCCGAATCAGCTTGCGCCTGCAGCATGAGGCTCTCATTATGTTGCTGCTGTCAAGTCGGATTTTGATTGCACATGCGCCTGCTAGCCTGCTAGGTTGTGGAGCTGTGGAAAGCCTTGCAGAAGTGCAAAGAGGAGGCTGCGAGTGTGAGCTCCGCTTCCCTTTGCCCTTCGCTGAGCCGATCGCAGGCCGCCTGCCTGAAGGAGCCCGGAGACAGTTGAGATCTGTGGAGACTTGGGGAGCATCTCAATGCTTATGGCCCTAGGGTTTATGGCTTGAGTGCAAGTCAGCGCACTCTCAAACCCCGAAGCCAACGCAACCCAAGCGATTTGTACAAGATCGAGCTTGAGCTGCTAAAGCAGGCAGTGCTTCTTGGCTTATTGTGCATAGTGTCGGCCACCGGTCTCACGGCGCGAAACATGCGCTGAGACTAGTGTCAGAGTGGGCTCGCGGCCTCAACGTCGCTGGGCCCAAACAAGAGGACTTGCAGCATCTTGCCGGCTGTCGTGAAGTGCAGCGACGTGACACGCCGTGGCTCGCGCCAGTTATCGGGAGTGGTTTAAATCCCCACTTCCAGTTCGAAAAGCAAAACCCTGTTGCTCTAAGTGCCATGTCAGGTTCCTGCAGCGGCTGTCGCGAAGCCACGTTGAGCTAATGGGAAGGCAGCGATCACCGCAACCTTGCTCAAGCAGGAGGAAGTAGAAGTGGGCTGCTGAAGTGGGCTGCTGAAGTGGGCTGCTTCCTGAGTGCGCGACTCGGAACACTCGCCTTTGCACCTCACTGTCTTTCTCGAGCTTGGCCCTTTCTCCGGCTTGTTGTGACCTGAAGCGCGGCTCGTCCGATTGATCAGAATCAACTGCACTTGTGCACGCTTTCGCAGCTACTGCCACACTGTGGCTATGGTGCCTTTAACGAGCCAAAGGTTCAAGATGTGACACATTTCAAGTCGCTTCAGTGTCTTGAGTGAAGTTGACAACATGTCGACGATGCCATGCATTGTGCAATGGCAGCATGCTACACCGGGACCGATTCCGCATGACCCTGGGTTCCTTGGCGAATGCACTATGTGCGGCGACATAGTCAGCCGAACCTGCATGTGGCATTTACCGGTAAGCTCGCGCAAGAGACTCAGGTTGGACCAGTACTTGTGGTCTCTCATTGCGTGGATCCAGAAGCAGAGCGCCGATATCGATCAGCTGCAGAACAAGTGTTCGAGCTGGATTTTATCACACTCACACGGGTGCATGATGGCATTGTTGCAGTTGTTACAAGACACAACAGGGCGAGACCTTCTACCCGGCTTACAGGTGCGGCGAGCTTCGCCGCGACAGCCATCAAGCTTTAGGCTTTGTAGAGAGCCGCTGGGTTCCCGTCCGTGTCTTCCAGCGTTGCTGGAACGCTTGTGCAGTGTGCGTAGGGGACGGAGGCGCAGCAGGGCAGGACGTTGAAACGTGCTCAAACCGTGAAACTCCAATTCTGGAAACCAGGCCCCAATTCGGCAAGCGAGTGTGCAAGTTACATGCCAATTCCGTGAACGAGCTCGAACGAGCTCGAGTCGGAGAATGGATTTGGGATTCAGGGAGTGGGAGAAGCCCGATTGATACACTTGTGCGGCAAATCGGCAGATTCAGATAATTCAAGACATGAGAAGGCATAGGGGTAATTTCGCGCCGAACTCCGGAAATATTCCGAAAGGAACAGCTGAGTTCGGGAAAGCCGCCAACTCATGTCGTTATTGTCATTAGTCCTTTTTGACAATAGGTTTAGTTTAAGGTATGGCTCTTTCTCTGCTATCCCTGCTAATTCTACAATCATCGTCGCTGCTTTCACTAGTACTAGTACTACCGCCGGCACTACTGTGGTTCATCTGACCATTATTATTATGACTACTACTACTACTACTACCACTACTACTACTACTACTACTGCTGCTGCTACTGCTACTACTACTACTACTACTACTACTGCTACTACTACTACTACTACTACTACTACGACTACAACATTAGCAACTACTACTCCTGCTCCTGCTCCTGCTCCTCCTGCTGCTGCTACTGCTTCTAATGCTGCTGCTGCTATTCCGACTGCGACGACGACTACGATTACTACTACTACTACTACTACTACTACTACTGCTACTGCTACTACTACTGCTACTACTACTGCTACTACTACTGCTACTACTACTGCTACTATGATCATGACCTGTATTGTTGCTATTGCGATTCTCATTCCTATTCTGATGAGTACTGCTATTACTTCAATATTGCTGTCGATTTTGCCAGCAATCTTACGGCTTCCCGCGTGCACTTCCGCGATGATAGGATGGAGGTGGGACCAGATGTTGCTTTTCTTTACTGTTCGGCCATCTGTCGTGGAACACACGCGTGCTTGATCGGATCGTGTTAGAGGTCTGTTAGAGAGAAATGCCATGAACTAGCAGCTGGTCGAAGACAACCGTCCTGAGATGGTGATGTGCTTGATGGAACATGTGTGTGTTTCATCGGATCGAATTCGAGGTCAGTCAGAGAGATCTGCCCTGGGCATTTGGTGCTGGTAGCGTCTAAGAATCGCTTGCATCGTAGTCGCCGATGTGGGAATGAGCGCATATCTTGAATGATACAGTCAGTCAGTCAGGACTTCTGGTGCGAAGGTTTTCGGGTGCTCATTGGCCCACGAGCTTGGCACCTTACGCACAGCCAAGGCACGGTCAAAAAGACGGAAGCACGCCGTCTTCGCCTCCTCCAAGCGACAGCGGCGACCGCTCTCCGAAGGACGCAAGCAGTGCAACCGACATCAGACGTAGATAGAAGTGGGCACGTTGCGAGAACTCTCCTGAGGAGTGCGGCTCCGAGATGGACATGCAGGATGTTCAGCAGCCAAATGGGTGGTTGTCAAAGTTATGGTCCCTCTTTGGGTAGCTAATATAATACGGCACCTAGTATTTATGGTACCCAAAAAGGAGCCCTAAGTGCGAAAGGAGCATAGCCGTAGCCATGCTGATCGCTTCCATTGAGGGGAAGATGTGCCTGGAGCGCTCCGGGCCAACATGGGCGAAGTTCTGTCAAGCCCGGTTGAGATGCCCCTGGGCCGAGCGGTGGGTTTCTTGTCGAGCTTTGGCAACTGTTGCAGCCCGGGTGTCGTTGGTCCAGAGAGGCAAGACAAGATGCGAGAAAGCGGAGTCTCAATGGACCCGATGGGCGCACACGAGCCGGATTCCGTCACTGAGAAGGTGCAGGCTCCGCCTCCACTCGTCCCACGCTTATGCCACCGGTGCAGACTGCCGGCCACTGTACGAGGCAGCCATCGATCCGTTTCATCCGTCCTTCGAAGCTTTGCGACTTAGCCGCCAACGAGCCTCGAGCAGGGCAAACTGCTAGGAAACCTCTTGTTGTAAGCAGTGTTCAGTGTGGCTGTCCGGCACATATGCACCTCAACACTATTACTGGGTAGCAAACCGCTGTCAAGGGTTTTTCTTTCTTGCGCGGCGGGCCTGTAGGGTATACATATAGCCATCTTTGCTCTTTGCAGGTCATCAGAGATTGTACACGACCTAATTACTTGCATACTGCGCGAAAGCGCTCAAAAGGCGCTGAGAGCTGGCTCTGCCAAAAGGAATCCGGCGCCTCGAGCTTTGGGATACGCCCCTTCAGGGCGTCGCCTGCTACTTGGCGCAAAACTTTCGGCAGCCACGGCCAGAGATGCACGACCGAGACGTCGGCCACACCACTATTGCTCCGCCACTCGGTTTCCCAGCCTGAGCATAGTGTAAAGGTGGAGCCGTCCAAGGTCCCGTGTAGGTCCCTGGCAACTTGCCAGACTCGTTCCCACTCCGTCATTGAGATCTGCACGTTGAAATCGCGGTAGGTGTTCCCGGCGACTTTGGCCCTTCCTCGACCGTCAATTCCGTCTGGAGGAAGGCCTGCGTCGCTTCTCGAGTAGCCTCCATCACTTCCGGGGTCCAGAAGGCATCGAGAATGTGACTAGCGACTTCACCCATGTCCAAGTTAACGAACGTGACAATGTCCTCCATCTCCTCCTGGTATAGAGAAAACTCGCCCATCGTCCGCTGGATCAGCTTGAAGATCTCGGTGGCATCAGGGAGGAGCTGCGTGTCCAAAGAGAACATGGCAGGCGGCAGCGTGGGCTGAATTCTGTACTTGGTCCCAGCTGGAATCAAGTCCCGATGCCAAAGGCTCCACGATGTTCCTCGGCACACTGGGGTTGTATTCCGCATCCTTCTTTTTCCTCCAGTGCTTGCTTCCAAATCCCGGTGCGCACTTCGCAGCGAAGAATCCATGAGAACGCAGGGTAGCCACGCATTTGCTGGAGTCCCGGAGGTGCCGTGCTAGCCGGTTGGACGACCAGTACTCTGGTCCGCATGCTTTGCAGCTAGTCTCCTCAACGACCGCATGATAGCATGCACGGCGATTGTGGGTCTGCAGAAACTGAGCTCCAAGCGCTCCGCGTGTACGGAAGGAGCGTCCGCAAGGCCGACAAGCCCAACATGTAGGCGTCGGGGCAATCATTGGCAGGGCCTTCTCCGCCGGTTTGTAGAGGGCCGAAAGAGTCAAAGTCATTCGGTGTCCATCGCAGTCAACTTTCAAATCACAATCCAGTTTTCGAGTCACTTGCTTTCGGACCCATGCGAAAGAGATTGACGACAAGTACTCGCCACTGCGCCCATGCTGCTTCGCTCAGCGAGGGCCACTTGTTCGAGTGGACAGGCAGTGAAAAGAGGGTGCGACTAGTGAGTGAGCCTTCATGTTTCTGTTTCTTGCCCCACGCTGGCCACACGAAACTACACCACGCACACCAAAAACGTGCTCATTCTGATTTTGCGTCTGTACGTTTCCCACAGAAAACGCATTTTTCTTGAAAACGAAGCAGATCGGGCAAAACCAAAAACAGGCTACACAAAGCAAGCTCGCCAACAGAGCCTACCCAAAGTGGGTTTTGTCCCACGCAGGCCACGGCGATTTCCTTTGTGTTCACGCACATGTCCATACCTAAAACCTCGGTAAAAAACAGCAGGCCGCGCGAAACGCGCGTTGTCGTCGCTGCTGCCTGCGGGCGCTTACAGGGTGGTCAAGTGTTGTTATTGTTATTCTTATTAAAGTGTTCTCTCTGCTTGTATTGACATATACACTATATGTATGTATGATCAAAACAAAGTTATATGAGGTGGATTACCGACAAGCCCGGTTTTTTTGAAGGTCTCGGACCTGCTGGCCTGGCGCGTGGCCTCTCGGCAGACTCGGAAACCCGAGGCCGGGCCTGGCACAGGGCTTGCGTGGTTCGAAGACCCAAACATGTGCCATCTTTCTTGTTGGATATCTCCTTGTGAGAGGTTAGCAACAAAGGGAATGTATTGAGTGAGCGCAGAGTGAAGCGGTCTGTCGGGTTTCAGCCCGAGGTGTTGACACAGCACGTGGCCGAAGTTGGCAGTTGCGGCACGTCGAGCCCTGAGAGCTGTCTGAATTCCGCGCTGGCGCTGTCGCAGACCGCCCTGCACCATGCGGGAGGCAGTTCTAGATCTGTTGAGGTCCGCCTCTATGGTCGCCCATCGCGATACTGTGCACCGCCTGCACGGCCCTCCCCTCCTGTCAACATCCGAAGCCTTTGGCGACGATGTCGGTTCTTTGAAGATCTTTGAATGCTGCTTGTCTCGTTTGGCGACGTCCAAATCTACTGTAGGAGATTCTTCTGGTCTAGTGCCATTAGAAGCCCTCCCAATCGCTGCATTTCAAGCCAGAGATGGTGCGTGATGCTGGCGAGAGCCCGCCAAACTCATTTTGACGAAAGTGTCGCCCGTGCAATCGTGGTCAAAAACCTCGATTGTGCGTTGGGGTACTGTCTTGACCAGGATAAGTTTGTGCGTAGATCGGCACACTATGTGGTTAGAAGCCATTCCTGGGGCGGCCTTGGCTACGTGCATGAGCTGGTCGCGGAAGCCATGCTCAGTCAGATGAGAGACATTTGGTCAGCGAGTGGACAGACGCTTCCCAAAGAGACCTGGCCTTATGTGGGCTCTGCCTGCAACATCTCGGAGATCTCCTGAGATCAATGACGAAGCCTCAACGTCAGGAGTGGGCGTCCTTCTTGGTCGCAGCCCTACGCGGTTATCAATCTGCCTCAGCGGCATCTCGTGCCAAACGGCAGATCCAGCTACTTCAGGAGCTGAAGCTCCTTTGGCTTGCTGATGACGATCCCAATCGATCCTATGCGGACACGAAGCGGCAGCTGGAGGGCATCATGAACTCTCCGAGCTTCCAAGATGTGCGGGACAAGATACGAAACCTCTTCGTGTGCTGACGTGCGGTTACAATGTCCCGAAGAGAAAAAGGCTTCGTGAGTGAGCCAGAATGTACGCAATCAGGCAATAGGCATGCGATTGCTTGGCGGTGTGCAACGGTAGCTCTGCATCGAGGCCATGCACGGTCACGGAAAAGACGACAACGCGTGGCTGCCGTGATCCCAGTCTCTTTGGGCTGTGGCGGCAGGGGAATTTGGGCAGGCTTGACCCCAGGATCCAAAGCTGTAAATCCCAAATCCGGGCAACAACGGAGCTCCGATGAAGAGGCACGGGTGCCGAGTCCATCAGTCTTTGTCCCTGCCGTGCATGCGCTATGACACCATGAACACTAAGCCATGACTCTGGCACAGTCTGTGTCTATCGGTGCTTGACATCTGCAGCAGGCCGAGCCCAAAGCCGCAGGCGTGGGCTTCGCATGACACGGGACACTCTGTGACTCTACATTTCTTGGCTACTGACTTGCTTGCCGTGTTCTCAGGCAAGGCTATCGCAGCACGACTTTGTGGATGCAAGGACCAGCCTGCACCAGCAGTGACGGGTCCTTAGATCAAAAGCAGAAAGCACCGTGAGTACTGAAAACCACACCAAGTTTGCCAGGCATTCGGCTGTGGAAAGCAGCGGTGTGCCCTCTGTGATGCAGGCCTACCGTCGCTTACTGCATTTGCCGCATTGATTCTAAGGGAGCTTTCCGCGCTTCACATGCAGACTGCAAAGGTGAAAGATGCAGAGGAACCGCATGCTCGTATGGTCGTGGTGTAGTGAGGAGTGAAGTCATCGGACCGGCATACAATTTGGGCATCCCGTGACCACTCTGCGACAGCTCAGATCGCTGCCATGCAGGCACCGGAACAGCAGACAGATCATTGCAGCCGCGAAGCATCGCGAATCTAACCGAAGGAATCCCAAAAGCACCCGACATCATCCCACATCTCTCTGTGACGCCGCACCGCTTTTGAGTCTCTTGTAGACTGGGGGTGGTGTACAGCGGGTTTCTAGGGGCCGCCACTTGCAACATCCCGCTCAGGCTTTGCGAGGAGCAAGGATAAGAGCTACACAATTGCACATACCAGCAGCACGCCTGAGAAACACATTCACCAGAAGGCACCACAAAGTCGTTTAGATGTTTAGATTGTCCTTTGACAATCTTTGAAGAATATTCCAAACCCAGCACCCGAAATCTTGCAGCCCTGGCGCTGTCCTAACGAGGCAAAGCCTTAGCGGGCCGCCCAGTGAGAGATAGAAGTCTTGGATTACACTTCCTGCAGAGGCTGATGTTGAGCGGTCAGGAATTAGAACCTAAGAGAAGTGCCGCCTATGCCCTGGTGATGTTTGTGCCATCATCTTCTTGAAAGAGAATCAGTTCGGAAGTCGATGGCTCGTATGTCACATGACTTTTGCTCGCCTACACGTTCCAGGCGGTGCTAAGTGTCAACTTTTCAATCCTGTGACCTTGTGTTCCATGGCGACAGGCAGCTTCGGAAAGTGCTAGCAGGCATGGTTTGGTGAGGCTGAGCTTTTGCCTGCTAAGCTTTGCAGAGATCTGCACCAGGTTCGAGGTCACGCTGGCAGATGCCGAACTGGGCTACTCGCTCGGGATGCTGACCCATGCTGGCAGGGATGCGAGGCATCTGCCGCTTCTACGCTTAGGTTGTGGCTTTGCAGGACTTCCTCCCGAAGCTGTCCTCGTCACTCGGCATGAGGACTTACATGGACTTAATCAGAGCGAAGCGACCCAGTCGGTGAACTCAAGGGCCAGGGATGCCTGTCTTAACTCTGACAAAACCGGAGCACGTAAACGGCCAGGTGGCAAAGGTCTCCGAGGGCAGCTTCGCAGCCACGCACGGTGCCGAGAAGGGGGAAGGCTGCTCAGCTATGAACTGCTGGACGTGCCAAGGCACAAGATCCAGACTGGGCACTTGCTGGTGGCGCTGAACGGCGTAGAGACAAAGGATCTGACTCCTGAGACTTTCAGGCCCGTTTCTTTTAGTGTGAAGCAACAGGCAGGCTGTGTACGCGGATAGGCATTTGCGCTGTCAAGTGCTTGGATACGGACCGTAGTGAGGCAGAGCCTGAAAGCCAGGCCAGTCAGTTCCGCTCCCAGCAGTGTCACGATTTTCTCGAAGCACATGCTACAGCAACACATCGCGGCTGCGCTTCTCCGTCGAGGTCTCCGTATTGAGATTCCACAGGCAGAGGCCTGCCACAGATGACTTGCCTGCAGGGGTATGTTACTTTTCCTTTCAAGTTTAGGACGGTGTGCCTGGTTTGCGAGGAGAAGGCCAAGGCCGTGGAAAAAGTCGAGACGCAGGTGAAGGCGGCGACCGCCATCCAAGCCCTGGCGCGCCGGGCTCTCAGGCTTTCATTCATGGTGTCCTATCTGATGATCTGTGTGGATGTGGGGGGGCAACGAGCATCCGAGCAAGGTGGTCGCGCTGCTCGCAAAGGCACCGGCCTGGAGGCCCGCTGGATTGCGCATGGGCGGAGTTTTAGCTTTTCAATCCCGTGACCTTGTGTTCCATGGCGACAGGCAGCTTCGGAAAGTTCTCGCAGGCATGGCTTGATGAGGCTGAGCTTGTGCCTTCTAAGCTTTGCAGAGATCTGCACCAGGTTCGAGGTCACGCTGGCAGATGCCGAACTGGGCTACTCGCTCGGGATGCTGACCCATTCTGGCAGGGATGCGAGGCATCTGCCGCTTCTACGCTTAGGTTGTGGCTTTGCAGGACTTCCGCCCGAACCTCTTCTCGTCACTCGGCATGAGGACTGACATGGACTTAATCAGAGCGAAGCGACCCAGTCGGTGAACTCAAGGGCCAGGGATGCCTGTCTTAACTCTGAGCAAAGGTCTCCGAGGGCAGCTTTGCAGCCACGCACGGTACCGAGAAGGGGGAAGGCTGCTCAGCTATGAACTGGTGGACGTGCCAAGGCACAAGATCGAGACTGGGCACTTGCTGGTGGCGCTGAACGGCGTAGAGACAAAGGATCTTGAGACTTTCAGGCCCGTTTCTTTTAGTGTGAAGCAACAGGCAGGCTGTGTACGCGGATAGGCATTTGCGCTGTCACGTGCTTGGATACGGACCGTAGTGAGGCAGAGCCTGAAAGCCAGGCCAGTCAGTTCCGCTCCCAGCAGTGTCACGATTTTCTCGAAGCACGTGCTACAGCAACACATCGCGGCTGCGCTTCTCCGTCGAGGTCTCCGTATTGAGATTCCACAGGCAGAGGCCTGCCACAGATGACTTGCCTGCAGGGGTATGTTACTTTTCCTTTCAAGTTTAGGACGGTGTGCCTGGTTTGCGAGGAGAAGGCCAAGGCCGTGGAAAAAGTCGAGACGCAGGTGAAGGCGGCGACCGCCATCCAAGCCCTGGCGCGCCGGGCTCTCAGGCTTTCATCATGTCGTCCTATCTCATGATCTGTGTGGATGCGGGGGGCAGCGAGCATCCGAGCAAGGTGGTCGTGCTGCTCGCAAAGGCACTGGCCTGGAGGCACACTGGATTGCTCACGGACGAAGTTTTGTCGTTATTCTGAGTTTTGCAAATCGCAGGTTTCCGATCGGCCAATGAACATGAGCATGCATCGGCCTTGGCATCTGCCTCAGATCCTAAGACGGCGCCGCAACGTGTCGTTTGGGCCGAGGCGGCCACTCATTCGTTGGACTGAGGCAGCGGCTTAGGGCTTGGGGTTCGGCATCTCGGGTTCGGTTCAGGGTTGAAGGCTTCGAGATTTGGCCGTAGTGATGGTTTGAGCTTTGGATCTAGGTCTGGGGGTTGCGATCGAGAGCTCAGGTGACTCAAGTGATACCCCGTGGTGCCTGCGGTGGACGTTACGGTGGTGATGATGTCTTCGTGATAGCATGCAGCCACAGGCGAAGCAACAGGCATAGTAGCAATGGAAGAAGTCGCGTAGAGGAGTCGTCGTCGTAGCCGTCGTAGCCGTCGTCGTAGTAGTAGTAGTAGTAGTAGTAGTAGTAGTAGTAGTAGTAGTAGTAGTAGTAGTAGTAGTAGTAGCAGTAGTAGTAGTAGTAGTAGTAGTAGTAGTAGTTGTAGCAGTAGTAGAAGTAGTCGTAGCAGTAGTAGTAGTCGTAGGGGTCGTGGTCGTGGTAGTGGTTGTGCAAGTAGTAGTAGTAGTAGTAGTAGTAGTAGTAGTAGTAGTAGTAGTAGTAGTAGTAGTAGTAGTAGTTGTAGTTGTAGTTGTAGTTGGAGTCGTAGTCGTAGTAGTAGTCGTAGTAGTAGTATTTTCCGGCAGCTTGCATCGTCTCCTTTCCCAGACTCCTAGACCTCGATAGAGCTTCACGCGGGTTAACAGGAGACCAAGTCTCATCCAGCAGCCTGCTTCGATGCTTTGAAGTCCTAACGAGGTGTCCCAATAACAAGCTGTTGGAACTTTAGCCGTTCATGGACATGCCTGGCGCGAACCCACAGTGCTTGTTCTCCGTCGTTTGCATCCACGTACAGTGTCCCTTCAGGCTTCGCATCCAGGGACGGCAGCTTGAAAAGGTCAGGCGGCTCATGCGCAACTACAAGAGGCAGCTTGTCGGCAGATGATCTCAATTGTGCAACCAATTGCGTCCGAGATGTTGCCAGCTATGCAAACGGCACACGCCGCACAATCCTCCTTACTCATGACTTGGTCGCTGGACAGTTTGGGCTTTGCAAACTCACATCGGGGCTCCTTCGTGCAATGTAAGTCTGGAGCCGGAGTTTTCTCGTCTTTCTCTATTCTCGGCTCACTGTAGCTGGTTGCGTGGACCAAGGCGTTTGGCCAAGGACGCGAAGCTCCGGAGCGGTACCGCTGACGATCAGCTCCTCGGCTGATGTTTCGCGCTGGAGTGAGGGGCCACATGCCCGCTGAGCGGTCGCAAGTCGAATCGTCCCAGGAAGCCGCGGCTCAGCGACGCCTCTCTGGCGAGCACCCGCGACTCCGACGGAGAGCAGCCTCCGGAGGCCAGAAGCGCAGTCGCTGGGCCAAGCCTGTCCTTCGACAAGTGAGCTGCTTGAGAGGAGCCTGCAGAGGCAGCGGACGAGGAGTCTTCCAGCAGCATCAGTAGTGTCGAGCACTGCACGGCCCTTCAATTGCGGTTTTGCTCCCACTCTTTGCTTGCCCAGGTCGCCGCTATCAAAAGAGGCCTTGCTCTTTTGAGTTGGGGATTCTGGCTCCCGTGTGCGCCGAGTGCTTGCCAGCCGTTCCTCAACAACGACGAGCTCGTGGACTTGATGCATGGGGGCCCTTGGCCAGCGGCGGCGAGCCCTCGCAGGTGCCTGGCAGGTATGAGCAGAGCATACTGTAGCAGAGCAGCACTCCAGTCCAAATCTTCCGAGCAGCTGTGGACCTGGCTGTCCTTGGAGTCCTTGGAGGTCCATCACGGAAATGTCGCTAGAAGAGTGCATGACTCCACTGTGCCTTGGGCAGCAGCATGAGTGTTGAATCATGTTGCATGCATCACAACAAGTGCCTTCCACATTTCTGCAAGGTACCCGGTACCCATTTCGTCTACCAGCAATCATGTCTTCCCTAAACTTGCAGCGTGACCACCAGAAGTGGAGAGTCGCCCTGTTTGTGTCAAACATGCCAAACAATGCCCCAAGATACAAAGCATCGCATTCAGCACGATGTCTAGGCCTAGGCCTTTGGAGTGCACCTTGATGCAAGCCATGCCTTAGATTCCTGCAAGATGTTGCTACTGCGAGGCCATCGCCGTCAAGCCGCAGCAGCGAGGCAACTGGAAACCTTGGTGATGCGCTGCCTGTCCATCAGCCGGAGGCTTAAAGCCGAGAGTCGAGAGCCTGTGCAGACGTTGCTGAGCCATCCCCAACTCCCTAGGAATAGGAAGGTTGGTGACTTGTTATGACTGTGTTGCCTCGCAGTTAAAGGAATGGCTTGTTTCAGTTCCCATGAAGAGAGAGGAAGTCGTTCTCCAAAAATACCATCACCCAGGCTGCACGGCTGAGCCTTTCTTCCCCGCTTTGCCGGTTCGAAGGTAGCTGCATGGACCAAGGTTTGAGGGAGAGGCGGAGACCCAGAGTGGGACGATGCCCTTCGAGGAGGAGCAGGGAGATCGGCTGCTCGGCTGATGTTTCGCTTTGGAGCCGGGCACGATGACTGGGGTGCTGGTAGGGGAGTCAAGTCGGAAGAGGCGAACCACACACAACAAAATCTTTGGCACGGCATGTGAGATCGACCCAGATGCTCCAGGTTGCCCCATGCTGGGTGTAGACTACCCAAGAGTAAGTGAGTAAGTGAGTCAGGCAGGGAGAGGAACGTCCCCTCCCTTAGCCCAGCGTGAGAACCTGACTAGGGCGTGTTGCTACCAGAGCAGGGAGTTGACTTCAGCAGCAGATACACCGCATACAATTCATGGGTTCGGTCTGTGTGCGCCAAGGCACGGACAAGAAGATTCACCTTCTCCCTGGCCCTGCGACAGCAACGGCAACGACGCTCTGAAGGATGCAAGCAGAGTCCCTCACCACGAAGCATACTGCTTGCATCAACCATGGAGAGCGCATTCCCGGAACCAGAACTGCCCTGAGGCATGCAGTTCCGAGACCGAGATGAATGACGACGATCAGCCCAACATCGAGGCCCTGGGGATACAAGTGCGACAGGAACACATCCATCTTGATTTGTACATTTGAAGGAAAATTTGCCTGGAGCGCTCCGGGCCGAAGAGACCTCAAGTGCGGTTGAGATGCCGCTTCGGCCGCACAGGGGGTTTCACATGGCAATCTTCAGCACTTTGTTGCAGTCTGGTGTCTTCGAACTTGAGACCTGGTAAGCATTGAGAGAGCGAGGAGCGTAGCGGAGCCTCTCCGGTCGATGCACACAAACCGGTTTCCGACGTTGAGGATGCACTGGCTCAGCGCTCTTTGCTTGCCCAGGTTACTGCCCCCAGAACCGGTCCCCAAAAAGGCCTGGATGGTTCGAGTGGGAAATTCTGGGCCTCATGTGCGTGGAGTGCTTGCCAGCTGTTCCTCAACAACGACGAGCTCCTGGACTTGATGCATGGGGACCCTTGGCCACCGGCGGCGAGCCCTGGCAGGTGCCTGGCAGGTATGAGCAAAGCAGCACTCCAGTCCTATATCTTCCGAGCAGCCGTGGGCCTGTCCCTGAAGGTCCACCAAGATATTGTCGTTGGAAACATGAAAAGAGCGCATGACTGCACGTACCGCGAACAGTACCGGGTACCCATTCCGCGCGCCAAAAATCACGTCGTACTCCACAAACTAGCCGCATAACCACCAGAAGTGGAGAGTCGCCCTGTTTGTGTCAAACATGCCAAACAATGCCCCAAGATACAAAGCATCGCATTCAGCACGATGTCTAGGCCTAGGCCTTTGGAGTGCACCTTGATGCAAGCCATGCCTTAGATTCCTGCAAGATGTTGCTACTGCGAGGCCATCGCCGTCAAGCCGCAGCAGCGAGGCAACTGGAAACCTTGGTGATGCGCTGCCTGTCCATCAGCCGGAGGCTTAAAGCCGAGAGTCGAGAGCCTGTGCAGACGTTGCTGAGCCATCCCCAACTCCCTAGGAATAGGAAGGTTGGTGACTTGTTATGACTGTGTTGCCTCGCAGTTAAAGGAATGGCTTGTTTCAGTTCCCATGAAGAGAGAGGAAGTCGTTCTCCAAAAATACCATCACCCAGGCTGCACGGCTGAGCCTTTCTTCCCCGCTTTGCCGGTTCGAAGGTAGCTGCATGGACCAAGGTTTGAGGGAGAGGCGGAGACCCAGAGTGGGACGATGCCCTTCGAGGAGGAGCAGGGAGATCGGCTGCTCGGCTGATGTTTCGCTTTGGAGCCGGGCACGATGACTGGGGTGCTGGTAGGGGAGTCAAGTCGGAAGAGGCGAACCACACACAACAAAATCTTTGGCACGGCATGTGAGATCGACCCAGATGCTCCAGGTCGCCCCATGCTGGGTGTAGACTACCCAAGAGTAAGTGAGTAAGTGAGTCAGGCAGGGAGAGGAACGTCCCCTCCCTTAGCCCAGCGTGAGAACCTGACGAACTCAACAGCAGCACACAGACCATGCAATTGATGATTCCTGGGTTCGGTCTGCGTGCCAAGGCACGGACAAGAAGACGAAAGTGGCGCGCCTTCGCCTTCTCAGAGTACTTGCGACAGTGACGGCAACGAGTCTCCGAAGGACACAAGCAGAGTGATCTCGCCGACAATACTTCAGCACTTGAGCGGCTCAACGGCAGGAGCTTCCAGACCCTGAGCAGCCCACTATCAAGGCCTGGTGTGACGACAACACATGCGTGGCCCCTGCAGATGCTTGCATCGCATGCGGGCGCAAGGCTCCTGCCGATCTTTTTCACCCGGCCTGCGATTTGTTGCGACTCGGCCTCGCAAGTTCCCAGAGAGCAGGCAAGCCAAGTGCACGGCCCAGCTTCTGTTGGCAAGCGCCGAGGCCTGCTCTTTTGGAGCACTTGTCTGCGGCTCGTCTGCAATGCCAGATTCCGGCAAAGTGCCCTGAAGGGTAACGGAGCACGACAGCGACTCGCGATGCCTTGGCGATGCTGAGATGCTTGCGCTTGCCTCCAGGTGCCAGACATCATAGCCTGGCGTGTGACGTCCGAACAGACACGGAGTCCCGAGGCGGGGCCAAGCGCACATTATGTGGAAAGGACTAATTGAGAGAGCTTCGTGCAGGATGCAGTGAAGCTTCAATTGAAGTGCTCTGTCCAGTGTCACGCCGAGGTCTTGTTACGGCATGTGGCCGAGCTTGGCAGATTGGACACGCCGAGTCCTTAGCTGTGTCATTTCAGCTCTCGCTGTCTGCAGTGCGAGGTCCGTATTATGCATACCTGATAAGCGCAGGTCCGATGCAATCGTCGCATTTTCCGCTGGGGTGGACCGCATACTCTCAGACTCCGAACCGTTTCCCGACGACGTCGAATGCCAGAAACGCTTCGATTGCCTCTCGATCTGCTCACATCAGAGCTTCAGTTGGGAGATCCTTGATCCTGCAGTCCTGCTTGTTCTGCATCTCAGGTCAGGACTGGTGCTTGGCGCTTGCGAAAACGGACACAACCCATTTTTCTGAAGATTATGTACGCCAAACAGTCGGCAAAAACCTCACCGACTTGTTAACTCACTGCCGGGACTCTGATCAAGGTGTGCGTGGGGCAGCGCACCATATCGTTAAAGAGCATGCCTACGACGGTCTCGGCTTCGTGAAGGAGCTGCTCGCAAACACCGTGCTCAGTCAGATGACAGACATCTTGTCAACCGGCAGAGGGACACAGCCGACGTGGAATGTCATGAAGAGGTACATGGAGCATCTCGAGCCGCTTCTGCGATGGCTGACGAAGCGTCAGCGTCAAGTTTGGGCATCTCTGCTTGTCAAAGTCTTATATAGCCTTCAACCAGCATCAGCTCCGAACAGAGCTGCCTGCCAGAAGGTGGTGGTTGATCATCTGAAGCTCCTGTGTTTTGCGGATGACGATCCCAATCGAACCTACGCAGATGAAAAGCGGCAGCTATTGGCCCTCTCGGACTCCGCGGACTTCGAAGAGGTGAAGAACGGCATGCCAAGTCTCTTCTGTTGCTAACGTCTGTCTCACAAGTAGCAAGATGGACAGCACTGCACAGAAACAATACGCTGCAAATTATCAGTTCTACATTGCCAATCTCGTTGTCACTCGCTTTTGCACCAAGGCGGCACCATGGCAAGAACCCCGACGTTCCAGAACCTCAGCCCTATATATGGTGCAGCGCGATTCCACAGGCAGAGGCCTGCCAGAGATGACTTGCCTGCAGGGGTATGTTACTTTTCCTCTCAAGTTTAGGACGATGTGCCTGGTTTGCGAGGAGAAGGCCAAGGCCGTGGACACAGTCGAGACGCAGGAGAACGCGGCAACCGCCATCCAGGCCGTGGTGCGCCGGGCTCTCAGGCTTTCATCATGTCGTCCTATCACCTATCTGATGATCTGAGTGGATGCGGGGGGCAGCGAGCATCCGAGCAAGGTGGTCGTGCTGCTCGCAAAGGCACTGGCCTGGAGGCACACTGGATTGCGCATGGACGAATTTCCAGCTTTTTTCAAACTTGTGACCTTGTGCTCCATGGCGACAGGCAGAATCGGAAAGTGCTCTGAGGCATGGTTTGATGAGGCTGAGTTTGTGCCTTTTAAGCTTTGCAGAGATCTGTGCCAGGTTCGAGGTCACGATGTCATCTGCCAGCGTGACCTCGAACCTGGCGCAGATCTCTGCAAAGCTTAAAAGGCACAAGCTCAGCCTCATCAAACCATGATGCGGAAACCAAACTGGGCTACTGGCTCGGGATGTTAACCCATGATGCGAAGCATCTGTGGCGTCTGCACTTAGGTTGTGGCTTTGCAGGACTTCCTCCCGAACCTGTCCTCGTCACTCGGCATGAGGACTTAGATTGTGGGAGATCAGAGCGAAGCGACCCAGTCGGTGCACTCAAGGGTGTCTTGACACTGACGAAACCGGAGCAAGTAAACACGGCCAGGTGGCAAAGGTCACGGAGGGCAGCTTTGCTGCCACGCAGGGTGCCCAGAAGGGGGGAAGGCTGCTCAGCTATGAAATGCTGGACGTGCCAAGGCACAAGATCCAGACTGGGAGCTGACTCCCCCGACTTTCAAGGCCGATTCTCAGAGTGTCATGAAGCAACAGGCAGACTGTGCACGCGGATAGGCATTTGCACTGTCACGTGCTTCGATACGGACCGCGCTGAGGCAGAGCTTGAAAGCCAGGCCGGTCAGTTCCGCTCCCAGCAGTTTCACGAGAAATCGAAGCACATGCTACGCGGCTGCGCTTCTCTGTCGAGGTCTTCGTCTTGAGATTCCACAGGCAGAGGCCTGCCACAGATGACTTGCCTGCAGGGGCATGTTCCTTTTAAGTTTAGGACGATGTGCCGGGTTTGCAACGAGAAGGCCAAGGCCATCGACAAAGTCGAGACGCAGGAGAACGCGGCAGCAGCCATCCAAGCCCTGGCGCGCCGGGCTCTCAGGCTTTCATCATGGCGTCCTATCTGATGATCTGTGTGGATGTGGGGGACACTAAGCATCCCAGCAAGGTGGTCGTGCTGCTCGCAAAGGCACCGGATTCGAGGCACGCTGGATTGCGTAGTTTTGTCGTTATTCTGAGTTCGGCAAATCGCAGGTTTCCTATCGGCCAATCGACATGAGCAGCGTCAAGTCTTACATGCTATGCTTGTACGTGCCGCATATGGGATAGGATCTGCCTCCTAGTGCCAATTCAGAGCACTGTTTCTGTAAACCGTACATTTCATGTTTTCCACGGCATACTATATATTTTACACCAGTATAGATAGAGTACAGTACGGTACGGTATAGTGCCAGCTGATGCAGCCAGTTCAGCTGCTCTTGATTTTGGGTGCATCATCATCCTCTTCCTCTGCATCTGGCTCTCTCTTTGTCTCTCTCTCTCTCTATCTCTCTCTCTGCCTGATCCGAGGTTTTCATGCACAGCAGCCTGCTCACTTAGGTCGGGTTTTTGGGGCTGATCACCAGCGTTGTGCCCATGTGTTCAGCCTGCCAATCATGCTATTTTTGTATTGTCCTTGTAGCGACCACTGAGTGGAATTCGGTGCCACGCTCGGGGTTGCTGTCAGCAACATCAGCTTCGTCGACAAGGCAGCCGTGACAATGAGCGTTCACCCGATCATCACTTCCACCTGGGGGCCGAGGGCCTGCCTAGACATTTCGAGGATGGTTGAGGTGCGGGACTGGAGGTACGATCAAGACTAGACTGTAGGAAGGTGAACCCAACGGCAAACTCAATGTCCAACAGAAGCTTCGGCATCGCCTTGTGTGACCGAAAGCACGCTGAGACTGGTTCAGGATTTGGATGTGGGTGCACTTGGCGGCACCTTGACATGGGCTTCTGAGTGTGGCGACTTCGTGGTCCAGGAGCTTATTCGAATGCAGACTTCACCTGCTTGGAAGTAAAGTGCTTGTTGGAATACATGTGGGCTTACAATATTCCAGATACATCTGTCCCACTTTCCTCAACCTGTTCCTCAGACCGCTAACTGATGCCATGGATGTGTGCCTCAAGCGAACTGCTTGAGCGATGCACGACAAGCACAGAGTATTTGCAGGACTACCTGGTTTACGTCGTGCAGAATGCTGGCCGGAGTTTGGTCCGAACATCCCCGGTTGGCAGCAACCTGCCGCGGCCATAGTGCAGCCGCTCCTGCTTTCAGATCTGCTGAGGGCTGCCGAAGCGTCTGAGGTTGGCCGTTGATTAAAACTTTTCGCTGCCACCGATGCAGGAGACGCACAGGGAGGAAGCCTTTACTGTCAGTGTTGCAAAGCTGGGGAATTGGCTCAACGTTTTCATGATGTTGGTTCTGCTTTTGCAAGAACGGCATATCACCAAACTCGGCAACAGCACGCATGCTTGCTATGGCGTGTTCAACAGCTTCATGCTTTGATCCACACGGGCGTGGACATTCAGCGCCAAGGCTTTCGACGTTTGGGCCACATGAATCGCTGATGGATTTTGTTGCCTTCTGCGAGCATTTGTGATTATTTGAAGTGCTTGCCTTCTGATAGACCGACAGGTACGACTTCCGTGCCACCGCTTCATGCAAATAAACTCGAAGCCAACACCGGGAGTTGGGAAACAATGGCCGTGCGAAGAGTTCAGACCAGCCTGCAGCTTGCCGAAGATGAAGAGTTTACTAAACAGAGCATCAGGTACACTTCCACCAGGTTCGAAGTTAACCTCAACATGGCCCGACCGGCTCGTTGCCATGTTTCAGCTGTTGCATCGAAGGAGATGCACATCTACGCGCGCTCCAGGCTCTTCGAGAACACTACACCTCAGGTGCCTTGCAGCAGATGCTCCCATTCCATTCAGCGGGTGCTTCCATCCAATCCCAACAGCAAAATGACATTTGCAATATCGGGATCCCCATGTGAGCTACCCGGGATGCAACCAGCTTGAACCATAATGTGCGTTGGGTGTTGAGGTGAGTAGGTCAACGGAAGGCCAGCTGCAATTGTGATTCCCGGTACTGGAGTGTCATACCCCCAATTCCGACAGTATTCCAAAGCTTCTCAGGCAGCAGCCCAATCTTCGCAGCCCTCGAAATTGTTTTCTTCCGCTTATGTTGCATGCTTAGTGATGTTGCAGCAGATGCAGCAGGTCCACAACATCAGCGACACTGACTCCAGCGTATCAATTTTTTCAGTCGGGGGGCCTCAGCAGACTCAGTCTTGCATTCAGTCTTGCTGTCGGTTCGGGACATCTCAGAAGTGTAGCTAGCCTAGCACGAGTCAACTGACAATGTTCCTTTCAATGACCGTACAAGTCGAAATCTGTCGACATTGATTGAGTGGAGGACCTGTATCCAAGTGAGAGCCCCATCGAAGCCGCTTTTTCGCCTCAAAAGCCGTCCTTTCGCGAAGAAACAAAACAAGAGCCCTTGAGCGAGAGTGACGCAGGGATGTCTTAGCTGTTGTTTTATTCGCCTGCTTGCCCGCTCAAAAGGTTGATTTGCTTCCTTAGTTACGTACTCACACACTTGCTACTTGACTAATTGTTTAATTAGTTACTTACTTATGCACTTACGTACTTACTTACGTACATACTTACTTGCGTACTTAGTCACTTAGTTGCCTACTTATTCTTCATGTCCTTACTCAGTTACATTCCGGGCACAAACACTCGCATGCACACACACACACAAACACAAGCACCACACTTGACTCATTCCACCTGTCCATGGTCAGACATGTTTGCCACCGTCATGCCGATCTCGACTTTGTGGGTGACCTTGTTCGCCAAATCAGAGGCGTCTATTCGTGTTATGTATGTGCTTGCGTTTCCTGAGTGTTGACTATGTCTTGCAGGTGTGGGAACGGTGCAGGCGCGTTGGAAGAATCGCACAGCTGTTGGATCCATAAAGGAGATGCCGTCGTGCAGACAGGATTGCAATGCGCGCGAGGCAGCCATTGCTAATTGTCTGCAACCCTTCTTGGGGAGGTGGGGTTCTCCCACAAGTTGCAGCTGATGGGACAACATCAGCATACTTCTGCATCACTGCACGGTATATGTCGAATGCATGCTGAACGATTTTCAATGAGTGATCGCCGACTAGTGACTGGCACAGGTTTCGATCTCACCCGCAATGTGCAACAAGCCTGTTGGTGAAACTGGGCAATACCTCGCGTTTTGTGGTCGTAAAGGCCCATGCCTCGCAATTTGATGCAAGTGTAACGCATGTGCCATCACTGCAGCAGCTAGCCAGTGCATGTGCCCCGGCGGATGGCACTGCTACCATCAGCGGCATCCTTACTTGGATGGATATGAGATCAGAGCACTCTCACTTGGAAACTGTGTCCCCCAATCGAGCAGAGGTTACAGTTGCTGGAAAGGCAGCTTATGGTCATTGTTGTGCGTTGTGCGTGTGGTATGCGCAAAAGCCACAAACGGACAGGCAAGTCGGACAAGCCTCGTTGCAAGAGGTATGCATTTGCATGCTTGTGTACCTGCCCAAGCATGCAACATGCATGCAAAAGCAGAAGAAGATACATATATGTGTATATATACACAGATACATATATATGTATATGTATATGTATATGTATATGTATATGTATATGTATATGTATATGTGTATGTATATGTAAAATGTATATGTATTTGTATATGCATTTGTATATGTATATGTATATGTATATGTGTATGTATATGTATATGTATATATGTATATGTATATATGTATATGTATATGTATATGTATATGTTTATGTATATGTATATGTATATTTTTATGCTTATGTATGTGTATGTGTATGTGTATGTGTTTGTGTATGTGTATGTGTATGTGTATATGTATATGTATATGTATATGTATATGTATTTGTATATGTATATGTATATGTATATGTATAATGTATATGTATATGTACATGTACATGTATATGTAGATGTACATGTACATGTACATGTACATGTACGTGTACATGTACCTGTATATGTATATGTAGATGTACATGCAGATGTACATGTATACGTATATGTATATGTATATGTATATGTATATGTTTATGTTTATGTAGATGTAGATGTAGATGTAGATGTAGATGTATATGAGCAGATACGAATGTGCATGAGTAAGGGTTGTGTGCAGGCAGGCAGACGGTCGAGATTTTCGATAGATAGAGGCGATAGAGGGATAAGATAGACGGACGGATGGGTGTAGGCTGCTGCTAATGCATGCGCATTTGCATGTGTGTTTTTGTGTCGTTTTTCAAACAAAAGTATACTAATGCGAAAGTTTGGACCGATCGCAAGGTGTTGGAGGTTTTGCGCAAAGGGAGTTTGCAGCAGAACGATGCTCGCTTGCATGCTGGAGCCTCGTGCATGTTCTTTGCATTGCATCGATTTAGCGAAGGAGTTTCATTCCTCATCCGTGGTTGCCGCCTGTGGCAAGGACAGAACGACAAATCTCGAAGCATCAAGACTGTTGAGCGCCAGTGTGACGCATGTTCGCATGAGTTGGTAACACCGCAGGAAGGTGACTGGGAAAATGCGCTGGAGCATCTTCAGTATTGCCTCGCTTGCAGCATTCAGCTCAACCCGGTTGGGTTCTCAGAAGAGAATAAGCCGTAGCAGTGTTCCGTGATGCGGGCTGCACGTTTGATTGACAGGCTTGCTACAATGCCGGAGTTTATGCTTGCAGGAAGGACCGTGCACTACTTCGCTAGATCCGTCGATTTTCCGAGTACTAGTACAGTGCTTACCGCAGTCGTGGTTTTTGAATGTGTTTCGCGTGTTGGAGGACTGGAAACGGGCACTGTGCTTCCTATCGTCAATGTGTTCTCTCAGTCTTCGTTTGACCCGGACACCTTTCCGACAGTTCTTGATAGGCAGCACGAACATTTGCGATGGAGATGCAGCAACGAGTTGTCTTTGCATGTGTTGAGGACAAGCTGCAACTCACTATTGCATGCCTCGACAGTCACGACCGGAGCACCGTCATCCGTTCGTCAGTGGGCCTTCGCATTGTCAAAGCTGACCGGCTTTGCAACGATGCAGGTGCTTATTGCTCCTTCTGTTTTTAAGAATTGGTAGTTGGAATTATGAATCCCACATGCCTGCCTGCCGTCACTGTCCTGCAGATCCGCGGCGACAGTTACACTTTGACGACGATCGGGGCAGCTTGTGCTTTGAACGACGTTGGCCAGAAGCAGTGGCAGCATGCCTGCTTGATCCACAAGTTCGATAAAGGACGCATTCGCTTCGCTCATCGAAGGGCACTTTGTGCTAGATTTTGTCAGTGTGTTCGTCGGTCTGCTGGTCGAATCCCATGTCCCCGTGAAGTGTAGCAGGACAAAGCAACATCTTTTCCCACAACAGTCTGCTCTGTGCCTGTGAAAGAGCAAGTTGTTGGGAAATAGTTGCGGAAGCTTGGCGTGGTCTGAGAAAGGTTGCTTGCAACGTGGAATGCGCTTATCTGAATATTGTTTGTTCAGGGTATGGTGATGGATTCGTCGGCTCCGCTTTCCACAGTGATCAGCTTCAATACGGCAACAGCGGCAAGCAGTGCAGCACGTGGAAACTGGCGTCATGGACTTTGCATGTTCGTGTCGATAGCATCCTGCAGGCATGTTCAGTGCATGTTTGCATAGATTTTCTCGGATCTTGACATTTGTGACTTGTGACAACGGGTCCTGCTTGGCACCTATTGAGGCTACACTGCAGCTGAGCAGAAGCATGTCAAGCTACAATGCTCTTGCAGCTGGACTTCAGCGCATGCTCTGCTGGCCACAATCGTGCTGCAGTCAGTTGCGCAAAGAACTTGAGATGCGGAGAGCAGCACGGTTCGCGGTGCGGTTCAGCTGGTGGTGGTGACATGTGGTGACTCAAGGTTGGCCTTCCTCTTGGACTCGAGCCGAAGCGCCGCTCTCCTGCCCGATGCCGTGAGCCCCTCGCTGGCACTCGTCGTTTTTTTGCTGTTGTTATGCAGAATGCGAGAGGATGCGATCTCTGCTCTCTCCAGGCATGTTAAGTGCCGTCACCTCCTATGAGCTTCACTGGACGATGGCTGCTTCCTTGCTGGATTCCACTTTTTCAGTGGGCACGTTCCAGATCAACACTCTCAATGCCATGGTTGATACTCTCCGAGAGGCGCGAGCCGTGTTTCTTCGACCAACCCGCTTCTCAGACATTCTGGGGCCTCTAAGACTCTACGCACTTGCGAGCTTGAAAAGTGGTTTTGGGCTCAAGCTGCCACGCTCTGAGTGTGGAGGACAACGCAACTCCTTGCAAGACATGGGGTTGATTGTTCAAAGACAAGGTCACGCAACCGTTGGTGGCCCCGTTGATTTTGCACGCAAAATCGTGCATTTGCCCACGAATACCAGCGTTCTTAGTGATAAATGCGGTTTACGGATTCGGTTTTTTCTTGATTTTGACACAGATTTGACAGCAGGAGAGCATTGTCGTAATAACAAGAGTGACACGCCTGCCAGTGTTTTCGAAGGTTTGCACGTCTATGGTTTATGCAGGAATTCGCACACATTTCATCATCCACATGACCAACATCACCACAGATCAAACACATTCATCACGAACATCACCAAAGATCAAAGACATTCATCACGAGCATCACCGAAGATCAAACACATTTCATCACCAACATCACCAAAGATCAAAGACATTTCATCATCAGCATGACCAACATCATTACAGATCAAACACAGTCATCACGAACATCACCAAAGATCAAACACATTTCATCACCAACATGACCAAAGATCAAACACGTTTCATCCCCACCATCACCAAAGATCAAAGACATTTTATCATCAACATGACCAACATCACTAGAGATCAAACACCTTCATCACCAACACCAAAGATCAAACACATTTCATCACCAACATCACCAAAGATCAAAGACATTTTATCATCAACATGACCGACATCACCAAAGATCAAACACGTTTCACCACCAACATCACCAAAGATCAAGCACCTTTCATCACCAAACCCTTGAACCTAAAGCCTAGACCACCCACAGAGCTTGCTGAAGGATCGGATGCTGAGCTTCCGGAAGCTGACCAACCGGATGTCCGGGTCGACAAGATGGAGAAGCGCAAACGTGAAGCTCGTTCACTTCGCAGGCGCACGGAGAAACCGAATGAGGTTAGGATTCCCGACACGGACGAGGAGAGTGGTGGGGAGGAGGAAAGTCCTACCAAACGTGCTCTACGTGATGGAGATCGACCTGATGAACGGCCTCTCACAGCTGGGCTCCTACGTGATCTCCTTGCGGATCATCGACGAGACCTCCGTCTTGCTTGGGAGGAGATCGAAGGGCGAGTGTCCAAGGTTGAGAAGCAGCAGACCAAGCAAGTCGGTGAGATTGCCTCCTTGGGTGGTCGGGTGAAAATCAGCGAGAGGGACATTGCGGGGGTCAAGAAGGCGCAGACCAGTGGGGAGAAGAAGATTGAACAGCTTGTGGAGGACGTTGCGAGTCTCAGAGTCCAAGTGGAGGGCGTCACGTCGAAGATGAGGGATCCGCGGAGCCTTCCACAACCTGCTGGTGCACCAGGATCTGGTGTTGGTGAAGTTGACGACGGGCGATCAGCGAATGACCCCTGGGGAGAGTACCTACGACAACGAGGACCATCCACTTCGTCGAAGGGCAATGCCGTCGCTGGGGCGAACTTCCCGCAACCTTCGGGGGCATCTCATGAACCGGGTGACCAACTCACAGATGACGACAAGAGAACGCTTATAGTGGGCGGGTGGGCACAGGACACCAGGAGGGCGATCATTGAGGAGGAGTCTCGCGTTCTATTACAACATGAGGAGATCCGCCCCTTGCTCGATGTGGAGAAGTTGAGCATCTATGGTCCGCGCCGCAGCGTTGGCATGTTGAAGTTCACCCAGCGCGACGATGAGGCCCGTCCAGAGGAAACCAGGAGTCGAATGTGGAAGGTCGTGAAGAAGATCGCCGAGCTTAAAATGCCAGTGGAGAGCGCGAAGGCCCTTGGTGAAGATCGAACAATGTGGGCGTCTTTCGTCAAGACCCGAGCTGCCCGTGCCAGATCCGCGCACATTAGCATGATCCGGCGCGTCGTCATTGGGCTTGCAGCTGACGCAAAGAACGAGGCTGGGGGCGTCATGAACTTGGAGCATACGCAGGTTCAGTCCTATGACATGGACTGGAACGCTGGCACTATCTGGTGTGGAATTCATAAATTGGGTTCATCCACACACCGCTGCCCGAAAGATGCTGAGACGGTGACCATGTCTGGGGGATGGATAAACCTGGACGCTGTCGGGCTGATTGCGAGCTGTTCGGTGGAGGTCGCCAAGGGGACCTTCGAGAGGGAGCTGTGATCAGAGCCCTTTGATTTCACCCCTCCTGATGGGGGACTTGTGAATTGGGATTCAGGGATGAAATGTTCGCCTGAGCCCGTGCACGATCGCGCTCGGTCCAAGACCCTGTGCCGCTCTGCTCCTCTCCCTCGGTGTGTAACACATAGATGGGGACGGCTGGGCCAGTGGAATCTAGGAGGACAAAAATTGGAACTCCTCGATGTCGCTGGTCGTGATTTAGATGTGATATTTGTCCAGGAAGCAGCACGTGATGAATCGGGATGGGGAACTGTCAACAATGACTTGTTCCACTGGATCACCTACCGCAGCGCCAGTCTCTACAGAGGAGTCGCCATTGGCATCTCGCAAGACAAGCTGGACTGCATCGTTCACAAAGTTGCCACCAACAGGGGAATTTGGATCCTTGCCAGGGTCAGAGGTCTGGGAAGAGTTGTATTTGGGTCGATGCACGCCCACACTGGGGCAACCAACGCCATCTTTCAGGCCGCTGTTCTCGCTTTCGTCAACTCTTGCCCCAAAAAATGGCGCCAATATCCGCTTGCTTGTGGCATTGATGTCAACGAAGAGCTCAAATGGTTCGAACAGCCTGATGATGCTGAGGGAGGACTTGTTAATGGATCCAGCAATCTCAATGAACTTGTCCAACAACTCCTACATGTTGGGGTCAAACCTGCACCTCCTCGGCATGCACAGTGGAATACGCCCACGCATTACCCCCGTGACTGCACTCGTCGAGGTCGACAAATCGATGCCATTTGGTGTCGTGCTCTGAGGCGAGACCATGTACATATTGATGCCGAGCGACGCCACTCCATTGGCAGCGATCATGCCCTCCTTCATGTTGATCTACATGTCGAGAATAAGGCTGCCAATCGGTGGGGTAATGACTCACGTCCGAGGTATGTGTGTAGGGACATCCCCCAGACCGTGATTTGCGATGCCGAGGACCTTTCTCGCCTGGCACGGCACTGCACACGACCTCGGGTCACCGAAGCCTATCATGACAGTGAAGAAATCAAACATCGGATTGCCGAGGCGAAGCTCAGTAATGATCCCAAGGCCTGGAAAAGAGTTCATAAGCTTCGGCGCCGTGATAGGAGGGAATGGGAACAGCAGCGATTGACGAAGATCCTCAACGGTGACTGGAATCAATACAGAGCCCTTCAGCGGGAGAAGAAGCGAAGAGTTGGCTGGTGGGGGCGAATGCTTGGTGACTGCACTTCGAAGGAACAGACTCAGCAGGTCAAGTCCCACCTCAGTGGCAAAATCGTCAATGAATATGGTCGCGATTGGGATGACTTACTTCAGCAGCAGATTGACGCTGTTGCACTTCGGGGCGAATTTCAAGAGTTCACTGTCTTGGAAGTTCGTGAAGTCCTTCAGGAAATGAAGGTCAATAGCGCTGTGGGCCCGGATGGGATAAGCGTCTCTTTCCTCCGTCTCGCGATGAGTGATGAGCAGGTTGGCCCGCAGATTCTCGCGCTCATTAACCAGATTGTCCGAGAAAAGTTGGAGCTGCCCACGGAGTGGCATCGCAATTTCTTGGCTCTCCTGGCTAAGTGTGACTTCCCCTCGAAGCCGGGCGACTTGAGGCCTATCTGCGTCAGCTCGTCATTCCATAAGCTGGTGACCAAACTCGTCTGTCTTAGGACGATGCCCTTAATGAGAAGAGGGTCTATGATCTCTGGTTGCGGGAAGGGGCGACAGGCTGCGGATGTCATTGGCACAATCACACGTTACCGTGACGTTGTACGGGAGTGGCGCCTACCCGCAGTCCTGTGCAAGCTTGATATCTCTGGTGCATTTGACAAAATAGACCGGCAGAAGATCGCTGAGTTCCTGAAAGAGCGCCTCATCGGGGTTGACATGGAGCACGAGTTGCGGTATTTGATGGCGCAACTACGCACCTACGAGCTCAATGGTAAGGTGCCGGGTGGACATGAGATCACCATTGAGGCAAATGTCGGGATCAAACAGGGGGCGCCTGAGAGCGCGGAGGTCTTCGGGATGGTCATGGACGCCCTGCTCACAAGGGTGATTTGTCATTCAAAGTGGGCTGCCTTCGGGGTGCCTCATGCTGGTCTTGATCTTCCGTTAGTCTTCTACCAGGATGACATCTTCCTGCTCGAGTCGCAACTGGGACGTCTTGCTAGAAGGATCAAAGTCATTGAGCGTGCTCTTGCTCAGTTTGGGTTGAAGCTTGCCACTGAGAAAACCAAAATTGTCGCTTCCGCTGCCTATCGTGGGCCACGTCGTGTGCAAGCTGGGGGGACTGAATTCACCATCGCTGAGAGCTCTGAGTCACTGCTCGTCTTGGGCATCCCCTTTAGTCTCCAGGAAGGATCTTCGCAGCAGGCCAAGGTACTCATTCAACGTGTGCGTACCGCTGCAGCTGCACATGCCTGTCTTCTTCGAGGAAGGGCCTCTTGGCAGCGCAAAGTCACCATGATCCAGACCCTAGTTGAGTCTCAATTTTCATGGACGGCAGGGGCGATATACTGGTCGGCTTCGGATTTGAAGCAACTGAACACATTACAGCTCCATGTCCTGCGAAGCTCCTTTCGCATCTCACGGGAAGCGAATGAACGCTGGCAGGATTGGAATGCCAGGAGCCTCAGGCTCTGCCGTGTTTGGCTTGCATACAACTCCGTACCTCGTTGGTCGACGAAGGTCTTGACCCTTGAGCACACACTACATGGACATTGGGCACGCAGGATCGAGACTCTCTGTGAAGGCGAGCAGTGTCACTGCATGCCATTCAGGGCCCTTGAATGGAG